ACCTCTTCCTGTTCTTTCTCTTGGGAGTCGAGCTTCAAATCCATTAATTTGGGCTCAATAGAAGCATGATTGTGGCTCTAATACTAATTGATAAAGACCCTCTAACTAAACCAAAGATAAACTCACTAATTCCTCAAAAGAACCTTGTATATTGAGGAAGGACAGTCTCTGAGACAGGGGATCCTAGGGAAATATGGATTGGAACAAAGAAAATGGGAAGGAATAACACTCCGGAAAAACCCCGGAAAGACAACAGAAGATAGATAAACGGGGAAACCGAGACCTCCCAGGTCTCAGGGTCGTCGATGCGGATGACAAGTCTCTAACTCAGAATGAAGTTCTTCGTGAATTTCTTCCTCCTCTCTCATGGGCCGCTTAACTCATAATATAGCTTTAGTCCGCCTGTGTTGAAGACTGCCTCTCGACTGTCGTTGGACCGGTCGTAGGTTCTGATCTAATCGACCGGATCCGATGGAACCCAGTACTTGACGTGATCCATCGTTGTATGTTCCTGTAGCTGTACTGGTTCGCCCCCGGATCCGTCCGCCGCACGCGCCACCTGTCTTGCAGGATCCGTCGTACTATTGTCCCCGACGTTTTCTGCCTCCAGTGGCTCCTTGTCCCGCTCAACTCTTGGGCTGGATTTCTCCGTTACCGGGCTGGACCGGCCTCTGCGTGATCGCTTCCCACTCGGGCCCACTTCGAATGGCAAGACCTCTTCGAGATCCCCTCCGATCTCAGGCGGGTGGAGGGATTTTGCTGCGGCGTGTTGGGCTTGGTCCCTTTCCCCATCGCTGGCGAAGTCATCATTCGGGTGCTGGTAGACTCGGAGGGAAGGTTCCTCGACGTCTCCGCCGGGTGGCCGCCGTCGATAGCCCCCAAGGAGATCCTCCCGAAGACGAAGCTCGTCTGGTCCCCGATGAAGGAGGCAAGATCCCGGCCGCCACTGTCGCCGCCGAGGTGTGTCCAGGGCCCCTCTTGCTGCCCCCTCTCGCCATGGCTGCTGACGCGGTTCCTAGAAACAGAAGTCCTCGACGGTGACCCCTCTAAGAGGACATTCAACGAGGCCCACGCGAAGGGAATGGAACTGGCGGCGTCGGGGGTGGAGGCGATCCGGCGGCGGTGGTGCCTCCTTCTCACCCGGTGGAGCGTCGACTGCGCCGAGGCTTTTCCCTTCGTGATACTGGTATGCTCCTTGCTGCACAACTTCCCATTCAAGTGCTGCGACCTCCTCCCCGACAAGGTCCCCGCGCCGGAACAGGTGGAGGAGAGCTTCCGGGACTTCAAAGGCGTTGGCAGCAGCGGTGACGACGGAGGAGGAGATAGGGCGAGGGACGCTCTCGTGGCTCATATTTACTTGGTGTTCCCTAAGGGATAACGACCTAGCTGGTCTCGCCCTCATCTCCACGTGCGTATACTGGGGGTCATCTCAGAAGGATATGTGAATTGGCCGTCCGGGGAAGAAGAAGGCGAAGCCACAATGTGGTAATGATCAAAGTTGTGGCTCTGGGCAGGGCTTTTCTTGATCATTCAAGCTGAGAACGACCGTGTTCTTGAGATTTTTCGCCGGGTCTTTCGAGCAAGATTTAATGAAGCAAGACCATCCATACAACATATATTGCAGCTATTTCTTTGTCAAAAAATAGAAAACATGGGGCTGCCCAGAGATGAGATTTCAGAAGCAGCTGTCGACCCATGAACCAAGCTTCATAACAATCCTCATGTGCTGGACGTTTGAGGGCTCACAGCTTTAGAATCGAAAACAAATGACTGGCCAGTGGAGCCGAGCTGACTTCTTCCACTCCTCCATCAGACTCCTGCTTGCTGCAAGAACATGAAACAAACTCTCAAGTTATTCACCCTCCATAATTTATATGAATATCCTCCCATTAGCTGCGCCAGAATTACCCCCCCTCCCCTCTGATTATACAGACCTGCAAACACCAACCGGCCAAGACATTGCAAAAGATCCTCTTTTAGGTGATAATCTCGTCTGCGATTCACATTTGTATCAGAAAGTCTTGCGGTTCATCAGCAACCCACGGGCATAGGAATACGTTTCAAAGGGCACTTCCCACCCATGTCGTGGGATTAGAATATTACCCGAGATTATGACCCATTTTAGCCCCGTAACTTCAACAAGAGATCAAATATGGAACTGACGCTGAGCATTCCCCAACATGGGACTGTAGCGTGGGCTCGACAAAGCTGGGAAGAGAGGAGTCAACCCCGGAATGAGTCCTCTCTGTTGCGATCTTGGCCTCACCAGATCTCTATCTGAACCATACAATCTATGCACCGTGGACTCTTGCACATTGGGTCGAGTAAATAAACGGCAAATATAAGGAGGAATAATGGTTAGGATTCTCTGAACCTCCCGGGCTTGCCCTTAGGATCACAGCTCACCAGTCCAGCGATGGAATAACAAGAATGGGAAATGGACATACATCGCTACCATCTAGTCTATTCGGCTTCTGCAGTCCAGTCTGCAAGTTATCTCTGCCCATCTTTGTCTATTCTGATCTAGAGCGAGATTGCAAGAGGGGTGTAGGCTCAGAGAGACCTCAGAAGGCTTGAAAGGATGTGGCGTGGAAGATTCAATACGCCTTATAAACGTGGCCCATCATATCTTTCCCACGTGCATATTTCTCTTGTTGGTCTTGGGCAGTTTCTTTCTTCCACAGCTTCCACTTTGTTATATGGTATCAAAGTAAAATCTTGACTCGGAGCTTAGACTTGTAAGATGTCACAGGCATGTGGCGAAGGAAATCCAACTAACAAAATCATTTGAGAGGTGGTGGTTGCTTCGTCATGATCATATCTTTTTAAGTTCGAAAGAGGAACTGATCAGAAGTTTCAAAAGATGCACCACACGTGAGAGCAAATTTCAGCTAACATGGCTGCACCTGATTATAGGTGCCATGGTTTTTTATCACAACTCACATAGGGAACCAACATGCAAGAAGAACTTCTTATGAATGATTTAATCATTTCAAAAACATATAGAAATTTTTAATGATGAAGATTCGAAGAACAATTTAATGAAGTTCAGCTTTCAGGGTCATCTTCAAATCGATAAATTCTTAGATTAGATCATGGGTAGTGTAGTTTTATGAGTATTAGCTGACTGTAGAAGAAAAATAGGTTCAATTCGTTGCATAAAAATTGAAATGTAGAACATCATCTTGGTGAGAACAACTATGTCCCCTTTGATGCAAGAGTAAGAAAAAGAAAAATCATATGTTGATGGATGAAAAATGAAAATTTTCCTTAAACTTTGTTTTATTTCACTTTAGTATGTCTTCATTCTGTACCAGAAATATGAGAATATAAACAAGCTGATAGGTATTTTAAGGAACATGCTACATAATTCTTTAGGTTATCATCCCATTGATGTACGAATTAGAATTACAGACGTTTTTACTCACTTGTAAATCGATTTAAGATGAGACACTCAGGAGACAACGGTGTTGCAGCCCTTTCTTAAGCTTAATATGAGGTCACAAGGGTGTTAGAGCAGAACAAAGTGATCACAGAGAAGGTGAGGAGTTGCTCTCGTAGCTGAGATAATGCATGACAATCCAAAATAAACAGTAAAATATGCACAAGTTGTTTGGCGTATTTAGGTAAATGTACCACAATAATCCATCCAAATGGGCAAAGGTGGACAAACCCAAAGGTCGAAAGTGTTGGTGCTGCTCACAAAATGTGTTAGAAATTCAGTAAATACGTTGATTCCAGAATGGGGCCAAGTGGGCTCCACCTTCGCTCTCCCATCCGACGTCGGATCTCCATTGGACGGCTGTACTTTCTCCCTCCCCCTCGCGGACTGCTTATCAGAGGCTCCCGGGAAACTGGAAGACAGATGCTGCTGAGGTGTGTTCTACGTCACTTTGTCGACGTCTGCACTGTCTGGAAACCATCCAGCTGGAATCGTCAGATCTGATATCACCCCGCCCCCCATTCCTCTCTCTCTCTCTGTCTCTGTCTCTGTGGATATATATCAAAAGTCGAAGGCGGTGACTTTTGAGCAGGCAAACTGGACCGACTTTCACCTCCAGTCGGTCTTCCTCCCAAGCATCTGTCAATGGGTTTGTAGCCGTGACCGACCCCTCCTTTCCAGTCAGCCGCTGGTTCCGCGGCGACGAAAGGTTGAACTCTCCCCCTTTCCCACTTGCGTGACCTTTGATGCCCTCCGGTGTCGTATCCTCCACCCCCCTCCTTCCCTCTGCAGAGAGAGTCTGCTCGGGATCAATCATTAGGCGGAGATGCGGAGGGAGGGTGTCTCGCCGTCTGCTTATGGATGGGTAGAGATTGTATTGGCTCTCTAGGTATTCTTCTCTGGCCCATGAGCTAGGGTTCTCGACGGCAGGCAGGTAATTCACTTCTCCAATGGGGCTGCTTCTGCTCTGGCGCGGTGGATGGTAATCGTCATGGCTTCCATTCTAGGGACCGCCGCTCTGATGGCTGCCCGATTTTTGGCCCTGTTGACGTTTGCGCTACTGTGTCGAAGCTCGGCCAGCGGCGCCCCTGTGCCGTCCCCCTGCCGGTTCCGCGAGATCGGGTGCGCAGAGTCCCCGTCCGGGCGCCTCTTCTTCGTGGATCGGAAAGCCGTTGACCGGGACTCTTTCTGCGGAGCTCTGGGTGCTGCAATCCGGTGCTCGCCCGGAGCTTCGCCGGAGGCGGAAGAGAAAGGAAGGCTACTCGCGGAGCACTGCGACGGTGGCTCCTCCACAGGCCTCCGCACACCTCCGTTAGGCTGTGTCTATCTGAGAGGCAAGTCGTGGTTTCCATTGACGTATGTGAGAGCTTCATTGCAAGGAGATTACCCCCCCTGATCTTCTTCTTCTCTCTTCTCAGACGAGTCGCGCCGCCCGAGCCCAGGGAGGAATTCTCTGCTGCAGCAATCAGGAGAAGCCCCGGTTTCTCACGAGCTCCGTGGAAGGCCAGGAGCCCCGGTAGTGGAGCACGCAAAGGGGTTGTCTTTGACGCCGGAGAGGATGCTCTTGGCTTCGTCGGGGTTCCTCCTCTTGTCCTGTGTTCTGATGTGCCCTTGCTTTTACGCGAAGAGGAAGGAGGAGCCCGAGAATTCCTGCAAAGGAAGGAATCTGCATTCGAGTATGTTGGCCATTTCAACTCGCGTCATCTGCTCTTCTTCTCTGTGTTGAATTATCTAAAATCTTAATTAAAAAGGTGATGATTGGGGGTCCCTTGTAGATCACTGAAATTGGTATTTTCTACTGATCAAAATATAGATCAGTAAATTGAACTCGACATGAATGGATCATGGGATCTGCCTGGCTATGGCAGAACCTGATCAACCCACTCTGCCAATCCTTTGTGAAATAATCGACGGATGGACTTTAGATTTAAGCAAAATTACCGACAAACTCCACATGTAATGGAATCCAGGAGCAGCTATTCATCTGCTTCCTCACCACACAACCTCAGATGCATGATTTTACACCCTAGACCGAAATTTGCGCTGCAGTTGCATGTAAAAGAATCAGCATGGTGGATATGGAGATTCCTAACGCTAAATACTACACCCTGAACATATTTTTGTGCTGTGATAGCATCCAATAGAGGTTGGTGCATATTGATGAGAGATCATCGACCTTTTCATTGTCATGACTGTGATTTCAGAAAGCCATGAGGTTTCTGTCAATAACCCACTTTGTTGCTGCAGTGGATTTTGATTTTAGCTCCCACTCCGAAAGAAACCCTGGAACGCCGCATAGGGCATTGGCCAGCCCACGACGTGCACCAGCCAGCCCACAGCGCATCCCAGGCAGCCCATTGCGTGCAACTGCCAGTCCGTTGCGTGTGCCGCCCAGCCCCTCGCGGTTTTCCCTGTCACCCCAGCTGAGCAGAGCCAGCTCGGTTCATCTGACCTTCGATCAGATCGTCAAGGTCACCCAGAATTTTTCATCATCACAGAAAATTGGAGAGGGAGGGTTTGGAACCGTGTACAAGGCAGTTTTGCCAGATGGGCAGACAGTAGCCATTAAACGGGCGAGGAAGGTGACCATCTTCCCTTTATTTTCTTCTAAAAATGCCAGCCTTATGGTGAGAATGATCCACTGATAAATGACTTTTTGCAGGAACACTTTGCAGCTCTACGAACTGAATTCAGTAATGAAGTTGATCTTCTTGCAAAGATCGAGCACAGATGTTTGGTGAAGCTCCTTGGTTTCATCGACCATGGAAATGAGAAAATTATCATTACTGAGTATGTCCCCAACAGCACACTCCGGGAGCATCTGGATGGTAGGATATCTCTACTGCTTCTTGATACGGTTTCTTTTTTTTTTCTTTAGTGGTTTAAAAGGTTTTTTCCGGCTGTCAGCTCCTCAGGGGGAAGTTCTGGACTTCAATCAACGGATGGAGATAGCCATTGATATTGCTCACGGCTTAACTTACCTCCATTTATATGCAGGTGAGGCTGATTTTGTGCCTTTATGCAAATACTTCTCATCTTTTATTGTAGAATATGATTTAAGTGTATGATCTTATGGAGCTTATTTTATTATCTAAACCAAAGGTTAATTATTTATCATCCTTGTCAGAGAGGGTGATAATCCACAGAGATATCAAGTCCTCAAACATCCTCATCACAGAGAGCTTCAGGGCCAAAGTGGCTGACTTTGGCTTTGCTAAAGTCGGCCATGGGGATGCCGGGGAGACCCACTACTCGACCAAAGTCAAAGGGACCTTCGGATACCTTGACCCAGAATATCTTCAGACGAATCAGCTCACCCCAAAGAGCGATGTCTTTTCCTTTGGGGTCTTGCTCATAGAAATCTTGTCTGGAAGGCGGCCAGTGGACCGTGGAAGACCTGCTGATGAAAGGCTGACAGTCAAATGGGTATGTAGGACCCTGTTTACTTTCTCCAAAATAGAAAAATATGTTAATTTGAATGATTTTTTCTGCTTGAAATTTTCATGCTTAAATTTTTCTTAAAATTTCCTTAACTTTCCTTATTTTTTGTTGCATCTATCAACATTTTTTTTTTTTAGCATTTGAGTCCACAACTCATGTGGTATCTCAGGCAGATCATCTGTGGACATTGTTTGCTTAAACTCAACGCTGAGGAGTTTGTAGGTCTACTCCATGGATTATTTTGATTATGTCAGAAACCGATTTATCCTGGAATGATCTGAAACTCTTGATGTTGCGAAATAGAGAAAACTTGTTATTTAATGGTAGCTTTGGAAAACATTATACTGCCCTCAGCTTTTTACCAAGTTTCTCAGACGTTGACTTTAATTAGTCAATGAGAAACCCGTTCATTCAAGTTCTTCACCCACATATGGAGTTCATAAATCAAACTTCTTTTACCCGGAACTAACTATTTTTTGTTGAACAATCAAAGTAAATGCTTGAGTAATAGCATCTACCCTGGATTATTTTCTTCCAAAAACATTTCTTATTCTGTTGAAAACCAATGTTTAATGGGGAATCGGATTTTGCAGGCGTTCAAGAAATTCAATGAAGGGAGGGTGAGGCAGATCATGGATCCGCTGCTCAGAGAAGAGGTGGACGAGGATGTGCTGTCTCAGCTATTCACCCTAGCATTCAGGTGTGCTGCCTCCACTCGTGGTAGGCGGCCTGCCATGAACGAAGTCTGTCAGCAGTTGTGGGCAATAAGGAAAGACTATGGAAAGAGCCTCCAAAGAAGTTGACCGGTGAGCTTCCTCTCGACCTCAAGAAAGCTCTGTCTGTCTCTCTCTCTCTCTCTCTCTCTCTCTCTCTCTCTGTTTGCGTCTCCTGGCTTTTTGGTGGAGGAAATTTGATGTGTAAATGATGTCTTTGTTTCTCATATTGTGTCATTAGATCCTTTTGTGGTTTATTTGTCTGTTCGTTGTATCTTGGAATGGAAAGTGGCCTCGCTATAACTACACGATCATTTATTGGGCCTTTAATGAACCAGCACATTGCTTACCATGCGTAGAGTTGGGTGTCACCAGGTGAAATTGAGTATACTACGTTTGGAGATGTTTCAGAAAGTCGAATGTTTTCAAGAAATTCAGGTCACCTAGATGCTTAGATCTTGGATAAGTCACTTGTTGGCTTTAATAACCGTTTTTTGTTTTCATGATGAACAAATATATTAGATAGTAGTCTGATGAAGTTTAGTTGGCTAGAGGTGTTAAATGTAGTGAAGGCAGCTAAGCCCTATAATTAAGTGCATTTCTTCACTAAAGAGTTAGTGCAACTTAAGAGTTACCTATTTCAATAATCTTGATTATCGTAATTCAGGAAAACCTTAAAATGATAAAAAAGGAACTTAAGTGTAGAATCATTTTTTTGTATCACAAGTTAAATTAAATATTTTCTAAAATGATTTATAGTATTTATTGAGTACTATAAAAAAATTATCAACACATTTTTATATATCCTAACTTAGGTGTTGGCGCTAGCAAAATATGTGGAAAGATAGAGGATGACCTTTAGTTGCAGCATAAAACAAACAACGGAAATGACCATTGGGATGTGACACATGAAAATACCAATTTTGGGGTGTTAAATAGCTGTTAGGAAATCTCGAAAAGTAAAAAGAAATAATTTTGTAAGATTTTAAAGTAATCCAAAAGATTCATATCTCAAGACTATTAAGATAGTTTTTAAATAATTCATTAAAATATAGGCCTTGGGTTATGGTATTTGAAGAATCAAAGTTTGAATCTATGAAGATATTGTGATTTATACTTTGTTGGGTGTAAAATTGATATTACAAACTTAGTAAAAAATTCGATCATTCACTCTAGAATGAAGCCTTCAAATTAGATATTATTTTATTATAGATCATATTAAAAAACAAGACAGAATTATACTTCACTTAAAGAAAAAAAAGTAAGAAATATTTTGACTGAACTTGTATAAGAGGAGAAATTTAAATAAATTATGCTTGAACTTTGAATATGTAAATTTTGATGAAATTATTTTTTCTATTTAAAATTAATACATTATAACTAATTCATCATGAATTTATCATGATTTTTTCAAAATTAGTTATATCCTGATGTTTTTTAGCTCTATAAAGCTGATATGATTTTGATGTGGGTTGTTCAATGACTCACACTTAACATCTATCGACACATGCTAGAGTGACAGAATTTAAACTTCATATAGTAAATTAGATGATGTACTCAGTGTTGTCTCAAACATTAGAACATCGAAAATTGTCTTCCACCCTCCTTCCTCAGTAAAAGACTAAAACATTTATATTTAAAACACATTTGAATTATTTAATTTTCTCTCTCTTTCTCTCTCTCTCCACATACTAAAAAGCTCCCTTCTCTTCTCTAATCAAAACTGTTCTAAAAATTACTTGATTGAGGCGAGAATCAAGTTGAATTGGTCCACATAGTGAATTAGTGTCTCATTAGATCCATTGTGAATCTTCATTTCATGCATTTTCACATCTACACTGCATTTCAGTCAAATTCTTCTTTCTTGAGGATCAAGTGTGGTTGATAGACATAGGTTTGCTATCTTTCTCCCCATTTCCAAATATTCAAAATGACATAGGATCACTAGAAAAAATAATGGAAAGCTGATAAATGGGCTAGAAAAGTGTTACAAAAATAAGCTCTCTCAACCACAATCAAAAGTATCATTGTGCCTTATCCTATTACTCAGATCATCCCAAGTTTACAGCCTACCACTACCAATGTTGAACATTGCTTGTCATAGGTCTTATGAATCTGTCCTTTTCTAATATAAGCCAAAAAACACATCCCAACAACCATAACAACTCTTCGGTAGAGATCAAATAAGATACCCTTGGTGGTATCTTCATTCTTCAGCCCAACTTGCTCAAGTTCCTCAAATTGAAAACATTTGTTGAATTATTAACTGCTAAAATATTTATCTATTTATTTCCTCAACCTGACCTTGTTTTTCTTTCATTTCTCCTAACAGTAAATTCAAAATCTAAAATATATTGAAATACAAAAAGTGCTTATATGAAAAATCATTAACCTCTTTGACAAACGAAACTTCCACTTGAAAGCATATTTTGATTTCCTTGCTATCACACATCATGTTGAGATCCTCTAGATACATATCCTACCTTAGTTAGGATGTTTTACAAAAAAAATATTTAAACTTCCTCCAAGTATGTACTTCATTGTATTGTAGATGGTTTACTAGTAACTTGTAGTGCATTATTTTTATCATCAAAAGAAAATTATCTTTCAACACAAACAGGTTTTTCTTTTACACCATCATCACACATACTTTGAATCATTTTCATGTAGATTTACTAGAGGAGGAATCATTTACCTATCACACTTAACACATCACCTCCAATATCATAATGAGTAGTAGATTCCTTGCCCAACCTCTACCACTCTACCACTATCACCTCCAATATTTCTTCTTTTATCTTATAGGCTCTCATCCTTGCTGATTTCTTTCGTTGAGAATTTTAACAAAAATATTACTCATGTGGAGAAACAACTTGAGTCATTCAAGGAAAAGATACTTAAAATTGAAGATAACATTTCTTACGTTCAATTATTTTTTTCTCTAATTTCAATTGACTTTGTCATTATCCTATTTAAAATTTTAAAGGTTTTTTGACACTAAGAAAAACAAAAAGAAAGTACATAGAGTTAGAGAAGGTCCTATGCAAATGTGATGTACTTAATGGAGATATCCCTAAAGGGAAGCTAAAGACAATTTTGAGTGATGAACACTCGTATTTTTAAGCATTTTAATGATGAAGCTCTTATATTTTGGAAAATGTTTTTATTCTCCTAATGAATTTTAAATCTTGATTGGATAAATTTTCTCTTTAAGTTCTTCTTGCATGAGTATGTGTATGTTGAACATGTTGATTGGTCATAATGATGTTATAAGTCAATTAACCAAGTATATGTAGTTTTCAAATTAGATAAATTTTCTTAATGATTTTTTAAGCATAAATAAGAGGGAGATTATTGATGCTCATGCTTTGGATAATTAAAAAATTAAAAAATAGTAAGAATTACTAACTTATAATTTAAATTGAGAAATATTAAAACTGAGTTTTGATTATATGTTGTACTAATAATTGATGTGACGTTAACATTACATATATTCAACAATTTAATCATGTTTACAAAAAACATAAACCTATTTGAACAATTGGAAACCATTTAGAAATATGTTAACACTAAACAAACTTAAATTGGGATAAATTTTCCAGAGAAAAGAATTGAGCTGAAATCATAATGTCGATGTTGTAATGATTTTGTGAGTAAATTTTCTTAAAAATGGAAAATTATTTTCTTAAAATTTAATGAAAGTCAATAGAAACTGGGTCACTTGAACTACGTCTAGCATAATCAGATGAACATAGAAGCGATATGATATTCTAGATGGAAAGGAAAGAATGAGAATTTAGAATGACAAAAAAAAATACTCATTTGTTGCAATCTAAAGAAAAAACTAATGAGAGTATAAATATTCTAATTCTGGAGATCCATCTAGAATTCTTATAATTTATGTAGGAAAAAGATTTATTATAGTAGGACACATATTTTTTTGGCATGACTATGCTGTGAAACTACAAGACAAAATTATAGAGAAAATATGAATATTTCAAGCTAATAGAAAATTAAGAAAATCTAGGTTCTAAAAATACGATTAGAATCTGTAAAAGAATATAAATTCAGGTTATATGTGGATCCTTGTTTTGAGATAAAAATTCTTGAATTGAAAGATCTCTTGTTTTGAGATAAATCCATGGTACATTGACAATGGACACTCAAAGCACATGACTAGAGAAAAGGTGGCTTTGCCTCATCGTTGAAAAAGGAGGTAAAGTAACCTTTGACGATATTGAAAAAAAAGCATAGGATATAGAACTTTACACATTATTGAATACATAAAAATTGAGTAAGTCATGCTAGTTGAAGGTTTAACATGTAATGTAACTAGGATAAGTAAAATTGTGTGATAATAGAATGAAATTCTAATTTAAAATTATTTATTGTCATATTTTGAATGTTTCAAGTAATGATGTTATTCTAACTATTGCTAAGAAGAATAAAGTTTATATTGTTAGAGCTATAAGACTAGGTGAAACACTAAGAGAAGGGTTGAATTAGAGTTTTTAGGATTTTAGATGATTTTTTAATTTAACCTATATCTATGTATAAATATTTCTAGATGTGTTGACACACATACTCTTAGCTCTTTCTCACCAATAACATGATGATTTTTATATTGGTTCAGCTTTCACCTAGTATTCACAATTTCTCTTATGAATCATACATTAACTTTCATGTGATCAGCCACTCAAATACCTTAAGTTCATCTCCTTAGAGACAACAATTCTTGGGCCAGATATAGTTATTAGCACAACATGATTTTGTCTAACCCACTATCTCCTCACCATCTAGTTAACTTAGCAACTTTTGGAGAGCAAGAACCATGATGATGAAATTGATTGTTTTGCCAAAATCAGTTGGAGAAAAGATACAGTGTTCTCATACATCTTTGATGTGTACATTCATATGGGTTTGATATTCTTGCTTGAATCTTTACGTGTTCAATCAATTGTTGATGCAGAAGTATTCCCTCATAATCAGCCATCATTCCTTAACTATATCAAACATTCAAGAATCTTTTTTTTTTTTGACGCTTTCCAAAATATATGATAACAACCTTTGAACCTTCCAACCTTCAAAACTCCCTATTCTCTTGTCATTTTTCATTCAAATTGGAACTGAAGTTTTCTAACTTGACATACAATCTTGTATGTCTAGATTGATTCCAAATCATCAAGTTTTAAAATCACCTATATATCACAATGATACATATATTTGATGCAATTATAATTACATTAACATATGGATGTGAAGAGTATATTTCTAAATATAGAAATTAAGGAGGAGGTATCTATGAGTCAACTTTTGAGTTTACAAGTTTAGATATAAAACCTTGATGGTCTTTAGTAAGCTATGAGAGCTTGGTATGAAACATTAACTTCCTTTATGATATGAAATAGGTTTAATAGAGGGTGTTAGAACTCTATTTATTAAAGAAGGCGATGAACATATACTTATTGTTAAAGTATATATTAACGATATAGTCTTCAGATATTGAATGTCAATTTTAGCAAATATTTTCACTACATCTTTGAGTAGAAAACAATTTATAAAGCCTCAAAGAGAGATTGAGATGTGTAGTGAAAATGAGTATGTAGTTTAACTTGAATTTACAGTTCTTCATCTTAAAATATTTAAAAGACTCTTAAAAATCAGCCTTAAATTACTTGAGATTCTTATTTTACTATGACTGTGTTCTAGATCAAAGTTCTAGTATAAATTTTGATGTAGGCTGATGATTGATTGTTGTATAATTCTAAAAGCAAACTAGAAATTCAGAAAAATATAATGATGACTGAAAATACCAAAATGAGAAAATAAATCATAAATTTAGATAAAATTTAGGATGCATTTTTTAAACATTTATAGGTGATGATTGAAGAAAATATGGTAGGGATCAATGAGTCAATCTTAGATTATTATCAATAGAGAGGAGTAATCTAAAATAATTTTGATGTAATCTCACCTCTCAATTCCTTGCCAAAGAATGAAATTGGAACTTAACAGTCAATTCTCTATTTTACTCATCAAAATTGTAATTTTGGAACTCTGTAATCCTTAAGAGAAAATTTGAAACATAGAATTTCTATCATGAAATCTAACTTCTATTAATAAATTAGACTCAAATATTTAAAATAGCTTTTATAGTCACGTCTAAATAAGAATTTATACTACCATCATAGTAAGATATGTCTTGAACTGAGTTATGTCTTGAAGTCACGTCTCTCAAGGTGACTTTGAAATTTTAAAATCACACCCATATTTTACAATTAATTGTTGATTTTTCAGATTTTTTTCTATGTTTTAGATTTATTTGAGACCTATCTATATGTGTTGAAAAATATGACAATGCACATGTTGTGGTAAGATCTCTTAGCAATCGCTCATCAAAAGCATCAAACTTTCTATATTGGTTTGTCTCTAACCTTGTTAGTTCCATTCTCTAAAACATAATTTAATTCTATTATTCACTTATTCCCCTCAGCAATACATGTTAACATTTACAAGAGTAGCTACTGAAACAAGTTAAGTTTGTCTTCTTTTAAATCTAGACTTAAAAGTAAAATATTACTACTAACATGTTGTGTCTACACGATATACCCTCTCATCACCACCCAATTATCTTAAGACGATGAAGAACAAAAAATTTAGTGGTTGAGTCAAAATATCCTATAATTAGAGATAAAATATTGCACATGATTTGCATCGATGTATATCCTATACTTAACCTTTCAGTTCATGATAATTCTTTGGTTGATAATCTTTATCCTCAAGTAATTGTAAGATACAAAGTCACTTAATCTCAAATATTAAAGTCTTAGATTTGATCATTAGTGATAATCTTGAAGTAAATTAATAAAAAAAACTGAACATATTTCTACATAGATTAGATATTTTCAATATATAATTGCCACCAATACAAAAGCATCAATATTAAATAATTATTTATTAATTAAATTTCACTTGTTTATCAAAAATAAGGGCAAAAATAATCTCACTCTTTTTGATACCTACAAGATTGTCATGAAAATTTAATCTAGTATATAATATTGATATAGTACCATGAAAACTGACAATAAATTTTCCATTCAACTATATACTTAACTTTATCATAATGATAAAATATATCTGAACAAGAAACTCATAGTTCATCATTCATCATTCCAATTTCAGTATTCACCATTTAAAATTGTCATGAGGTCTCCCATAATGAGTGATCCTCTTAAATCTTGGCACTTGCTTAATTTTCTCAAAAAACAAAAAATCCCCTTTTTCTGTAAGATCAAAAAGCCTTGAAAGTATTGATGGGGAGAAAATCCACTTGATGAAAAACTATGAAAATTTAACTTAATATAGGAAATATCATCTTAAAGTTCTCTTTTCCTTTCCTTCAATAACTTGAGACCTTTATCCACACAACTAATTTTTTTTTTTCTCTACAAAAGTTAAAAGATCAACAAGTATAAGAGAATGAGAGGTGGAAGAGGAAAAAGTAGAATGGTGAATGGATGATCAATCTATCACTCATCATGTGGGATTAAATGAATTTTAAGGAGAGTGAATTTGTTGATGACATCTTAGAAGTATTAATTAAGTGATTCTTCCTTGGTTATGTTGAATAGTAAATAGCTGATAATGAAATACATTAAACAGGCAAAGATTTGATCTGATGTGAATTTACATTTGAGATCCTAGCCAAGGAGGCAATAAACTCATTGAATACCAATTTATCAACTTGTGGGTCAGGGCTATAAGATATTGGAAGAATATAATTCAACTTGTGTGTAATACGACCTATTTATGTTCCTTTTACAAATATGAAAATGCATGAAGAGATCTTAATGGAATTGTTGTAGAATATTTTAATAATATCAAGATATCTATCAAGGAGTTTGATAAGAAGATGTGTGATTTCAAGGGAATTAAATTAAATATTTGGACTAATTTTTTGTGTATCAAAAAAGGTGAGGACGATTAATTTGTATGTAAGTACTTTTTGATCTTTAAATGATGTTTGAAATTATGTCTCAAAATTAGTTGAAGAGAAATGATCTATTAAAGAGTCATGAGATGATAATTCAGTGAATAGATCAACATCTTTGGTCAATATGAGTTCAAACTATTTGTTTGCAGGTGAAGGGATTTAGGTTGATTGTTTTCGTAGGGCAACAAAGAATAAGGGTATATAAACTTATATTAGGGGAGGAGATGACATGGTCGGTGGAAGTTGGTTTTTTGGTATGTGATGACATAAGGTAATGTTGTGAGGACTTTAGCAAACATTGTTTCAGCATTGCTTGTAGGAGGTCCTGAAATGTGAAGGTCATTTGGAACTTTATTTCAAATTGAGATAGGATGAGAAATAGTTTTTGAAGTTAGAGAGAGGAGGGTCTTTTTTATATAGAAGTTGGTGATTATTTCCTAGGTAGATTCAAGTTTAGAGGGATCAAATGTAATATGATGCAAATATATGAAATGCTTTTAATAAATAAGTTGTGCCATATTTCTAATACAAATACAAACTAATGGAACTAAATTTCAACCTCATTTGAATGATTATTTGATGATCTTGATTGAATAAAAAAAATGAGCTTCTCTAAATTGGGAGAGTGGAGAGAAATTGAGGTAATTCCAATGAGTTTGAAATGTGAACTTTTGACCTGTTATGGAAGAAGGAAGGTAAAGACACAATGTTTGATATTTTATGCTTTGAAACAACATAAATTAGTCTCGAACAATACAATAAAACTCAAAAATCTGTCATCCTGCATGTGTCGGCATAGATGTCAACACATATTATTGATATGCCACATCTTCAAAATATTAATAAAAAAGTCAATAAAATAAAATAAAAGATATTTCTTATACTTCCTTGAAAATAACATAATTATATTATTGAGGGCTGAAGCTAAATACTTATCAGCTAGTAGCTATTGTATATAAATACTTCAAGTAAAATATCAATTAAAAGACAACGAACTGAAATTAGAAAAAATACACATATTTTGAGAATACAAGTGCCATAAAATTAACCAAAAATCTAATCATTCACCCTAAAACAAAAAAATATTGAAATTATACATCATATTATGAGAGATTACATACAAAAGGGGGACATAAGAATAATTAGTACACATTTTTACCAAGCCCCTTTTATGAACGATTTAATTCAAAATTGTGTGAACTTAGAATGTATAAGTTGAATAATATTTTAGTTTGAATAAATATACTATGTTGAATTCACCATACCTATATGTGTTTCCTATGCACCCATGCTAATAGTGAGGTTCTATGCTCAAAACCTTATTTCTTCATTGCAAAGGTAGACTAGAGAGAGAGATATGAAGACAGTACACTGGGCTAGACTTCTAATAAAGGTTAAGTGAAACCCAAGTAGGTCTGATTTGAATATATGTTCAATATAAACTAGGTTGGGCCCAATTGTTATCTCTAAACTTTACGTTAAACTCTAAAATTTTGAATGTAATCTAGGTAAAGGAGGCTAAGAGTCTGAACTTTCTTATTTTTTCCATGTTTCAACTATGCAATTTTAATTAATTTTGGGGTAAATACTTGAAAATACTCTTAATTCATATCAACTTCTCACATTGGTCGCCACACCATTATTACTTTTCTTGAAAGGACACCATTTACAGGGGGGGATTCCTGTTTCTCGGATAGTTTGTAATATATTTAAATGTTTATAGTTAATGAAAATAAATTCTTACTTGGGCGGTACCTTTTGGGACTATTTCGAGTGGTGTTGACGTAAGTAGACCTCATGGGCTTGTCAGGGCCCATAAATCCTGCTCGGGTCGTGTTGATTTGGGCTTTTGGGCCGGCGCCAAGCTTGTGCTGTGGAGGGCCGGCCACAGACATCAGTTTTCGAATATTTAAATATATTACTATTTTATTTAATTAGGAAAAAAATTGACATATATATTTAATATTTGGACGAGCAAAATTACTTTTCCTTTGCTTCGGCTCGGTCCCTAAACCCTGCAAACCCTACAAACCCTAAGACCTTTTCTTTTTCTTCTACCTCTCCCTCTCGCTCTCCCTCTCGCTCTCCCTCTCTCTCCCTTTCTGTCTCTCGCTCCTCTCTCTGTGAAGCGGCGGTGAGGCGCCAACGCCATCGTCGGTGATGGCGGATTTCAAGAAGCTCTCAGAGTCGCGTGATCTCACGCGGATCGAGCGTATTGGCGCGCACTCCCACATCCGCGGGCTCGGCCTCGACTCCAGCTTGGAGGCCCGCACCTCGTCCGAGGGCATGGTTGGTCAGGTCTCCGCTCGACGGGCTGCCGGCGTCATTCTGGAAATGATACGGGAAGGAAAGATTGCTGGACGTGCGCTGCTCCTCGCTGGACAGCCGGGTACAGGGAAGACCGCCATCGCCATGGGGATGGCGAAGTCGCTGGGTGAGGAGACACCCTTCGCCGTCATGTCTGGGTCGGAACTCTTCTCCTTGGAGATGTCAAAGACGGAGGCGCTCACTCAGGCGTTCAGGCGCGCCATTGGCGTCCGTATCAAAGAGGAGACCGAGATCATTGAGGGCGAGGTCGTTGAGATTATCATTGACCGCCCCGCAGCCGTGTCCGCGGCCAACAACAGGTACTAGACGGCATCTCCTTCTCTCTCTCTCGCTAATATGTGTCCTTATCGGTTGAGCTTAATCAGTAGTGTTGCATCCATAACTTTTTCCCGTAGGAGGATAAATAACTTGCTCTTATTCTTTTTCCGAACGTCGTTATTGGTGACTGGTTATGGTAGTAGTGGAGGATCATCTCATCCACCTTCGTCGTCATCATCGGTCTCTGCCACCAAGACAGGAAAGTTGACGCTGAAGACGACTGACATGGAGACGGTGTACGAGCTTGGGGGGAAACTAATTGAGGCACTGTCAAAGGAGAAGGTGCAGAGTGGGGATGTGATTGCGTTGGACAAGGCCTCTGGGAAGGTCACAAAGCTTGGGAGGTCCATTGGGCGCTCAAGGGACTATGATGCTGTGGGGCCACACACAAGATTTGTTAGGTGTCCGGAGGGGGAGCTGCAGAAGAGAAAGGAAGTTGTCCACTGTGTCACTCTTCATGAAATCGATGTTATAAACAGCAGGTATGGTTTCTGCTCTCCAACTAGAACCGAATTTGCCATTATGGGGCGTAAGATCCTCTTTGTGATGGGATTTTCTGCCAATTTTTGATCCTCGTTTATTCGACCCTCTTGATGTGTCTAAAAATAGATATATACTTCAGTTAGAAATATTTTGAGCTATTTGCAGGAGTTACTAACAACCCTAGGCAATTTTCTGATTTACGAATGTTTTGACTTCCTTTCTCTATTATTGAGAAGGTTACTTGAGGTTGTTATGGGGTGTTCTGCCAATTTTTGACCTTTTTAAAAAAATATGACACAGGATAAGACTTCTATACACTCATCATGAGCTAAAGACAATGTGGCATTTAAAGATCACTACGGGTTGTGTGAAGAATGTGTATATCTTTGTGATGAGATGAGACATTAGAGCAACTTATTTTGAAGGAATCAGTGGCGTTTATTCAGGAATATAATGGCACTGTGTGCAAAGAAAGGAGTGCAAATTTGATAGAAAAAAATATTCTTGAAGAATAAGGTTGGAAAGCCCGTGTGATGGTAATTATTATGAACTTGATAGGTGTTTTAGTTGGGGGATGTGTAAGATTAAATCCCTGAAAGGGAAAATTCATTGCATATTCAGATATGATTAAAGAAAAGGTATAAATTTTAAAATAAATTGAAATTGCAAAATATGTAGTGTGTAAATTTTTTTTCACTGAGTGCCCTTATCTTTGTTCCACTGTAAGGACCATTTTTGTGGGTATCAATGAGATTCTTTTGTCTTAATGACTAAATTTGCAATAATTGCCGTGAGTATAGAACTTCCAATTTTAAACGAATACAGAATGGTGGCAATCAATGTGACCCAGTATAATTGAATTATTACAAATCTTGAAAGGACTAATAAAACTAAGGGCTGCTCTCTGAGTAGGCTGTACTAACCCTCCATCTATTTGTGACCTGATGGTGGTTGCTTCCTTCTTTCCCTGCCGAAACACAACATTGGCCATTCTATTCATTAAGATTTTTGAATCAGGCACTCTTTCTCGACTTTGCAATGTGGAAATTTTTCAGGTAAGTGCCTTCTCAAAGCCCCATTTCATCCTCAACGTGTCTCACCATGCTCATCTAATTCTCTCTCCGAGATGTATCTTCTGGGAGGTGAGAGCTCAGGTGCTCTATCTTCTTTCCTAGTTTCAGGAGTGGTAGACAACCCAACTGCGCTGGGTCTCTGCAGAAACCTTTCACTTTTGGTTCTTGCTTTCATTGTCAATCTATTCCACGGCCCTGAACTATCTTTTCCTTTGCCTGGTACTATGAATGCGTAAAAGTAAAGAACGGTGGATATTTTTCCCATTGTTCTTTGAAGAAAACCTACGTTCAATCATTCTCTCACATTAAACCTGAGTGGCATAAACATGATCATAATCTGAACCATGATTTCGAAGAATTGTTCAAAAAACTCTCAAATTAGTCCCATGATTTCTTAGTTATGCCCGCTATTTCCATATCATCCACCTGCTTAGTAAAATTTTGATAAGCTTTTAGAGGAATTTGAAATGACATTGAAATTAAGGTCTTGCAGTTAAGTTTCCTTATTTGCCATCCCTCACTTTCTTTTTTATTGCTCTGATTATCTTGGCTCTGGTTCCTCTACCATAGGTGTCAGCGTTATCTATCATGAAATACTTAATGGTCTCTAAGAGAGCATATTTAACCATCTAGTCCTCTAATGAAGAGGTTTATAATGCCGGGTTCGTTGAAGGCCGCACAAGAGCACATAGATCTGGGCCCCGTAACCTGTTGCTGCATCGATATCAGGCACATACTTTTAATACTGAAATTTCACCTTAAATAGTTTACGAATAATGAAATTTTAAACATAAATAGTAGTACATTAAGGCTTGTCTTTATACTGAGCAATGTGGGCAATTGTTTCTACATCCTTAGCCTAACGTGTGATCCATATGCAATATAATGTCTTCTCCACAGAACCCAGGGCTTTCTGGCTCTGTTCACTGGTGACACTGGGGAGATTCGGGCGGAGGTGAGGGAGCAGATCGACACGAAGGTGGCAGAGTGGAGGGAGGAGGGGAAGGCGGAGATCATCCCCGGGGTGCTGTTCATCGATGAGGTCCACATGCTTGACATCGAGTGCTTCTCCTTCCTCAACCGGGCCCTGGAGAACGACATGGCCCCAATCCTCGTGACCGCCACCAACAGGGGCATCACTACCATCCGCGGCACCAGCTACCGATCCCCGCACGGCATCCCCATCGACTTTCTCGACCGGCTCCTGATCATCACGACGCAGCCCTACACAGAGGCGGAGCTCCGCCAGATCCTCGACATCCGGGCCCAGGAGGAGGAGGTGGAGATGTCCGAGGATGCCAAGGTCCTTCTCACCAAGATTGGTGTGCAGACCTCCTTGAGGTACTCGATCCATCTGATCACCGCGGCCGCCCTGGCGTGCCAGAAGCGTCGGGGGAGGACGGTGGAGATGGAGGACATCAGCCGGGCCTACCAGCTGTTCATCGACGTCAAGAGGTCGACCCAGTACCTGATGGAGTACCAGAGTCAGTACATGTTCAACGAGGTACCGAGGGAGGCTGAGGACGAGGGGATGCAACCTTGATCCACCTCCTCCCCCCCCTTAGTGGTCGCACTGCTCTCTTTTTTATTTAAGCTGCCTTTCCAGGAAGATTGGAGATGAGGATTCTCTTGACGATGTAATAGAATTCAGGGCCTGGTTGATGAGGGGTGGGGGTTGGTCAGACTTTCAAGTGAGGTTCTTCTACTGCTGACCATGGTGGAGGGCAGGCGTCTTTCATGGGCATTAGAGGAAGGAGAGATTCAATGGCAATGGCAGGGTTCTCCTGTGTCTGCTCCTGGTTCATCTTCTCTTCTACCTCTGTCTTGGTGTTTTTCTTCGCTTGATGCTGTACCAAGGAGAGTCTACCTCGGAAAATGTTTGGAAACTGCTGGATAAAAGAAAAGTACGTCTTAGAGGATGGCGATGTCTGCTTACGCGGGCTTGTGTCCTCCCTGACATGCGGTTTTCAGCCTGGGTTCTTCCTGGATCGGAGAAAGAGAGTGCGCGCGCGCGCGCGCGCGAGAGAGAGAGAGTAATATTTCTCTATCTCTGTCTGAGCTGGGCCGATCGAATCCCATGCCCAAAAATACTGGGCTGGCGCGGGTTTTGTGGTGAGGTGGCCCGTTGAGGATAAGCCGATTTCGGGGGTCATGGACTAATATAAGAATGTAATGGGCATGAAAGGCAAATGCAGTGTCGAGAGGTTGAAACAAATTTATTGCGTACCGAGTGTCGTCCTCTTCACCGGCATCCTCTCTCTCCCTCTCTGTCATATAAAGTCAGTGCGTAACGGACGCGGGGCAGGGGTGACCTTAGGAAGCTGGTCTTCCTTGTTGCCCCGGCTAATCTGGGGGGACTTCTGCCGGTGGAGAGAGAGAGAGAGAGGGAGCCGTCGGGTCGACTCCTATGGAAGACGACGTGGTCGCCGGAGGAGGGCTGCTGCCTCATACGATCCCCTCTGGCGAGCAGGCGGTCTGGGTGGACGCTTCCCAACTTCTCCAGGCCGCCTGCAATGGTGACAACATTTTGTTTCCTCTTGTTCTGTACCTGTCTGGTCGTACGATATTGTGTATGTCTGTGTGTTCATGCTACGTGCATATCCGCTGTCTCTTTAGAAGTTTGATTTTGATCTTCTCGTCACCTTATTTTGAATCGGAAACCGTTAATATGGCACTCGGGTTGGAAGCCTGAGAAAATGGTTTCACGCTATTTTACACGGATTTTTTTGGGTTTTTGGGGGAGTGCAGAAGTACAGTTTCTTTTTTTTTTTCTCTATAGAAAGCTATTTTGGGCTTATAGGACGAGAAGGGGGATGCTTTTTCGGTGTATTGCGGATACTTATGCCTTAGAGAGGATGGGGAACTGCAAGATGCGCAAGCAACCTGTTGTATGCAATTTCGAACATTAGTGCATATCTCCCAATCCAACCCGTGTACCTCCTCATTGGCCATAGTATATATCTCTTGTGATATTGTATGTTATATCTATTTATGTACCAAAATATTCCTGTTTATTACAGGTTAAGGTTTATCAATGTGTTCCATATGTTATGTTGATTATATGGTAAGTTATCAGCCATTTGATTCTCTTTTAATCTTGCACTACAGATCTCCAGGATGGAGAGCTTATCTGTGCGGAGAATTTCAATCTCTTTGCCGCTATGTCTGCCTTGGAGGTAATAGATACTTTAATTATGTAAATTTATGATACTTATATTTGCTTTAAAAAATGGTAATACTAGTCCGAAGGTTGGTCCTTTTTTCTCCATAGTATCCACAAGGCAGGTGTTCAACCATGCCAAATGTTTTGCAATCAGGTTTCACTCCATCAAGTATTTGATAAAACAATTATTTGAATAATGACGAGATATGGAAACTGCTTCCCAATGAAATTTTTTGATATGTTTTTTGAAACATTGTATTTTTCCTCGTGTTCTTCAAATGCCATATTTGCTTCTCTTTTATCTTTGATCTTCGGATGCAGTGATGATGTTGATGATTTAACTTAAAATATAATAAATTATAGTCATCACATATGGATTTAATTCTTGAAAACAATTTGCATCTGTTTCATTACCCTGTTATTACTTCAAAACTTATTTTGTCTCATATGCTTTATCTGGCATTTTATGTTTGTATTTTGTAGATAATGGATCCAAAAATGGATTCGGGAATGGAAAAATGCGGATATCAGTCTCTCGAAGAAGCAATTGAAAATGGAGCTGCTCCTGTTCCCCTCAGTTCGGACAGGACTCTTGACGTCCAATACTGCATTGATGTCATGGATCACCTATTAACATGCGAGGTTGAGTCCATGTAATACTGCTTGCATCATGTGTTCTTTCATGGATCTAAAATTCAACATGACATTACTTTTCAGGCAACGTGGCACAGGGGACATTCACTGGCACAAACAGTCTTTTCATGCATATATCTCCTTAAAATTGAAAGGACATCTTCGCATGCATTATTACATTCTTATTGCCGGATCATTAGGGCTACATGTAACTTGGTTGTGTCAGCTGTCTCAGATGCACGTACACATGAGGTAAATATCCAGTAAAGTTTTCTTTAATTGGACAATTGAGTCTGATTTATTTCTTGGTCGCGCTAAGTACCAGATGGACTATTTATCTCACCTCTGACATAACAGTTAGCATGGACAGCTTGGAAACTGTTATGTGAACATGATGAAACATTGTATCACAAGCTTCTAATAATATTCTGAAACCCTGGTCCCTCTCAAATGCTTCACAACATCAGTGCTGTTATAGCGCTTGTCCTTAGCATAACTGTTTACCCCATACATGCTGATTTTGACATCTTCTAACGAGTTGGCCTTGTTTCCCGTGGCAATGTCCTGTCAATTTAATCATTCCCTTTCTTGAGCAACTAAAAATCATAACTGGCCATCAGTAATTCTTTTTGAGTTAAGAAAAAAGTCTCTCTGACATTTTAAACTAAAGGTCACGCTTTCTTTCAGAGCTAAAAGATGGGTAATTTTTTTTGTCCCTCTGTAGGAAATAGAGCTAAGCGATTGTGATCGATTAGGAAATGAATGATGCATAATAGAAGACTTATATGTTGCTATGGACTTTGGCATGCCATGTTGACTGCTTTTAAGGGCCATGCGATTTCAGAACTGGCAAGTATAGCCTTGTTTTAGCCTATATAGGCTACATTAGAACGTTGTGATGCTATTGTGCATAATTGCTTAAGAAACTTTATGTTTTGGTTAATGATAAATGAAATATTGATTAATGATCACATCCTCAGGGTTTTGCTGTGCTTCTTGGAAACAATAGAGCTTAGGCTCTGCAGTCTTTTGCCTGTATATAAGGTCATAATTTGTCGTTATGGACATGTGTTGGAGTTGTTGAATGTAGAGCAAACGGTAGCACATAATATAACAAAAGTACACTCATGAATATAACGACAGATACCACGCCAGTGAAAAAATATCAGAATAAAATGATATCTGGTTATCAGAAAGTAAAAGCTATCTGATTTTTCCCATAATTAGCTTTTCCTGAGCGTCATACAGTTTGTCACTGACTACATTGAATCAGTGAAAAGAGGGATATTAATTGCTTAAGTTTGTTATCTTTAAAAATATAAGTGTAAAATGTCATAAATCATCCATCTTTAAAAAAATGAAGGATCATCATTAATGTAACTAAGCATCATCCTGTTGACATTGTGTACGTTTAAAGATATTAAATTGGTCTTCATGATTCTGATTTATGCAAGGAGCAATATACTTTAGAACAATCCCCGTTATAAATATGGTTTTTTTGCGTATCTTGTAAAAATATATGTATGCATATTGGAAAACAACCTTTTTATTTACATTTATAACATGATTTGTGTTTTTTCCTCCAATTTGATCCGAGATGTAGCTCCACTTTGAAGAACCTTGGATGGAAGCAAAGGGTGTTTAGTAGATCCATTGTTTGATTCGTAATGGCTCGACAAGAAAAAATAATTAATAGAAGACTATTTATTAATGATCAAATTGGAATGATGAGGAATCCTAAAATCAGATTAAATCGTTCATTGTGAACCACCATTTTGGATCATCTCTATTGTAAAGCGTTGGGTACCTATTAGACTGAGGTGTACTCACTGCAATGCCAACTATAGGAAAATATGCTGGATTCTGGCTACAATGTATTCTTAGATGTTTGCAAGAGCCATAAAGGCATGGTGTGAATTGAAGTAGAGAAAGATCAATTTGTACTTTGGAGCTCTTTGGAATGTTTCACTTGTCATGGTTGATTGTTGCCTTCCATCTTTCAGTTCTTCATGTATTGGCAGCTTTGGGGACATGTAATTTGAAAGAGAACGCTTTGAATTGATCACTCATTCTTTAGCATGGAAAGTTACCATTTACCAAATTGTATTTTATACGGGTCATTCTAGGAAGTCTGCATGCTATGAATTAATCATCCAACCTGTTATTAGTAGCATTTCAATGAAGTTCTATATGGCATGGTGTTCAAAACATGGTTCTTAAGACATTGCATAGGTAATAGTCAACACGAAAAGTTGGCCCCAATACCCTGGGCATCTGGATCACCAAGGTACCTTTGATGCCTATTCATAGTGCCTATGCAACATTCCTTTGCAATTCATCCATCATGCATTGTCCAAGTATGTGATGAAGGATCCGATTTTGCCTTTGTATCCCATCATGAAATGCACAATGAACAACTGAATCGAGTTTGGGAGATGGGCAAAGCATTTGTGGCGGCTGAACACTCGACATTTTTAATTTTTATACCAAGACAGTTTTTTTATTTTTTGAATTATTTAGGTTTTTTTATATGTTCTATATTTTATTCGTAACTATTTTTTAGAAAGAATGTTTACCTTTATTTTACATATGTTGCGTATATAGTTTCTTATTTATTTATTATTTATTATTATTATTATTAATTATTATTTATTTATATTTAAGTTATTGTTGATATAATTATTGAAATGTTTTGCCCAGTAGGCTTGGTGTAAAGTCGTAGACTGCTGCCTTGATCATCCAGGTCATCTTCAGAAACATGGTTCAAAGTGTACTTCCTTTTTTATTGGGGTCCTGGGGAAATTATTTTTACTGACACTTTAGATGGCCTCTTTGCATTTAGTTCTACTAAAGAATATGGTGAGGTATATTGTCATCACTCATTGTGATACTACTATAATCCACTCCTAATGCATCTTCATGTTTCTAATTTTTAATCTTTACCTTTAAATATCGCCTAAGTGTCCATAATTAACGTTTCTCCTCTTGAAGTGCTGTGTAGAACATAGATGTGATTGAGTATCTAATTTCTCGTTTTAATGGCAGGAGGAAGACCTTTTTACCATGTGTTATGGTTTGCCATTGAAAGGGGAGGGTGATGAAAAATGCTTACACATCCTAAATTCAGTAGAAGAAACGCTTTCTCGTCAATTGCGCGCTTGTAAGGCTACAGTTTCCAAGAAGAAGTTTTCTGAAGGTATTTAACTATTTTTCGAAAATGGCACCCATTTTAAATTCTATCAAATTTATTTATCAATGAAAATTTTTGTGTTGAATGCAGTAGTTTCATGGTAAAAAACTTTTCTTTCTATGGGACTTCAGTTAGCATCCTTTATTTGTCAAAACTTCAATAAATTTCACTAAGTTTTTAATCAAACTTGCTGAATACCCATTCCTTGCCCCTTTTGCCTCTTCATGAAATTAGACCTGCGACAGTATATGACGATTTTAGCCTTTAAATGATAGGCTTAGACATGCTTAGTGGTCTGTGGTGTCAATGGCTGTAACAGGGCCTCATAATAATTAATCGAAGTATGGATGCATAATAACCAAATCAAAAGCTTAGTGTGCATAGATTCTGATAAGAATTAATGTACTGAATGCAGTACTCGAGGTAGAATTGGATTCAGGAAGAGGACAGTAGTGTGGCTTCTTTCTGCACCTTGGCTTCAGTTAGGAAAGGCATACTGTCATGTAATTATGGGATGATAATCACAGAAAGGCTTTCCTGTTGTCATTTTTTTAACTTCCACTTCCATGGTCTGTTTTCCTTGATCTTTTAAAGTAGGAATCAGAAATGTTATCAATAGCCACCCTCCTTGAAGGAAGTTGGATGGAGGACAAGGCATAAGGGCTGGACGACCTCTTTCAGCTCTTGTGGTAGTTGCTCAAAGAAGTCTCTTAATGGCTGGAAAGGAGTTTTAGAAAGCAAAGATCTCATTTATGGGTTTCACGATATGTTTTTCGTCCTTATCTTATAGCATGAGATGTAGAGAAACTAGAAGAGTCCTGCCAACCTGCCTCCACGATGTTCCCGGGGGGCTCACCCGTGGAAACCCCCAACTGTGGATTATTTGGGAAATTTGCTTGATTTTTGCTGTCAAATTACCTTCCTTTTATGTCATGCAAAAATTAGTAATTTTGGCCCATGCATATGAAAGTGCCCTTTTACTTTAGATAATGTAAATACATCATAGGGGTTATTGCTGTTATTGTCGCTCTACCGAGAGAAGGCTATTGCAACATGAGAATCTCCCTCAATCCTGAGCTACCGTCCTCTTTTGTTGGGAATCGTGGTAGGCTGCAAAAGTGGAGATAATTGGGCCCGTCTTTTACCCAATGGATTGTATATCGTTGATGTTCACAAGAAGCATGCCTTTTCTTTTCAAGGATCCAAGGTTGAATGGCTTTTTGATGAATCCCTGGATGGCCGAGACACATAATTTTGGACTTTTGAGATATAAGTTCTCTATCCTCTGAAGTCAAATAGTTTTAGTTTAATGCATGAGGAAATAAAACACAATATGCATTATATGTGGCTACACTTCATATATCAAGGGATATTCGCACATTCATGTTACTGTGTTTTTCCTGGGAAAACTGATACTTTTTTTTTGTGTACCACCTTCTACTTTTTACTTTCTATATTAAGCTAATTGATGTCCTACCTTCTTTAATATGATATGGTAGTCGTTTATGCGCTATTTTTAATGTTCTGGAGTACTGTTATCGAGATGTTTTGAAATGATTCTAGTTTCCAGTATAGTAGACTTCTTTCAAGGGATTTTAACGGTTATATGCTAAATTTAATGCATCTGAAGGGAGGGATAGTTATTTTTTTATTGTTTTGTATAATTTCGTAAATTTCTGCCTCTGCAATAACTTTTCAATTTTTTTTGTTTAAAAAGTTTTTTATGTTTTTGTAGTTAAGATATCAGCTACCAAAGTTTGATGATCTTCGTTAATGCAGACATTGAATCCTTACAGCCTATTGTTGACTTGGAAGAGGGATACTGCAAGGCCTTACTATCTCGTTTACGCTTCCGTAAGGTCTTGCCCCATGTACCTGTTTATTTTTCATATATTTATTAGAAAATATGTTAGTTTGTAACCACTGTTTAGTCGTATATGATTTTAAGGTTTTTTATGTTTAATAAACTTCAATATGTTGCATCTTTACACTAGAGTTTTATGTGAACGAATCGCATATCCTTTATTTATGTATTTTATTCTTCATGTTTTTCTTTTACGCTCACCCATGTAAGTGTTTATTGACTGTTTAACATTTTGTGTATAGTGTTACCCTTCTAAGCTAAAACTGTGTTTCAGTATAGTTTTTCTTCTTGAGTTTTCTATGGTATTATTTCCAATTTGTACAGCACTTCTACCACGTCCTCATGTGCATGAGGAAATCACAAGGAAGAGGATTAGAGTTAGCCAGGAAACATATTGCAGCATGCCTTTGTGAGCTAGCCCTCATTCTCAAGTCACTGGAGTTCCTCAGGTTTAATGCACATGGATCTCAGCAAGATGACATTAAATGTGGAACCACAGCCTCTGGCTGTGAGCCTACTGGCTTTGCTGCTAATTTGAACAGCAGATTGTTAGCCCCTGCTCCTCCACGTGCAATCAAACTTCTCAGTTGGATTGAGGTGAGCAGCTGAAGCAAAAGAATAGGATCATTTGAATCACGGACTCTTCCATTTTTGCTGACTTTTCTATTCTTTACAGGCTATCAAGTATTTCAAGAAACTTCTCCATGACCTAGATGCTATTTGTTCATTTCCGTTGGATCCAAGTCTAGAAGGTGTTCTTCATTTTGTGGTCCAATTTCAGAAATCTCAGCCAGACTTGATTGCTAGAGCTCACCTACAGGTCTGCTCATTACATTTGTTATTGTTAATTTTCTTCTCTGGTTGTAATATGTGCAGTCTGCATCTCCATTACAAATTAGGATGGTGATTGTTTCTTAACCATTTTCCCTGATCTTTACAAAGCCTCCTTTTTGTTTATCCAATGATTCAACTAATTGAATTCAAATCAAATGCAAGCTCCGTGTCAATAACAAGCGGTCCAATTGAAGTACAGAAAAAAAAAACTACATGCCTAGCACACTTCAATATGGTCTTCTAAATTTAAAAACGTTGATGTCCTTGAGAAAAAGCTTTAAGATATAGTCCAGGTTGGGATCAATTAGATGAGTGGGAGATCTGGGAGCCAGCAAGCTGCATGATTGGAAATGATAGTTTCATCAAATTCCGGGAGAAGTGTCATTAAGTAGCTGATTTTGGAAATGATATATTATTTGGTCTTTATCATTTTAAAATGGAGATGAAAACTGTTGGGCTTTATTGTCAGTAGAATTGTATCAGGATGTGGTGGGAGATCATTACTAAATTCTCAGCATAACCATTTTCGTGATATGGTACTATCACTTGAGTGAAGTGTGTACTATAGGTATCTCTTGATATTGAGATTTTTGCAGCTGATGGTCCAACTAATCATAGCTTCAAATATCACTGTTACCTGTCTGCTTTTTCTTTTGGAGGGGCATTGTGGGTTTGGTTCCTCACCTTCATATTTTCAAAATTATGTTACGAAGTCATGCAATTGCGGACTCTTTTCAAATTGAGAATTGGCGTCAATCTTCCTTGAGAATTGAATTGTACGTATTTACTTCTTTGTTCTATTTGGTAGCAGTCGTGTGGACTTCCTCAGTGCATTTTTTCATATTACAATTTAACGTTTCATTTGAGGTGTATCTTTGCTAGCCTACCTGACGTTAAAATATATCTCTTTTTTATATGAGCATGTTTTGTTTACACCCCCGTCTGTGCTGTGTTTTAGGTTCCAATTATCATTTTGTCTTGATTGGTACCAAAACCGCCGACTGCTGCTGATTTAGTTTTATATTTTTTTTCCTCTTCTTATTTAATTTTATATATTTTCTTCCAAATTCATATTTTTGAAGTTGATTACACACGACAAAGATTTAATGATTTAAATTGCCAACTCTAGGCTTTCCTTTCTGCTTGTTGAAGTCTGTGATATTTTTGGGCTTATTAATGTTCTTTTTAAGTTACTGGAGCATCCTTATCTCTTGTAGTGATTCTGCATTCTCATTTTGCTCCTGGATCTAAATGACAAATGAACAGCTATTGTTGATTCAAGATGGCAAACTTTATGGGCGATACCCTTTCTCTGATGTGATCATCAAATCCTTATCTATTCCTGAGGCTATGAGGAACCAAGAATTCCAGAAAGAGTTTCAGAAAAATGAGTCTGTCACTCAGCTGGAACAGGTCAGGATAGTTTTTAATTACATGTTATTTTCTATGCCCTATCAAAACATGATCGTATTATTTATATATTTTACTGTTTCTCTATAACTCTTTTACTGATTTACAGCTTGTAGTGTACTTGCTTAAAGTCATTTGCGCAAACACTGCATGGCAACGACGTAAACTTGGAAAGATACTACAAGATTGGAGCGTCGTCACCATACAGGCATGTGATTCTTTAACAAGAGCAAGTTCCTTTTTGAATCATTACCTTCCTTCATTTCTGTATTTCCTTATTTTCATCTTTCATTTCCATATTTTGTGGCCTACGCATTTGTATGTGATAGATAAATATGTGCCATGTAAAAGTGGCTTCATGTATTTTGCTTGATTTTTTGCGCTTATACAAGGTTAATTGGAAGACAATTGCATGAAAGAATATATATACAGTTGCTATCTGTATTATTCCAAGTCTGGTAGAGGACTAATGACTTAGGGAAACCTCTTCTGATGTAGCTGGTGCAAATAGTGGCCACTCTAGTGCGTTATGATCTTGCTGAATCTCAGGTTCATTCCAGTTGTAAGCACACCATTCTGTCATAATGATGGACCCAGTACTGTAATCGAACGCATTAATGAGATTTTAGCCCCTAGCAACCTGCTGAACCCATTGCCAATGAGCTAGCCGATCTTAATTCTTAAGAATGCTTCTAAGCAAGACCATCTGGCCCACAATGATCTTCTGGAAAGGTACCATCAATGAACTTGGTTTTTATCAGCCATTCTAGAAAGATGAAGTTATATGGACTTATTTATTTCTCTTTTAAACGTGAAGTTAGGCTTATATTCCTAACTCGTGTTACTTCAGAGATAGTCTCTGCCTATGGCCTTATGCTACCTCTCTCCTGTTTGAACGGTAACTATACTTTAAATGATGGGCAGGCTCATTCCAATGTATTTTTCTGCATATCTAATCTCTATGTTACTCGGGTGACGCATGGTTTATTCCATTTGGTAATCAGGAATAGATATGCTGCAGTATGTTTTCTGCCAAAAAGATGGAACTGCTTAAAATTCTGAAAGCATGGCACCAGATTTTTTCCCATTCCGTTTTCCAACACTCAACGGTGAAAATAGATTAATGAGAGACAAAATAAATTTAGGGTTCCTATGATCTATCTGGTTGAAATCAGTTTCGGATTATTTATTCGTAATTCGGCTGCAAGCCATGCATATGGTAAAAAAATCTTGTGGATATGACGAGCTTCATAGGGCTGCATGAGGTTTAAATATTTGGATTGCATCCATGGTCGTATTCCTTTGGTTGATATATGATTTACTGCTCTGCCTAAGGAAATATCTTGTCTTTCCTTACTTCTCTCCCCTAAGTTCCTTATTCTGTTCTATTATTAGCCTTGAAGATCATCTAGAAATTAAATGTGGTTCTTGTCACAGCTGGAGCTGGCATTTAGAACGCAGTTTGGGGAATTGTCCACCTCTTCCATTGATGAGGTGCTTAATCTTTATTCCTCCCCACCCTTTTTTCACTTATATACACTTATATATGCCCACACTAATGTGCTTGTGGCATGTGATATCTTAAAATCACTAACCATGTACAATATAATTTATTGTTTTAACAGAATTTATGTACAAAAGTATCAAAACATCTCCTTATTTGGGCAGAAGAACAGACCTACTGGATTGCTTCTCGGTTCTTAATGCTGGGGTTTGAGCTGGATCTCTACTCCCCCAGTGAATACTGCATGGTCTATTGGTACATGTATGTTGTTTTCATCAAACGCTTGGAGAAGATGCAGCTCAGATTATCGAGCAACATCAATAACTGTAAGCATCATTTTTCCTCTGTATTTATTCACCTCTCAACTCATTTTCCAGCCTGTTAGTGCATCGTTAGAAGCAAATGTCAGATAATAGATCATACGTTAAAACTATCATTGGCCTCTGCTTCTTTTGCATATTAGGGGAAGCTGTGCCTAGTAGAGGTTTGAAGTGGAATTTTTTGAGAATCTACAATAATAAATGTAGTTTTCATCAAGCTCGTCACATTTTTTTTATGGGATATAATTAAGTTTGAACTTATTTTTCATGGGTAGCCCTGAAGAGAGGGAAGAAGAAGAGGGAGCTTCCCAGGGATGGGGTGGCAGAGTTCTCGCCACCAATCTTGTTACTGCAGTGCTATGTTTGCATGTCTGAAGGGTTGGCCATGGTGCTCTTCTTCTCTTCTCTCTTTCCCCTAAATTTAATTATTTTCTTCTGAACCCTGAATCATTCTGAATAATACACATGTTTTGTTTCCAATTTTCTCTCTCCAAGATGCTGGCGGCACTCAGTAACGTGAACAGGGCCTTCCAAGCCCCTACCATTTTCAACACGGAGCAAGAGGTAATGAACTCTTGATTTTCTATTGCATAGTACCCGACCCTGTCAATGCCTGAATCAATTTCCCATTCCCCAGCGATTCAACCAGCATTTTGATCTCCTCCAGAAGGCCCACCTACCTGAGGGCGTCTCTTACGAGCTCTACAAGGAATCAATTGCCCATGCGGATATTTCTGTATGTAGTAATTATTGCCCTGTTCAAACTCTAGAAACTACCCACAATCTGACATAATCTCCTCTTCACCTGATCCAGAACATTAGAAACTGCCATTATTTTCTCGATGCCCAGAAGATTGTGGCAGCTCTCAGGGGCAGGCTTGGCAACGAGGCCGGCAGGCTGGCCGAGCTGCAGCAGATAGAGCAGGTGGCTGAGCACAACCGGATTGCCCTCAGTGTGATTGATCGAGTCGGGCCGTCAGATCCATCACTCCGGGTGACTCTCGAGTTTGATCGTCACCCTTGCTTCGCTGTGGCCGCCATCAAGCGATCCTGAATCTGGCCGATTTTGAGTGTCTCGGAGGTGTCTAAGCAATGCTTGTTATTTTCCAGTTTTGCAGAGGGGAAGGAGCTAGTGTTCCATTTGATTGATCCTTGTAATTTTGTTATTCGGAGTTTTTCGTTTTGAAGAAAAGAAATGGCAGTTTCTAATGAAGAAAAAGATTGCAAGTTAAGGAAGAACATTAATGATTACTTTTCCATCATTTCGTAGCTTGCAAGTTAAGGAAGAACATTCATCTCCTTAGAGAGAAAACATTGGTTCTCCTCTCCCCTTTGGAGCAGTTTTGATCTGGGTTTTTTTTTTTCTTTTTTCTTTTTTTTCTTGGGTGATGCTAATTCCTTGGATGGACAACTAGATATATAAGTAAGCTTATATATTTCACTAATATTTAAGATATAGATAATAAGTCTTATAATAGTCATGAACATAAATCTGAAGGCATTTCCTTGAGCCCTAGTACTTGTGGATATCTACTTCTTGTGGGGGAAGTGGCCTTTTGAACTCCTTTTAGTAAAACAATGAGATGTGTTGACGAACAACAGAAAAATATGATTCATTCTTAATGGAATTTTGTGTGGTTTCTAAAAAGATTACCATGCCTTATTAAATATATTTTAAAATGTTTGGAAAAGTATTACGATGGACTGCCTCATAATGACTATTTATGAAATATATATATATATATATATATGATTACTATTATCACAAACTAAAGTTTATGTTTGGGTTCAGCGTTTTTAAGTTCAACTTAAAAATCTCATGAATTTAGATTGCTGGTCTCAAATGAATGATAGTATGAATGGAGACCAATGTGAATCAATTTTTTTCACCGGGGCCAAAACATGCTATAATTTTGATTCAGGTTCGTTGAAACAAGGTGGGTCAACTCATTTTAAAGTATGAATTCTAGATAGTTTAACTTGTCCATGGAAGAATAATAATGCCGATATTTACTATCTACTTTTACTTTTCTAAACAAACTTTTCTTAGGCTGTACTTGTCAAATATTTGTAATTACCCAGTTATTATGGATATTATGATTTTAAAAATATTAAAAGTGCATGAATTTATTTTCTGTAACACAAGATCTCTTTTTTTTGCGAACTGGGATTGATAAATCAAAAAAATTAACTAGAGGTGAGTTAGTCTTTTTTTTTAATCAGTTTAGTTGTCAAAAAAATCTGATGTAATAAATGAGAGATATTATAATTACGGTAAATTAGTTACATTAAGTAATAAAGCTATACAATTTATAGTAGTTGAGCCCTCCATGCCTCCTACTTCACTTTCCTAAGATACATTTTCTAGGTCCTCCATGCCTCCTATCCACATATGATACAACAATTAAGCATCAAGTGTCAAATCTTAGTAAACTTATGATGCTAAGCAGTCAAACGCAAGATCCAATGCTTTTTTCACTATTTTATTTTCGTGAGTCTAGAAAATATGTAAATAGTAGCTTACTACCTATGGTAGACTTTTACTATTATAGTCCATCGAAATCAAGGATAACTAAATTTAACTTGATAGTGGTCTGATTCCAAAGCTTTCTCATAGTGCGCCATGCTGGCCTAAAATTCAAAGTGTTTATCACAACTTTATCATCTTAAAATATTGTCCAGAAAATTTCAACCAAAAGGTGTTAACTTGACATTCATAAGGTGAGTGAGTACATACTATCAAAACTGTCTCTCACAATTTAGTACCTAATTATATAATAAAATATTCTCTACATAAAATAATGAGAAATATTTTTTTGTAAAGTGAAAAACTTTTCTTTGGAGGTAAAACTTAACAATCAATAGATAATACAGATTATTCTTCTTTAATTTATAAGAAAACAAAATTACCATTAGATTCTTATAATTTTGAGAGCTACTGTTTAAAAAGACACCATGTGAAGATATTACGATAATACTACTGTGAATGGTAACTAAATAATCATTTGGTAATTTCTTTCACAGTACCAACACATTTTTTTTGCTCAAAGTTAATATGGGCTTCTTTTTTTTTTTTACGTATATTTTTTAGTCTGTAAATATGGTGAGGTTTTTCTCTATTTCAGGTGACGGTCCGGAACAATTTGACGGGTCTCATAGTGGATTGGGAAACCAGCCCTCTTTGTTGGCCTCTCCCCTTGATTTGGGCGGGGCGGGGCGGGGCGGGGCGGGGCGTGTTAGTAGGGCTTCTTCGGCGACATCTCTCTGCTGCTTCAGCATCTCCCCCAGCCACGCTCCTGCTCTCGACGAGGAAATGGTGGCATCGCCGGAGCCTGTGTGGCCTTCGGCGAAGGGGCCGTGATGTTCTGGATCATCCTCAAGGGTTCGCTGTGGACGGATGAGCGGTTGTGGGGACGTTGCTCGGTAAATGGAGGTGGAGTTGTGGAGCATCCTACCGGCTGGTGCTAGGTCACGAGTAAGACGCTCGAGGAAGAATTTCCTGTTTTTTTTTCTCTTTCAACTGTTTTATGGTCTCTTTCTGTGCCAGTAGGTGCGAAGTGTACGGTTTTCTTTTCTGCTTTCTCTGTTCTACTTTTGTTGATTCCACGGACTGTTCGCTGTTTCCGCTCATCTCATAGAGCGCCCCCCCCCTTTTCGAAGAGTGTGCCTCAAGGTTAGCTCCTGTTCTGTTTTGAATTTTTTCCTGGTGGTGTTGGTTCTGGTGGTTCAGGGCCAGGCCACGGGGAAGTTGGGGATGTCTCGAATTATTTATTTTTCAAAATGTTAGAGCAATGTTAGAGCAGAAACCTTTGCTCCCTCCTTGTACCTTCTGTAGTTCTTGGTTTCTTAGTACGGTCTCCGGTCTGTCGAATCATCTTTTGATGATTCAGACAATCCTGGATCCAGTACAGAGGGATTACGTAAGAAGGATGGCATAAGAAGGCAAGGTAGAAAGAACTAGAAGGGAAAGATATCGCCAGAGAGGTTGGGAACATTTGCGTTGAGACATCGTTAGAAGTTTAAGCTTCTCAGGACGGTGGGCTGGAAAGGAGACTGTACTTCTTATTTGGTTGCATGATATTATGCGGAGGCTATGGTTCTCGTGAAAAGTTATGCAGCTTTTGTTGATCTTTCCATATTGTCTGGAGGCTCCAGATTGCTCCATGCCTTTATCACTTTTTCTCGTTGTTAGACGTTTTATGATGGGTGGTATGGCTTATAGCCAAATATTTTATGCTGTAAGGTAGGTTAATAGCTTGCCTGTGTCCATAGAAATCATGAGGGACTCGGAGGGTAATGGCGCATATACAGTTTGGGAAATTGATACTGGACATTAACTAGTCAATGGGTCTCTTGTGATGATCATTGAAGAGATTTCCAGGTCCGATGGTACAGGATTACGTAGGGAGAGGTGTGAATGGAGGTGTCGATGATGAATGCCAGAAAAATGATTAGGGAGACCCGGATGAGATGGATAGATCTGATGAATTTTCTGATATGGTTAGTCGGTGGTAACATTTGACTTTGATGCCCTAATTTGATTATTATGTGCCTATGATCTAGAATCCTGCTAGATCGTACAAGTGTTTTGGTTTTGCTGGTTAGATCTAATCCGAAAATTTTCTCACAAATCAATATCTTTTGACAATGGTTATGAGGACTCAGGTCGAGATCACCTCTGAGTTATCAGGATTCGTGTGCAGTTCACAACTTTAAAATATCATTAACTGCAGTAGAAGACTGTGGGGATGAGTCTGGTGCGGGGCTTCTTTTTCTCTTTCCTTTTTTGATGTGTGTAATTTCATTGGATAAGGATTTGATTATTTATGAGTTTCGTGCAATTTTTTTAGTTGTTTTTACCTACTGGTACCGACTTTGAAAATCTTGTTTGCTCTTGCTTGCGTTTTTCGTCACTTTTCTAAATTTTTTTGATTGCTAATGTTATGGGTTTTGTAATAGCACCAAAATTGCTTTACGGTTGATAAATACAAAAAATAAATTCTTCAAATCGTCCTTTCTGATTTACAGCTGTAATTATGATGAACTATTAAAATTTAAGGATGAAACGTTTCTAGTAATATTATATTTGATATGGCTGGCATGTTTACTCCGTTCAGAATATCTGCCAGGTTCATGATGATTCTGCTTATTTCTTTCATCAGTTTAATGTGATAGTAGTTTTCTCTGATTCTTCCATTTTTCTTTTCCACTTGATTGCGCTCTGCAGAGTGTTGAAAGAAAATCGTGCATTTCCAATTTAGTTCGCTTTACTGTTCAAGAAATTCGTGAATTTTCAGGAAATAATAAGGTCCAGAACAACCTGTAATCTTGGCAAAATATAAAAAAACTCTATATCAGACAGTATACTATGGGCATTATAGGAATGATATCTTGATGCCAGAAAAGTTCAGGATTGGGTGATTTATCAAATCTCAGCATGCAGCCAAATAATCTGACCCATTAATAGCTTTCCTGCCAGTCAATATTGGTGTAAAACCTTCGTTCAGATTTAACTTGACTTCAGGATACTTTTGGGGTGTAATCTTCCTATTAATGCATTGTTGTTAGGCTTAAGATGCTCAATGGAGTGGCTCTTTTTTGGATTATAACATACGCTTTTAATCTCAATGATTTGATATTTTGTTACACTTGTTCTGCATAGGTGCTAGTACTGATAGATTTTGATGTACTTATTGTTTCCTTATGCAGATGTTGGTTCTCTGGTTTGTATAGATAAACGTCAATCGTCACAAGTGAACTTGAAATGATGTGGAATGCTGGAGCTAATAATGTAAATTTTAGAGATCAGAGGAGTGGTTATGGTCTTGTAGGGACAGAGTTAACATCTGTCCAGAAAATTCCTTCAGTTGATGGTTCTAAAGCGTTTTTAGCTGAATCTTCTGGAAATAGAGAGACCAGTTTTCATGTAGGCGATAAGTTCTCAAGTGATGTCTCATCAGTGCTTAAGAGAAATTTAAGTGGCAACTTGCAGTATGGGTCTGAGGGGATATTTTCACAGCAGATTTTTTGGGCAGCAAACGCGCAAGGAGGGAATCAAGGCATGCATATTGTCCATAATCCTCAGCCTGAAAAAACAAATATTGGGTGGCCACAGGGTGTGAATGGCCAATATGCTGATCCAAACAACTACTCTACAGGCATGCAAACAAAAGGTATAGATTTCCAGGGATCTGGTTTAAGCAAGGTGGGATTTGTGTCCCATGTCTCAGGACTGTCGCCTGTTAACGTTGCATCTGTTGAGGATTTCTCTCAGCCACCTGTTTCACATAATTTTATGCATAGTTTGCCCAACCTGTCTGGTCAAGGTAGATTACTATCATATCCTGGTGAGAGTGCCGGTGCTGTTGGAAAGGTCCAGCCTAATTTCAACTCTCAGGACGTGATGAACCCGGCTGCTGGGGATTCTGTTCCGCCAAATCTTTCATCTGCCAGCCAAACGAATGTGCCCTACGAAAGTAAGATGCCTTCCGAATTTTCACAGGTTGGAATTGGTCAAACGGAGATGTCTGTTAGTGAGTCAAATCTTGATGGTAAGAACATTAATGGTGGTGTATTCTATGTTGGAACTGCCACTGAGCCTTTGAAGGATGGTTCTAGTAGGGATGTGGGAAGATTTCTCAATGTGTCAATCAATCCTGAACAAATATCTGTCGTAACAGAAAGTAATCAAGTTCATGGGTCGTATCATTACCCTAAAATTGATGCTCAGTCACTAAGTTCTCCATGGGGAAATATTTTAGGTACTAGCTCTAATGCAAAGGATTTAGCAAAGAATGGGTCTGCTGTTTCTGAAAATTATTCTGACGCTTATAGCAAGGCATGTGAAGCGCTTTTAGCTTATGCACGAATGAAAAGAAGCGCGAATGAATCCCTTACTTCCAAAAAGGCTGATGGTTTCGATAATGGAAGTGGAAATGTAAAAGATGCAGCTTTACCGGAAGTGACTGGTACAGTTGACAAACCTGCTGGAACATGTGAGAGCCAATCCTCTCTTGGGATGGAGAAGTCATCCGTAACAGCAGCCCCAACAATAACTGAAGCACTATGGGACGGAACACTACAGCTAAATGCATCAACAGAAGTATCAGCCATTGCTGTCTTTAAAAGGTTTCATGATTTACCAAGAAGCATTGCTTTTCAAACTATTTTTCCTTTTTCTTTGAAACAACTCATATTTCAGTTACTAATCATTCTGGTAGAATTTGGTGCTTGCGACCAATGTGTCTTCTTTTTTAAATTTGTTTTCTCTTTTAAATGCTGTGGTCACCTTTCTGCGTTGGAATTCTTTTTCCCCTTCTGTTAACTCTCCAAATCAATCTTTCACTTTAAAAAGTGTGTTGAAGGATCATTCAGCACGAATAAACTATGCCATGAGAAACTTGAAGGTAGGTAATGCCTGGTGACTATTTTTACACGAATTCTTCCTGAATATCCAATCGTGTTGGTAATATCACTGAAATAAGCCTAATATTTGATGTGCTTTTTAGCAATATTGTACAAATCTTGTGTACCGCCAAAGAAGACAGATATGGAAGTTACTGTTTACCCTATATCAAGAGAATATGATTTGATTTCTCTTATGCTCTAGGGAGGCTTTATTCTCATTTTTACTCTAAAGTAGACCCCTTCTAAGATGGTAAAACTGTGCATGGATGCACATGTGTAAGAGTGCGGTTTGTAGTCGTCAACTACTCATTTTAAGATCCTGTTCCAAGAAATGAAGCAGGAACTTTACATTCAGGTTTATGTTAAGAGCTAGCCATACGGTGTCAGTTCTTCACCACTTAAATCTCAGTGGTGCTGGTTTTCTAACAGGATGCCAGCTTTTAAATGTAGTGATCCTTATTGGGAATGGTTTTTGCTCTTATGCCATTTGTGAAGACTAAAAACGGTTAATCTGATTGAAAAGGTATATCAACAAAAAAACCTTTCCATGATGAATGTGATACATGAAAGATGAATCTTGTTCTGCCAAAATCAAGCAAAAGTTTCAGAGCTTGTTGTTGTTTCCTCGCTTTCAATATACCAATGCACCACAGCAGTCCTGTTACTTGGAAGTTGATATGGCTTGGAGTTATTTTCTGGATCACGACTGGGGTTTGTGGGCTTTAGATATTAATGCTACACCGGGAAATTAAAACGAAATTCCCTTGAAACAAGTTTTCTCATAAAAATGGATTGTGCAGGCATTCATCGAAATTACTCATTAGGCCCAGGATGAAGGGCCTTTATTTGGAATCCCAGTATGGCATTCTGTATCACTTATCCAGAGAAAATGGTGTTATTCAAATCAGATAAGGCTTTGTAGCCTGTTGCTGTAACACAGGTATAAATCGACTGCATAAAGCTTGCGTGAAACTTGGTCGTCTCTTAAGCAAAAACCGATTAAGTTGCTGAAAGCAGCTTTCTAGATGAATTGCAAATACCTCTATCAGCCATAAACTTCTATATAGGCCGTCCAACAGTGTCAATTTCATTATCCCTGGGATCTGTGATTTATGCCTATAAAAGGCTGCAGGTAAAGTTTCCAGCATGCATGATCAAGAGGGAGAGATATCATTTTCAAACCGTCAGATTCCCATGTGCAGATAATTTGGGCAGGAATATCTTCTGAGTAATGAATCGAGAGGGAAGGACTTAAATGTCCAAGTTACGGGAGTATATTAGTCGTTGATTTTAGTTTATCTATGTCTATCCCAAGTTTCTTCCGTAATAATATATTGCTTGACCAACACTGAACACCGTAAAAAGAAGTTCAAGTTGATTGTATGATTGGAAGAAAATTGCGTATCATGTGGAGTGGTTAGGACCCTGACATGGTTTCTTGTACTTCTCAATGGTGTTTGTCGCTTCATTAGCTTATGTTCTGTAGTTCAATTTAACTATAGCTTTCTCCCGTGTGCTTTCAGTGTGGTCACATTTTTCTTCGGTACTGTAGTCCGATCCTAATAACAGCCTTAGCCTATAAACCAAAGTTCAAAAAAGCTGTTGCCTGATTCATAGTTCAATTGAAATGATAGCCTATGAATGACAATTTGGCATAGACTGCAGGCTGTGAAATACATTCTCACACATACAATATTGACATCTATGGAGGTCTGAGATGTGCTGATATATGAATAATCGTTCTTCAGAACTCATATCGACAAATTTCAGAATGAAAGCCGACTTCTTCAAATGAATAAATCCATCTGCAGAGCGCTCTCAATCAACAGTGTATAACGAACATGTTTTTATAAACCGATGTTAAAAGTATAGATATTTTTTCATTATTTTGGCTGACAGCATGCTTGGGTGGACTTATAATTAGTAAAGAATTTGCTTCAAAACACAGTTTGCCATGACATCGCTTTTGATGGCTAGAACAGCTCCGAACTGACTTCCCTTGTGTTTTTTTTTTCAAATAGATAATCTATATAGATCTATGTAGACAGAAAAGTTCTTCCAATAAGGTGCGAACGAATACATAATTCCGAAATAATGAATGCCATCTACCCTTTTATAGTGAAAGACTATATTATATGATTGCAACATCAAGTGGTTAAGCTTTATGATGCAGCAAGAAATTTAGGATTTTCCTCTTTAGGAGAACACAATCAACATTACTTTTGGTAGTGTGATGTCAATAATACCTAATACTTTAATTTTAACATCCAGCCTAATCTTTCGATCAATTAATTATTTCTTCTGGCCTGAACTGTGGCTGTGATCCTGCCCCATATAAGAACACCATCCCACCAGCTACACCCTTGAACAGGTGAGGGTCTCTAGGCTGATCCAAGAACTGTTTAAACTAGTTTTTTTTTTAATGATAAAGTGTGCAATATGATGCAATCACTACCTAACAATGTGGAAGTATGTGTATTTGGTCGGTTATCAAAAAACCCGCTGTAAGTAAGTTTACTTCATCAATATTGTATATGCCATGCTAATAATCTAAAATACATAAAATGACACATTTATGTTCTTCCTTATGCTTGGTAGACCCCCTCTATCATCCCATCACACGCGCACAAACAGTTGTTTAAACGGATTATGTTGCAAAAGTTGATGAACTAGAGGTGGCTGCATCATGAGCTGATTGTGTTCTTGTTTAGAAAGTTGATTTTCTTGTACAGTAATTTGCGTTGTCCGAAAGTAGGCTTGGCTGGTATTTAGTATCGACTCTAATCCTGGTAGCACGAGGTTGTCCATATAATATGATGCAACCATTAAATTTCATTGGACCACCTTTGCTAAATTTTAGGAAAGAGGAACGTAAGGGATGTTTGGAAGGAATTTATTTCGATTTAGTGGTATGCAGGAATTTCTTGGGTGTCATTTGCAATTCATTTTTAAGCCGAATGACAGATTGTCCAAAAGGGATGCTTTAAGCTGAATCATTTTACCTGTTAGCAGAAGAAAGAACCAGACATGTAGTGTTATTAACAAATCATTTCCGTATCCCCATAAGCATGAATCAAGTTAGCAAATTATTGGCTGGGAAAAGTTGGAAGACCAGAGGAACAGTGAATCCAGAGGTAGTATTATTGGTGCCACAGCATATGCAGGTTAGTGTGGAAACAAAGGGATAACGGTTGCAGCTGTATATCACAATCTGTAATTCTTTACGAACGATGAAAAGTGGCAGTATTGTGGGTCATTTGAATAGTGATCACCATTGCTTTATCTCATTCGTGTCAAAATTTGGACCAATTTAAAGTCTAGAAATCTTAGTCCAATTCACGTTGTGAGTGGAATCGATTGGGTTTTTATTCAAGGGAGATACATCCTTGTTGTTACTTCACAGCTTATTAATGGATTCCTGACTGAAAGTGAAATGGAGTTTCCTCTCCCGAGTCTATGCCACTCATGGGTTTTCTCATAGCCATTGATGAATCAAGGCAGGGAGATTCCCTTTCAAGTTTCACCTTTGTTCTTATGAGACAGTTTCTTATCGTAGCATGCAGTAGAGGAAGAAACTTTGGAACAACAAAATCCACATCTTACTGAGAAGAAATTAGAATCGAATAGTTTAAGGGTACTGTGGTATTTTTCAGATTTTGAGCAAAGAAAGTTACCAGTATGGAATTCTCATGATTATGGCAGAAGTTGCCAACTAGTTCTTTTCTCTTTTAATTTGTTGTCACCCTTAAATGAAGAATTTAATTCATGTAAAGATTTAATACCATAAAATGATGAATTTATTGCTCATTATGAGTATGAAGTGCATACAAATTGAGCTACTTTGACACGTCTTGCTTGTCAGAATTTCGAATGCATTGGATATAATTTTATGGAACGGGAGGTACAGAAAAAAGGGGTTTTCAGCCACCAAAGTGGAAAATTGTGTGCTAAAGGGAAATTGTTCTGTTGGTTCTTATTGAACAGATTTTTAATGCATTGTTGTTATGGTTTTTATTGAAAACTGTTCAAGATGGCCAGAACAAGTGTGTAAAGATTTGGGATGCAAGAATATATACAGTCACTCGTGTCGTACATTGAAATGAGTCCTTAGAACTTTAGAGTTTCTCACCTACTTTTCAGAAGTTTAGATTTTCAATAAACATATTAAGTTCTAGGAAGTCCCTGTTCCCAGCAGATTTCATTTTAGACAAGAATTTCCAGATCTGCTGGTATTGCTTGATCTAGTGAAAACATTCCGTGAGTTTTTTTTCATGAAAACGTGACGTCTTTTGGAACCAAACATCTTCCTGTAATCTGAGTCAGAAGACCTTTTGTTCTGGGTTCACATATATACTCCAGAAATTCCGGCTGAATGGTTTTTTGAGTCATACCAAATACAATTGGTGCTTATTAGCAGTTTTAGAATCTATTCATTCGTTAAACGTTGTTCTGTCTATATATTCTTAGTAATGTAGAAATGATTGTAGACAAACGAAAAAAATCATCAACAAGAATCAGGGACAAGTGATCGAAATGAAATTTAAACGAAATGCAACATTTAGTAGAGAAGCAAAGAAACTAAAAATATGAAATTGTGCAGGTTTTTGAGGCTTAAACTTCTATATCAGGTGGTTGGATTTTCGGAATTGAGTATGTAGAATGAAGTTGTGGGTAATTACATTTATCATGTATACAGATCACCTGACAGCACTTACCTTAATAAGCTAAAGAATGCATGCTATTGCTTTTGACTCTTACCTCTGAGAACGGCACTTACCCTGAATTTTATCTAGAAATGTCCCTCAAACAATCTTCGTAATGACTCTTAAGCTGAAATGATTCATTCCGAACTTCATGTGCTAGTGAAACTCCTGTAATTACAATGGCAATGTAGGCCTGCCCGAAGTCGACTCGAGTAAGATTATGTTGGACGTTTTTGTTTCCAATTATTTTAAATGGATTAATACATCATAAAATGATATTAGAATAATTTAAACATCACCTTGCACGATCTCTCTTGAATGGCTAACTTGCATGTAATAACTTTAAGTACCTCAAGTGTGAGGCTGGTAGGTTTTCTTCATCTTTGGCATGGAAAACATTAAGTAGAAGGTTTTCCTTATCTATTAAAGATGAAATTGCGTTGCATGTTCTTAGAGGACTACTGTAGATGGTGCTCGTTTGCTGTGTGACCCTTTTGGTCATTTGGAATGAGAGGAGAATTGTTGTAAAATGCAACTATTTCTACTACAGTGTTTCAGTTGTATATGATAAGGTAACTTAATGGGTCACGGGTTTGTTAATCACGATGGGTATTCATCTGTCATTTTGGCTAGCATTGCCTTTACCCTTAGGATAGCACATAATTGTTTCATTTTTATCTCAGAGATCATGAAGTGTATAAACTATTACTCCTGTTTTCATTTTTTAGTGAATATTCGGTATTATACACTATTAAAAGAAAACATACCTCTAAAAGAGAATCGTAGGCATTTTTTTTCCCTCTACGATCTCTTTCCTGCTAGAATAAAGGGTGTAATATTATTAAACATCCCTAGATAAGTCTAGGGATGTATTCGGACAAATGGACTTGGTTCATAAGAGTAAGAATGAATGAGATGGCATCAGAAGAGGTTTTATGAGAAGGATGAAAAGAAAGAATTCATGTAGAGGAGTGTTACAAACTATTGAGTTGGAGATGAAGTCACATTTGGTAAAAGAGGACTATTTGTGAAGAACAGTGAAACGATGAGACTGTAAAATGGTTATGGAAGTGGAGGAGGTGTAATCGGGATAACTGAAAACTCTGTCATGGAATAAGAGGGAATCGAGCGTAGAAGAAAATCATGCCACTTAATGTTGCATCAAGTGTGAGAAATTGATATCGTTTCTGACAAAACTAAGGTGCAAAGGAGAATGACCATTTTTTCTCGACCATTGGGGGAGACTTCAGAGCGGGGTTAAAACGAGAAGATGGCTAGAAGCTTATTGTTTGAGATGATAATTCTTTCAATGACTTTATTGACAATCGACGGTGAATTTACCCAATCTACAAGGTTCAAAGATGTGGAAAAGGAGACCATTTGGATTTTTGGTTTTGTGTATGATTCATAATGAGTCCGGAGATTTCTAAATTCACGGGATATTTTTTTTCGGTGTGATTATGACTTCCACTGCATCGGATTTTTCTGGGAGAGAGAAGATTATTGTTAAAAGGGGAAGAAATTAAATTATCTGGCAGTAGATTATCGAGTGCATTGCTCCAAAAATCGAGGGTTAAATCTTGTCCCCAGTACATTGGTTTCTACTGGAGGTCGTTTGAAGAAGAAAATATCTGAAGGCTACATTATACAGATGGAGGAAGACTGCTGCCCTGTGCTGTTCAGCTGGAAGGTGAAGGGTTTGTTTCTTCGTGTAGAAATGAAGATGGTAATTCTTTAGCATGAATGGCAATAGATCTTCAGAAGCAAACTGCGAGTAGGAGATCATAATGACGCTTTTAGGGCTATCGTTAGAAGTCTGAGAACGGGCTTTTATATATCAAATTCTTCACTCTTCCAACAAAAACATTTGTTGAGAAACAGAAGTAGATAGTCTTATTGATTTGATGCAATTTTCTATTTTAGAAGGTAATTAGTTAACCAGAACAGAATATTCATTTTTAATGCTTAATATGTGTCAACTTTAGAAATGTTTCTACTTCAAATTTTATTTTTTCGAAAATTTCCTTTTCTATTGATGGTTTGATCAACTATCCGAAGAACAAAGCTAAAGGATTCTTGGCAGTTAAAATATCTCTTGAGGAGGCTTGTAACAGAACGAACAAGGATTGTGTCAACGAGGGTTTGCTTGCTGAGTTTGAGCAGAAATGGGTGGCCTACGTCGTGTTCGTATATCTGTGAGCAGGCTTTACATCTTTGATAAAATGGTAGCTGCGGATGCTCGAGTCTGTAGTGTTTATGACGATTTCACTTGGCCTAGGTCGTGTTCTTATTTCTGTGAGCAGGTTTTACATCTTCATAAAATGGTAACCGCAGATGCCTGAGTCTTTGATGTTTATGACGAGTTGACTATATTCTTCTTAATTATTCTTGCCAGTAAGCCTGAACCTTGTCATAGTATGGAATTTGGTTGCATTAGTGGGTATTGATCAAGTGTATAACGTTGGCAGTCAACCTAGTATGAACCCTTAAAGTAGTCCATGTAAGTTCTAAAAAGTCATCTACCCTAGACTTTCTCAGAAAAAGGCCCATAGGCTCGTGATGAGTCAATACTTAGAGTTATGATGCAAATACTTCATGGTCTCTCTCTGAAAGTTATATTGAGAACAATCATGATATGCCAAACATGCTCCTAAGCTTGAAATTTCCGTCGCTTATACTACTTTTGTTGAGATAGTTATTACAGGATTGAATGCACAGTAGTGTTTTCCATGTGACTCGGTTGGAGGGCTGATGATTTCAGAATGTCAACCAATGGAAACTTACATGTTGCGAATTTTGTAACTTCAGATCGTAGTAATTTCTCACGCTCAATGTCTGGGATCAACGTGAGTAGATCAGAGGATAGAATTTAGGACAAGTGTTTATGTTTATTTAAAAGCAATGGCAGTCATTTAATAAAAGAGAAAGGGTTGCAAGGGCAGATGGAGAGTGTTTACTGGGACAACTCTTTTAGCTTGCCTCCTCGTACTCTAAAGTTTGGCAACTTGGGGAAAAAATGTTTAGGAAACAGGTATACTTTCCCTGTACAAAAATTGCACGACTCCATCATGAAGTTGTGAAAGAAATATGAAGCAGTTCTATTCTAGCCCCGAGCACACAATCACAAGAATTATGTACCATTCCTGGGTAAATATGATCACAAAGTTGTGCTGATTATTAAACACTACTGCTAACCAATAGTCCTCTGATTTTTAATGTGATCCTCTCCTCCAGTTGGAAGCAAGTGAAAAATGATAACTCTATCTTTTAGGAGGTCTTATTGTTAATTTTCTTTGTATAAGTCCAACTCATCTCAATTTACTTTGACAATCTTCTTACCTTTACTATCTTCTCTGGTGTTACCGTAGTTATCTCTCTGACGGATTAATTTCCCCCCTTCAGCTATCAACTAATTCTCATTTCAGTACTCATTGATTGTTTTCCTCTGTAGTTCAACACTTACTCTATAGAGTATAGGCCATCTAATTCGTTTTTTAGACCATCCTGCTGTAATTAAAAACATGACAACCATAAATACCATGAAAGTTTTGTTTCTATTCTATCTCAGCAGTTGCAGTACGGTGGGTCGTGCCCTATCTATCTGATCTTCCTGATCTTTTGAATTTCGTCATATAGGCCTTTTCCTTAATCAACCAGTGACCTATGCTCATTTGGATGTGATCTCATTGAACTTTTTCCATCTACAGCTGTTTAGAGAAAATACCATGTGCCCATTCCTTGTATGTAGTATTTAGACAACGAATTGACATAAACATTATTGGACTAGTTCACAGAGCTATGTTTACGTAAAGGCTGCAAAAATCCTTCATCAAATAATCATCATGTGGTCTTACGCTAGAGCATGAAACTTTAATTTCACATTTAGGGTGACCACTCTACCTATGGCAGTTGTGTTTTGGCTTCTGCAAAAACCTGTTGATCTTATATAACATACTAGGCATCTAATCACTGGTTCCATCTACTGAAGCCAAGCTCATAACACAGGTGTTGCTTCCGAGATGCTGAAGCTCAAACCATTAAGAGTAGTGTCTCCCCTTCAAGCAAAAAACATTGGCACTATGCCTTGCATTGTGGGCCCCTCCCCCCTTTCCAGTGCTTCAGGCTGCACACTTGGGTGGACAGCCAGATTTAGTTTTATTTACTCAGTCCAAGTAACAAAATGGTAAAAGTATCTTGTAGCATATCTATTATGTCTTCATATTCCATGATTGATATGAAAGTCGGAAGATGTTAATACTTCATCTTATTTAACCAAGCTACACACCAGGAACACAGACAGTGGTGGGTCTTTATTCACCCACTAAAGTACAAGGTTTCCAAGCTGATAGTTTTCTTTTTGGTAATTTCTCAGCTAGATCCGCATTCAGTTTGATTATTCGTGTCTCACTTGAATCTTCTATGTCGAAAATGCTGAGAACTAACTAAAACCAACAACATTTTTAATCTTACTTTCCCTGCTAGTGGCTCTTTCATTGCATCTTCTCATCTTGATTACTTGTCGGAACCCTAAGTTGATGATGGATAAAATCTTTGCGGAGCAGATGGATGTAGACTGGTTATTTAGCATCATACTGGATGATTAAATCAAACTGGGCACATTTTTCCGAAAATGGGGTGTTTGAAAGATTGACTTATTTTCATTGTGATGTCCTCGTGCAGTGGTGAGAAGCTTTTGGAGGCTAGCTGGTCTAAATGTGTTGAAGTGAAAGGAAAAGTTAGATTGGAAGCCTTTGAAAAGTTCGTCCAAGAACTTCCTCGCTCTCGTAACCGTGCATTGACGGTGAGTGTTCTCATCTTCCACCTGAGCAGCTCCTGGCAAGTGTTGTCTAGTTGTATCGTACACCTAGAAATATAAGCATTAAAGTTTATTGCAACTGGCGTGGGACACAAGAATTCAACGCCATGGTGATCGGCCATCTGGTCTGAGCCGCTGCAAGATGAAAATTTAATGCTAGAATGAGAAATATTGCAAATGGAATTTATGAATAAAAGGTGCAGAAACATGATATATTCTCCAATAACTAAAAAGGCTGATATATTTATTCATTTAGAACCATGGGAGAGTATTTTCCATCGTAGAAATCATTGTCAGAAAATCATTGGCATGAGATTTTACTAGTTCATTATTCCTCCATGCGTCCAATTTCTGCTTAGCTGAATCGAAGAATCTCATGTGAAACTCTCTCTCTCTCTCTCTCTCTCCTAGTCCTGGGCATAGTACTTGATTTCGGAATGGTACTGCCCCCTGGCGGATGGACATCAGAGTCCTGTTGCTCTCTAGAAAAGGATGGATGCCAATCCTGCCACTGGGTACAAACTAATCGAACCTATGTTTTCAGGTCATCTCTATTCACTGGAAAGCTGGCACATCCGAGTCTGGATTGAAGGGTATGAAGGAGGTGAGATCAATGATTACATAACACTGAACACTGAACTAAAAAAAAAAAAAAAAGTCGGTTATAATCGTTATTCTTTCTCAAAATCAACAGGTTGCCAAGGCGTACAAACAAGGGCAGAGGGTCGGATATGCCCAGTTTTCTCCTGGCGTTGACGTTTATGTCTGTCCCCGCAGCGACGCCATAATTACAATCTTAGCAAAGCATGGTTTCTTCAAGGGCATGGGAGCCATTGAAGAAGACCAGGACTCACTGATCGGCTGTGTTATTTGGCGGAGAAACAGACCATCTTCGGATCCTTCTTCTAAGAATCCCGAGGACCAACAACCCATTGAATCCTCTTCTGCATCAGCCATTGCAAGTAGCGCTGACCAGGGCTCCTCCCTTGCCAACCCCACCGATTCAAGACCTAAGCAGGCATTATCCACCCTTCTGAAGCCCTCATCCATGGGGAATGGAGCTGCCGCCGGCGCTGTGCTCACGAACACTATAATAAATAACAGCAACTCCTCCCCTCTTCCTCCAGCTGTCAATATATCCTCTCTCCTCCCACAGCTGCCGCCATCGGCTGTCCAGACGGACTCCCAGCCGTCGGAGGGCCTGCGTAACTTCATATCAAGTGCTGTCAGGCTGTTCATGCAGGATCCAGCGGAGTATATGAAGCCTCCGGTCAGTTTTGAGCCGCCACGTCAAGTTCTTCCCGGAGCAAACAAGAGGCTGGACGGTCAGCCACCCTCCGCTCGGCCTAGTGACGAAGACCTGCCAGAATTCGACTTTGGCAATGGTCCTCGGGCTCCACCGGTTTCCAGCCACATGCTCCTATCATCCAGCTTTGGGCACTCTAAAGATGCTGCTCAAGTTAGTGGCCGATTCCATCATGATTTTAGCAAGGATACAAGTGTATTATCCATGGTTTCGGAGCTGCCGAGTGTGAGGCCAGTGCTGCAAAGGGATCTGCATGGCCCAATCTCAGGTCTGATGCAGAGTGCTGCCCAACAAGGTGTTTCAGTGGCTCATGATGCGGGAATTCTTCCCCGCTGGGATTCCAACCACCCATCAAACACCTCTGAGACGGACAAATGGCCATCTAGTATGGCGTCCAGGCCTTTCCCTGTGCAGAAAAGCCCAGAGCTGATGGGACCGATGGGCAGTTCAAGTGCTTTTGGTGCGGAAAACCCTGGCATGCAAGAATCTAAGTCTTACTTTGTACAGAGGAGACCTGGGTGGAATGACAGTGATGATGATGATGATGATGATGATGATGATGATATGCCTGAGTGGTGTCCCCCAGGGACGGAGGAGAGACAGAAGCTGCCTCCACCTCCTGGGCGGCCGCCGCCATTGTTCCCATCCCCGCCTCCAACTTCCAGATCCTTGGCATCTTCCTCAGCTTCCATGTCTTCTTGGGCTGCCATGCCTCTGCCACCCCTACCAGGCCAGACACCAACATATGATCAGAGTCAGGGGGTTTCCCAGCAGGATCAGCGAGGGATTCTGGGCCAGTGCCCCCCTGATCTGTATCCCAAGATCACTCCTTTGCAAGCAAGGCCTGCTGCTAGAAGACCCAACCAGTCAGATCGTAGATCTCCACCTGAGGTGCCCAGCCGGAGCAGGTCTAAGAAACAGCGGCGGATGAGTGGCTGGGATGTCAGACCCTCAGAGGGCAAGTCCAGTCGGAGGGCCCACAGTAAAAGGAGGCGAGGGCACTGAAATCAGCTGTAGAAAGAAATTTACCTCGCGGTATTTATCTCAGAAAAGCTGTGCCTCAGCTGAAATTAGGATAGCAGTCTAGAAAGGTTTTATCCACAATCGCCCAACATTCCCTGTGGAATTATTCTGGTTGCCCTCTCTGTACTACCAATGCTCATTGCTTGCTTCTGTTGAGATCAGAAAATCTGCATGGTTACATAGGAATTACAAGAGAACATAAAATATCATGAGATAAGCACAGAACTCTTCCTCTCGTCATGCCTTTCAGAATTGTTTGCCTTCAAACCATGTCTGAGGACAAGTGTACGCTGTCATCTCCCAAATCATTGCTTGAATGGTCGTGTTCAAAATCACTGACATTGTATTTTCCATGGGCTTCTTACAGAGAAATTGATCATTACGAGTCGTTCTTCAATACCAAAGTTGTCTTTCCCTTTGGTGTTCTCAAGTCCTTAATTGATATAAATTAAAATCTCATTACCAGAAAAAAAAAATAATGACTGATAATTTATGTTTAAAGTGATAATGACGTATTGTTTGATTTAAGGCATTATCGATGTTTCTCAATAAACTATGGATAAAAAGAAGTGTTTAGAATGTTTTTTAAGAGTATTATTTTTTGGGTAAAAAAACTAAGTTATTCTTAGTCACAATAACCATGTAAACACTATTAATCCTCTCAATAAATTTTATATTGGATTAGGACTTTTATTGTTTTGATGCCAAGCTTTGTAGTAACTAAGTCACCTATGAAGGAGACAATAAAACCGAACAATGCTATTTATATAATAATTGTGCTCTACATTATTAGTAAGTTCCTTATCATCCCATATTTAATATATAATTAATATCATAAATAGACATTAAATCTAGATAAATGATAATGATATCCCAAAAAATTGGACCTGGGTTGAATATATTTTTTTCTAGGGGAAGAAATTGATGCTTCATTGCAGATGATGCATTAATAGTATCCTTTCAAAGAGACAGCCTTTATAATCTGATTCCTTCTTACACTATATACACTTAATGCATGAGAGTGACATAATTATTGAAGCAACTGATATTTCTTATAACTTTATTTGAAACATAAAAACATTTTATTTTCTTGAAATTAAACAAAACCAAAATGAAAAGATTCAAGATATGACAATATTGTGTGCATGAAAGACCAAGGTTTCATATTGAATTATGAAAGAGGTAGTACAAGTTGATAAATATGTGCTATATCAAGATTTTTTTAAGAGAATGAGTGTAAAATGTCTTTTCTTTCCCTTGTGTATTATACTTAGTTTTCTATACTGTTCTAATACCCTTAAAAGTTTTCTTTATATCATAAGTAGGGAGGAAAGGAGAACTTAGATTTTCAAAAACAATGGTGTAACTAGAGACTATAAGAATTAGTTTAATTTTTCATCATAGTTGCACTACTTTTATGTTCTTAAAAAGTATGTGATAAGTCTTCATTATTATGAGTTAATAATTAATTAATAGTATAGTTTTAGTCTTAACTCATGATAAATAGATTTATATTTATGTTAAATTATAAAAAATATTTTTTAATTAATTAATATGATTTTTTGAGTAATTATGTAATTTTTTATAAATTTATATAATTTTTATAATCTTATTTTTAAGATAAGTGAAGAAAAATAAAATAAAATAAAAAGATAAAAAAGGGGAGAACCCATCAATCAGTTAAGCCTGCAAGCAAGTAAGGAGCACAATCAAGTAGAGCCACAAGTAAGGGCTCGAGTGACTAAGGACAGATCGATAAGGTACATGTGTGTCACTCCCCTTCCACATCACTAGTGGTCAACTAGGCGTGGGGCAAGGAGTGATAATACATATGAGAAAATGACATATTATATCCTAAATCTCGTATTACTATATATCCGCCTCAAAACTCAACATATAACTGATATGGGACTAAATTGATTATCACAACTTTTTTAGAATATTTTAGTACCTCAAACCTTTTGTTTATTGGAAGGAGGTACCTTGATGACATCACTTTATAAGGATATTCACATACTTATTTCATTCTTTTTCTTGTAGATAGACGACCAGTGAAGGTTTGAATCTTACTAAAATCAAACTCATATTTTTATCTGATTAAATCATAACTTTTTTGTAGATTTTTGGTGAATAATTAAGCTGTTAGAATCACTCAATTATCGACAAAATTTTTGTCAACGTGATTTGTAGAATATTGTTACTAAAATTATTGAATAATTCTAAATAAAAAGATCACAAATCTATCGAGTAAATGATCGTCAATTGATCAATGAATAAGCCATCATCGAGAAGAAGACAACTTGTCATGAGATGAGTCACTACCTTGTAAAAGAGTACTAGATGCGATGAAGAGTCTCTTTTTACTATGCATACTTGAGGATGAAACTTTATAAGATGTATTGTTTTTTTACTTATCTTAGAAAGCGATGGATAAACTTAAAGATGATAGTTGTCAGAGAACCACAAAGTTATCATTTTTTTACTTCATTAGGTGACAGTCATTATAAATGATTTGATGACTCACTTCATTGATTTTTAAACTTTGCAAAAAGAGCTAGATATTATCATATTATCTTTGTTCAAAGAGAGCCTTTGAGATTTTAGACATTACATGACAAACCTCTCAAATGTTCAAGATTCTAATACATCACTAATGCATCACTAATGTATCGTTGTCACGATGCAGGAACTTTATTTTACTATTTTTTAACTAGTTTAACTTCCATCATCATTTTTTGAACTTCAAAAAGAGATTTAACGGATGCTCAAGTCGTCCATGTCTAAAGAGAGCCTTTGAGGCCATATACATCATTCAATAATCCTCTTGAACACAGAATTATGACGATTACTGTCGTAAGGCTGAAATTATCTTTTTTACTTTTAACTTAATTTTCACTTAATTTAGTGACACTTTATACAATTTCAAATTTCTAAAATCTTCTTCATTCAGTTACGATTCTTCTAGCTTTCCTTATTAAAGCGTCTGTAACCACTTATGTAAGAATCACTGAGTCAAACTCTATTTCCACCTGAATTGCATTCCTCATAGCGTTGATGTCATCTTAACATTTGCACCCTTATTTTCTTTTTTCATGAATTCTTAAATATATTTTATCTTTATTATTTCCTCTAAAAATTATAAAAAATTATATTCTTTTAATAAAATTATAAAATATTACCCGGTATTATTTTACATCCTTGTGTTCTACTTGAAAATTTTCCACTATTTTTGGAACCTTTTATCTAATTATAATGAATTTATTTGTTTTAAAATATTTCTAAAAAATTAAAAATTGATATTTTCTAATTTTATAAATTTTAAATTTACATGATTTATTATACGATGACTAAATCACATCAGCATGCTAACTGAATCATTATCTTTTATATATTCAAGAGTAAAATACTAGTTGGACAAGGATGTCAAATGCATCATTATTTTAATCATATTCTACCTAAATGTAAAGTATTAATATTATAAATAATATTAATCTTTGTGAATTCTACATCCTCATTGGTCATCAATATGAGAAGATATTTCCAAATGATTTTCTCATTCAACAAGCAATGACTACTATTTAAGGAATTGAGGATGCTTGAGTATAAAGACATGTAGAAATGTACTTAATTAATAAGATGATTTTTGGTTGGCTTTTTTTGATTTTGTCAATCAGTTAATCATGTACAGTTAACTTTGGCTTACATAAAGGTGCCAAATCACCCATATTTTGTGACACTAACAACATCTATCAATTATCATCCAAAATTTAATATTTAAAGACTTTATAAAGGATTGTATATTTACCATTGAAAAACATGCAACCTTTTTAGTCATTACTTAATGCCAAAGTAAATAATTAGATTTACTTTCTTATCGGTATTGCATTGCTAAATTTCAGGGAGTATCAAAATCAACCATAACTTGTCTTGACCCCTTTGCTAAGTGCTAGTTTCACAAGCACATTTATACAAAGAAGGTAGAAATGAGAATTTAGCAAAATATGTCACCTTTCATTGATGCCAAAGATGTTGGTACATAATTTTAAATAGAAAATGGTGACCTGTCTTCATTTTTTTTGGCTATAAGCCAAATGAATGGGCTAGTAAATTTAGTGGTCAAAAGAATGTTAGAATGCTACACAAATAAATTTCAAAATTAGCCGTCTTAGAGGTAGTGCATGGCATACCATCTTACTCCATAGTTCTACATGTTGGATTCATGGATGAGACAAACAAGTGACAAAGAACTGAAAGGAAAATGAGGTAATGTAGATAGGCACCAAATTGATAGCAGCTTTAAAGGTGGCCAATGGGTGAGCTAGAAATTGTATTTTAAGCATTTTAGCATAGAATAAATGCTTAAAGTATTTAGACAACCAGAAAAATTCTACACTTCTTCTTGTCTCAATGACCTCCATGTGCTTTCTTTGTGTCTACATTGAGATTAAGGTGCGCCTAACATGAGATACTCAACATTGTCTCCATTGTCTGACTTTGGATAAAGAGGAGATACTTGATAACTAGAAATTATTTTATATTTGACTGAATTTTTTTTGAGTAGGAGAATCTAAGAGAGTGGGCTCGTCAACATAGTGGAACCCAACCTAAAACATCAAACAATTCTAAGAATGAAACTCAAGAGGATTAATTCTATTTCAAGAAAAAGTATCCTAGTGATTTCTATAAGTCCAAGGTCAAACGTAATTAGTGAGTGTCTTGAATTTTATTGTCCCTATGTTATGAAGATTTGAAAGAATAATTGGGTATATGTAGATATATATATACCCAAATAATCTTTATAGAGATGTTCATATATATATATATATACATAGAGAGAGAGAGAGAGAGAGAGAGAGAGAGAGATGTACATAAATACCAAAACTGTAATTAATGCTGATAGTGTAGGTTGTGTAAAGCCAAGCTAAAATCCAGTAACTCTAATCTATTGGAAACATCCATTTTTGCTCTTCTCCATCATCAAATAAAAATTTCCCCTATATTATTAGTGGATTATCTTCACTTTCCCCAATTTAAAGATTAGCAAGTGCATTCATTCCCTACATATTCTCTTAAAAGTAAACGTAATAAAAGCGTAATTTGGCATTTCAAGGTCTATATCCTAAGGATATTTTTGGCTCTTCAAGGAATGGCACTTTGGACAGATTATTGTTGCCCAACTAAAAAAGAAAATAATATTATAGCCATGTTCTCCCTTTGTAGTTGCCGAAATCCTGTGGTTTAAAAGCAATTTGACTGGAATGAAATCTACCATGAGTTAGACTTTGAGGTAAGCAGAATTCTTGAATGTCATTTCTTAAGAATGCATATTTACAGTCAAGAACATGACTAAAGTTGCCACAGATCTCCATCACAAATGTCTCAAATTTGTGGAACGATATTCCAGTTACTTAATTAGACAGAAAGGTTTCAAGCTACATTTTATTTAGTTATATTTTCTATCAGGTGTGTAATTCAGACCAGCTTCTTGAATCGAATAAACTACATGATGCTAGGGCAGACTAAGTCACCATTGCTATTTTCTCAATCAATAGTCCTTGACATTAGTGGCTACTAATGTCTGAAGATATTTTGGTCAATCTTCATGGTCGATCAATATGCACAGCAAACTACAGAAGGAACTACAATAGGGAACGAAGTTTCCTTCACGCGCAGTAAACCTCGACTCAATTGCAGTGTATGGGGACTCATGCATTATACATATTTTTTCTTTTCTATTCTTTATTACTATAGTTTCTTTTTCTCAGTTCAGTGAGGCCCATTTCAGTCGGCCCATGCTTTTTCAATCAGTAATAAACCAGACCGGTTCAGCCCATTATGGCCTAGACCAGTCCAGTTCTCCCTGTAATTGAGGTATAAAACCTGGTCCCTACCCCTCTCTATAGGTAATACGAAATTAGGGCTTGGGCCGATCTTTCTTTATCTCTCCATCTCTCAATCAAAGGATTCCCGAAGACTGGAGGAGAACGTGCTGCGGCTATCCGTTGTGCAAGTTCTCACATAGTGCTGTAAGTGGTATTATTTTCGTTTCTGGTTTTTATCAAAGATCCAATTTCACTTGATCAGAGGTTGCAAGACGCAATACCTAGGCAGTGGCAGTGGCAGTGGCAGTAGAGTAGAGTAGAGAGAGAAGAAACATCTCTGTATCGGAGTAGGTCAGGAATTGACCGAACAATTGTAAATTCAAGTGTCCTACTCCAGTGATCTGGGAGCTATCTTCTGGGTATGGGTCCATTGTATCATAAGGACCTCTACGTCCTTGGGCTGCAATATCCCCATATGTTGGATAGTCAACGACATAAAGTATCATCTTGAATAAAGAGCAGCCGTTGGGGAAGTCCCTTCTGAGAGCGAGAGCTATGGCTCTGAAATTATGCATCACCGATTCCAAGAAGATGAGAAGGAATCACTTTGGTCATGTTTCTTCAATGGTTAGAACCTTCAATTTTGGAATGATTGGATTGTATGTCCCAAAAGGCTATTTTATCTAAAATGGAGCAATTTGAGGGTTAAATATTTCATGCGTCCTCTAGAAGAGAAAAGATTCATATAGAGCTCTAAGTCAATCAGCCTAGGCAGGCATGCCTGATGATCGGCTATCTGATGGCTAGACTATATAAATAGAGATTAACAAGTTATATAGCATGTCAAGTTGGGGAAATGAAGGAGTTTTTCTTTACAATTGTCACAAATTGACTTTACACGTAGAGTAGAGGTTTGCCCTTGTGATTAGGGTGGATAACCTTTGACCCACATATGAGGAAACAAGGACTTTTCTATAAGTTTCTTGCAATGAAGTAGTGTTCGAGTTGACATTGTAGACAGACCACTCACTTAAATCTCAAATGAGGTAGGAAAGAACCAAAAAACCTAGAAGATATAACTGTTTCAAAATCCTGCATCCTCTTCTCTCTCAAGAACCAAATGACATTGCTAAATTCTGCCATCCGTTTACTAAACTTGTAGCTAGCAACAACTACTTCCAACTCAAGAGAAGGATATCTTTTGAGAATCATACATCCCTTATCACAAGGTCATAAGAATGTTGATAACTATTTTATTGTCATCAACTAATCTCTCTCTATTTCCTACATTAATAGACGGTGACAAATACTCCTCATCTCTCTCTCTCACTACATATAGATTAAGAGACAGACACTGAACGAACATATTCAATCCTAAATTAACTTGAAGAGAAACGTACTCGAATGAAGTTCATCTCCCCATGAATTCATTGGAAGAAGTGTGGAATATAAAGAAGGTGGCCATTTAGTTAGAAGAATGAGGCTTCCCTATAGATAAAATGACACAACTTCCCATCACAATATCAGAATATTTTTTCTGCAACTAATGTCATCCTTGTTTCCTTGGCCATCTCTGTCTCTCTCGCTTTATCTGTATCTATGGAAGCATAGACTGCCATAACCCTCTCATATGTGAAATTACAAAAATACCCTTTTCATCATTGTAACATGGAGTGGAGCTGATATTTTGGAGTTTAAGCATTGAACTATAAAGATGAAGCGTTTCAAGCTCTTGAGGACAGTGTCAACATTGTGCTGATGATCGAATGATATTAGCAGATTCATTATATTCGAAAATACCAAACTAGCGATTCCACACCTGCCACCTAGACGACAATGGATCGCAGTGTGCTTCGCGTCTGGCCCAAGTGGAATAATTTTTTCGATTTTCTGCCACCAGACAGTGGACATGATGTTTACTATAATATCAAACAGAAGTACGAAGAGCCAACGTTGTACGTGCCAAGAACTTACAAAAGCTCCATATGAATATTTGACCAAATGTCCTTATACACATCAAGAATATTCCAGTCAAAGAAAGAAGGATCAACGAAAGGAAAACCATAATTTTTAATAACCAAACATAATATACCATATTTACCTAATACATGAAGGCAAGGTGACCCCGTGGCACAAAAATGCCAGCAAAACATAGATCACAACCAAAAGTAGGAGGATCAACAATATCCTGCAGGTTGAATGACGCCAGACGTTAAAAAGTAATAGACATGTGTGAAACAATATTTAGAGTAAGGCACTTAATTCAGGATATTCTACTCGTTCTAGTATTATTGTGACTCATTCAGAGGAAAGTAAGACTTTTGTTGCGTTTTCTAGCAATCTAGTGGGGATAAACAAAGCATTTAATCTCGGATGCCAAAGAAACAGCTTTCATTGCCATCCTACTTCATTCTTATTCAATCAGAAATCATCATCAACTTTACACAAGTTCTCATAATATAGGCCTCTATTTCTTCTACCTTGCACTTCTGGCTGTCTAAATCCCAGTAATTTTAAAGGAAACTATTAATAGCCTCTAAAATGAGAGAACTTACATCAGCTTTACGTTTCTCCACCATACAGAGTTTCTGAAACGGCGAGCTTGCTTCCTGAATCGATGAGTGTTTGCTTGCATATTTGTAGTCTTGTCCACGAGCAGTTCTAGCCGGTCACCTCTTTCTAGAACCTTGTCGATGTTCTCAACCATCACATTACGCACCTGTGGAAAACGTGAGATGAAATACTTTGATCACAAAATAGATCTTGAAGAATCAGTTTACTGTAGGAAGAAAATGATTAGACTAACAACATCTTTATTATCTGAGGCATAAGTATAGTCAAACCAAGAACATGTCTCACACAAGTAGTACAGAGATTATAGGGTACAGAAACTATCTCGAATGCAACAAAATCTCAAGTAGGGATACATCTCTTTTGTAATTGTAGCTTTCTAACTACCACCACGAAACATCATGACACAAACTGATCAATTTTGGTTATAGAACTAAATACAAACGGCGGGAAAATATTTTTTCAAAAATTTCCCAGTGATTAAAATCACATGCTGTGATGGCGTACACCTGAACTGCCAAACAAGAATAAAAATACGCCTCAGCCCCACTAAGAGCAGTGGTAACAAGATAATTGTGCCTTGCATAAAAAGAGAAAAAGGAGTGAAATAAGCACATATCAAGAGTGAACACATCAGAGCAAGATAACAAGGTAAGAGAATGAAAAATAAATATAAAAAGAAATAATAGAGTGACGAGTCATTAATGAGATAAATCCTATTGCTTCTAAAAGAGAGTAAAATGGGTAATTAGGTTCAACTAAAAAAAAAATTCGTACCAAACTTGCATAATTCTGTATATTCCTACTTAGGGGTCAAGTGTCTGATTGATTCTGAGAACGAAATCCACTGGTTTAAATAGAAGAGAGTACACTTATACCCAATCAGGTTTTAGCTGGACAGTCTGATTCCTTCACAAAACGCATAAGGAATCCAATGCCCACATATTCCATGATGTAACCATTGGTCAAACTGATCAAATTCCATGATAACTTTATCCTACCCTGGCTCTGTCTTTCATCCTCTGCAATACTACACATTGGTATACGCTACGGAAAAAATGTCCCACTCAAAATTTAGTGCCTCAATGAATATAATGACCTTCACGTAGATTTTTTTTCCAGATTATAAAGTTGTCTTTCAAGTAAATTAAATTTACTTGCTGAAATTCCATGTCAACTAAAATCAGTAATTAACAAAGTTTCATGACGAATGTTCAACAAACTGGTCGATTAAGGGCTTGTGAAGCCCCCATGTCAAGTGGAACATCTCAAACAATATTTTGAGAGAAGATGAACCAACCACATTAAGAAGACAAGTTAATAAACCAACCTAAATTTTACCTACCAACCATCCCAATATGAGTCCACCTCCTTATTTTTGTCAGTTTTTGCTTTATGCTCCAGTTCCTTTAACATTTCTCATCTCTCCCTCTATCGTGGGAGAAAGTATAAGTAACACACAATATGGCATGGATTCTACGAATACTTCAGTCTGAATAAACTAGCCACAATTATGGCTTAGCTTGGCTCCGGTGTGCTCACTTCAACGTTTGCAACTTCAAGAAGAACTAATGATTTAAAGTATGGTTATTTTTCACATTAGTAAACACCAATGCATTCTTTTCTTATTACTACAGGCATGGTTTCAAGTAATAACCCATTAAGAATTCACTTTGGGGGTTTTGCTTTTCTTCATCTAGTACAATTACCTTCAATAATTTTTTTAGCAATGACAACAACAAGGTAATCGATTACCTGGTTCATTTCACCTCTGAGGCGATTCATCCTGTCTGCATTTGGGTCATTTGAGTAGTAGTCCATTTGTTGACTAAGAATCCGAGAAAATTCATCATTCATCCCATAGGCAGGTGCAGTGTGGCAAGCACGGCCGTATGTCTTTACAAACCTTGCATGGATGTCCTCTAGAAAGGAAAAAGGGATTCTACCTGCAAAAGAGAGACCAGAAAAGATATATTCATTCGGTGGCCCAACAAGTATGACGCCATGGTCGTGAAAGAATGGATCAATGGTTTGCCCTATAAAATCCCTTTGATTCATTTATATAATAAAAATCAGTAGAAATCTATTCTGATAAGAATCAGTCAACTCCAATCACTTCTGACTCCACTGAAGTAGGAAGAGAAATGCTGCACCAAGATCCCATTGAGTCATCCTACACCGAACGATGGTTCAAGAGATAAAAATATATTTTTAAGGTAAAATTAATGAAAAACTTCAAGCTTTTCATGGGAAAATTATTGACGCATGTCAAGCTCTCTTTTAAGCCACAGAATTGTATTACTGTTGGCGCTAATTCCATAATACAAAATCATGAGGGAAGATACAATTAGAACACATAACGAAAATAAAAGGAATGAAATGTAGAGCACTGGCTGCTTGACACATTGAAGAAGGAATATCCGGAAAAGAATCTTCACGAAAAATTCTTACGTTCCTGGTCACCTAGAATCTTCGAACCAGTTTCGAAACTAATAGGATTTAAATACGTATATCTTGAAGAATGGGCTCATCCAGGATCTAGGAATCCTTCAACCGCAGGAGACAAGCAAACAGAAAATGCAGACATCCTTCCCGTCCCCCAGACGACATGTAAACCGCAAAGATCTCGATTAGCATTGAAGAGGGGATTCGAGGGCTATCACAAAGAGGAAATGTCGAAATCCAGGCGCTACTCGTCCCCGGAAGAATATTAAAAACCTCATTGACCGTTAGCGAACAAAGAGTAGTATTTTGGAGCATCAAAATTTCAAAAGCAGAGAGAGAGAGAGAGAGAGTTATGTAGGTAGGTTTGATCGGAGCTCACGGCCGGCGGCGTCGTCAGCCACGCAGAGGACAGTGATGCCGTCGGTGCGCTTGACGTGGAAGATGTAGCGGTCCTGGGAGTAGGAAACATGGCTGTCCTCACCGCTGGGAATTCTTTCCAGGACCTGACGGGAGATGGTGCTTGCGTTGGCCAGGGCCCCTCCGGTGAACTCTGCCAGCACCACCGATCCCCTCGCCACCAGCGCGAATAGGATCGCCATCGCCTTATTCCCCCCCTTTCCCTCTTCTCTCCCTCCTCCGCTCTGCGAAGAGGAGCGAACAAACAGGAAAGAACGGTTGTCTTCTTATTTGTCCACGAAAAAAGATATTTCTAATGTTCTTTATCACACTGATAACTTAACCCGTCCTTCTTAGCAATTGCGGAAATTGAGAGGACACCCGGATGGCGTCACTTATGGAAGAAGGATAGTGATCCAGATTAGATGATCCGGAGGAATATTGGAACGCAAGGGAGACGGGGCTCACAATGATTGGGCAACTACGTCCAAAGTGCGGGCCCCGAAACTACATTATCCTCACTTATTAACGTGACCGTTTTCTTCTTGCGTCATTAATCACTAAGAAAGGAATTAAATAGTTATATTTTTACAACAAGAATGAGCTTATATTCCTTTCTTTGCAACAAGTTTATGATATAAAATGGAAATATTCATCTTCCTAGAAAAACGAGAATACTACATTTCTAAATTCTAAGATGCATCAGCAACGAATTATTTCATAAACTATACATAAACACCTAATCATTTTCATTATGTTGCCAATAATATCTCGTGATTGTACTGACCATTATTTGTCTGTGGAATAATTTCTTGAAATTGGGTCACAAATTTTTTAATTCCAATTGATAAATAGTGTTCATATAATTAATAAGAAAAAAATCATAAACTAATGAATATTTATATTTCAGAAATAAAAATGAGATTTGGAAGTCCCATTTTGAATTCCTATTTTAAATTACCAAAACATAATATTAAACTGAATTTAATTTTTTTATTAATATGTACAGAAATTCAAACTTCATTATTAAAACTGCACAATAATATTGTTCAAAATTGGACAACAAAATTTGAAATTCCATTCTTTTCTAGGCGAACTAGCAAGTAGAAGACAAATATCATTAAAGAACTGGCATACATAGGAATTAAATATTTATGAAACACACTTATGAAATTTTTTTTTAAAAATAATGATATAGGAATACATAATGAATACATATCATAAATAATTTTTAAAGTGAGGTCGTTTTCTAAAATTACATAAATGGTATATGAGAAGCAAGTCCCTTTCGAGGAAACCCTACTATTTCTTTAGTTGAATGTGTGATTTTCTGAATTTTCCCTTCTAAGATATGTGTCTAGAATTAATTGTTTCCAATGGTGCTGCAATCTTGGTGTGACCACAGCTTAAAATGTGTCATTGTGTTGACTGCCAAACGAAAAAAAATATATCTTTTCCCAATTAGGAGATGCTATTTTCGAATTTATTTGTGAGTGGGGCATTCTAGAAAATATTACCATTGACAGCCATAATCCAAAGCATAGTCTCATAAGAGCCTTGTTCCACGTTTTAGTTTTTTTTCATTACCTATTGAATCTTAATTCTCAATAATGCTCAATCCTTTTAAGTGGACACCCAACTTCATGAGGATATGACACTAAGAAACTAGAATACCATTAAGGATAGTAATGGATGGATATCAGAAAAGGATAAAAGTTGCCAAACAAATTATACACAAAAGTGTATACAACTTGTTTGTTAGTAAGTGTTGACTTCTATGTTACAGTTTATTCCACAAGCAAATGGTCATCATTTATCATTTCAATAGAGTAACATAAAAATAAAATGAGAATTTTTATTTTCCCACATATTGATACATTATTGTGTATTAATGAGCACCAATGAATTTTAATTAAAAAACTTTTGACATTTGTAAGACCCTCATCACAGTCTAATGCCATAGTTCTTGGATATATCAATTCTTTTTGAAATAATAATCATGTTTTTTCCTTGTAGACAACCGAACTTGAGAATTGTTTTTATAAGATACATTGTTAGGATGTTACTAATAGATTAAAAAACATGGTGTGATAGAATAGAAAGTCAAATTTCTGGTACTAAGATTGGAGCTGAATTACACTTGTGAAAGATAAAATCAAGAACATGTGCTTAAAGAGCTCTATTGGTTGGGTGTTAAGGAACTTTAAGTTTGATGGGTTCCATTAAATTTTGTGGGCATTATGTGTAAATTTAATATAGCACTAATGGGCTTTAAAATCAATCAGCCAAGACTTACAAAGGCCTTTCTAAGAGGGAATTTGTCAAAGTTGTAAGACTACTAAATGGCTCTACATATTTCAGAAAACCTTCATAGAACTTTGGCTTAGTGATTACTTTTAGAGATTTTTCCTTTAGCCTATTTTTTACCTTGAAAATGTAGGGAGATCAAGCCAATCTTGCCCATTGGGGTAACTCAACATTGAGTATGCAAAAAATACTTTTTTAAAGGGAAAAGTTATGTTTTAATGATCCAGAAACTTTCAAATTGTGTTTAAAACATCCCATATAATGTGGCATCTAAATGAGTCTCATGTAGCTAGTGCCCACTAGTTATGCCTAAAAAACAAACATGGATACAAAAAAGTTATGATTAATGAGAATGTAGAGATTTATATCTCCAACAATAAAATCTTCATTGTCAACATCCTAGTCATTTCAAGTGACACAAATCTAATTAGCAATAAATTGAGAGGGAAATAATGGCAAATAATAATGCCATACAAAGGAGAGAAGACACAGTGTAACATGTAGGAGAAGCATATATTCATGCCATTAAATTCTAATAACGATTTCAATCCATAAGAATCTTTACTTATGCACAATCTTACTTACATAAATAATGGCATGTACAAACGTGGTAAAAAATATATGGGCAAGGATTACTATTTAGAGAGGGCTAGAATCACATAGGCTTGCCATCTCACATGTGCTAATACCTATTGACTTTATCTGTTTCTATTGAGGTAATGATTAGACCTATTTTTGATGATTTAAGGGACAATTCAAAGAATTTATGTAGGATAGAATATGAATTTCAAAATTAGAGAGCATGCAATTAGGAAAATTTGAGTGGAATATTTAGTCTTCCTCAAACTAAATAGATATTGAAAGTTAAGGCTTACATGATCTTCTAATAGTTTATAGAGTGTATTCTTCAGCATTCAGCCTATTTCAAGTATAGCTGATTTTATCACTCAAATGTAGCCCAATTAGATGCAACCCGATTAAGCTTATAGGCTTGGTCCATTAACATGAAAATATTGAGTCATAAAGGCTTACTCTACTATTTGAATGTTTCTGGCCCACTAAGTTCAGATAAATGATGTCTAGTAGGCACCAAATCAGTGAAGCCCAAAGCCTGAAGCGACCTAAACTCTATGCAGTTATTAAGGCCCAAAGTTTGGTAATATCTACATCTGAACCAACCATTGAAGCCAAGATTATATGAAGGCCCAATAAAAAGTAGCAATTGAGCAAAATGCTAGTCCAACAAGCCAAAAGATAAAATGAGGTTGTCACCAAAATTAGGTCATGGAAAAAGTAAGAATCACAAAGAGAGAGAGGGAGAGAGAGAGAGAGAGAACAACCTACGTCTTTCTCCTCCAACTCAAATTCAATAAGTTTCAGTGGCCTTGAGCGTGAATATCAGCAAAGAATCATCTCCCGCTCAATCATCCATGAGCTCACAAGGTCTAGTTATTGTTCTAGTTGATATCTCTCAAAATAGATGGTACTACCTCTCACCAAGGCTTGGCTATATGCATTGTATTCTTAGTTGTTGTGTGAGTCTATGTATTGTGTTTGGCTATTTTGTGAGCATCTATGATATGCTTGGTCATTGTATGAGCACTCGTGGTGTCTCAAATATTGCATGAGCACATGTAGTGTGCCTAACCATTGTGTGAGTACCTATGATGTGCCCATTTGCTTTGTGAGCACCTGTGATATGGCCACTTGTAGTGTGCTCAATTGTGATGTAAGCACTTGTGAGTGCTCACCTGAATGTGATGGTTTCCGAAACCAAATTTCTAATGGGGTTTTATAGACTCATGAACTCTATGGTGTAAGGAGAAGCTGATCCTAGAAAGTTGGTTGTAATAATATATGGTGATTAATGGAATGTATGAAAGAATATCTTAACAAAGATTGAAGTGACATTCTTATAGGAATAGATTCAATCCCTCATTTATCTATTTTTAACGAAGTAAATTATGAGCCAACAATTGAGTACAAGTTACCAAATTTGACTCTTCTAGGATTGGTTAGTCGAGGGAAATAATAGGATATCAAGGTCCTTCATGTGTTTTCCATTATCCTCATTATAGATTTTGTCAACAAAAAACTTTATCATCATGATAAGTAAGCCAATTTTATATATAATGTCCAAGATATTTGCTTAATTTCTACTAATCTAGATGTTTGGCATCTTTATGTCTCTTTGTTGCAATAAACCCATACATAAAAGGAAAAGGTTTCCATGGATGGTCAACATGGGAGATACGAACAGTAAGGTCTATTGACATAAGATGTGGTTATGGTGGGTAAGGGCAAGAAGGGTAACGATTAAATATCTATTGCCAAATCTATGTTACCTTATTGCTAGCCTTTATTAGAACATAAACAAGGCAAGATAACAATGGACAGATGTTTAGATTTTTTTCTCATTTTTTTATCTTCATCATCACAAAACCCAACATATTAATCTTATTAAAGAGCTATATTAGAAAGTGAATTACATTGGGGAACATGATTTTTTAAGTTTTATTTATCTTTTCATTCAAAGTCTGTATAAGCTCAAGACATGTAAGAGCTTTGGGCAGGCTCTAATGCTGATCAATCAATGAATACCAAAAGAAAAAATATATGAACTCAAGAGAAGTATGGTAAAGCTCCTTTTATTGAACAATCATCTTTCCCATGAGTGACCATATCATTTTCCTCATTTATTAGCTATGTTCTTTGTGTATTTAAGGAGGCATTGATTTGAAATTTTTCATAACCACTAATAAAACATCAATTTTATCAGCAATGATTCATATATTTTAGAGCTCTCAAGGACTCTTAAAAAACTTGGGATGAAAAGACAGCGTAAAATCATAAAAGGCCTTTTTGACATGGAATGACCAATGTAAACCTTTGTGAGAGTATAATAGAAAAGAGTAGAAGAGAATAAAGAAAAGGACTCACCAACAATGCACCTCGAGGCGCTTCATTGAAGCATAATCTGTGTATCCCTTGATATGCAATGTGCAATGTAAACCTTTGTGAGAAAAAATTTACTATCCTTATAACAATATCATCCTCTCTAATAACATAGACTTTTTATTTGTAAGTGATTTGATTTTCTTCTCATCCATCTAGTGAACTTCAATATATTATTTTGCAACTAAATTCTATATAGGAAAATTAGTCACTTCATATGAAATTTAGATTTAACTCATAGTATCCTCTATTAATAAAAAAATATTATTTCCCAAGTTTAATGAATTTCATGAAGTTCAGATAAGACAAACTTATTTCAAAATACTTAGGACGTACAAATGGGCATGTTCAATTTTAATTAGCAATTATATGTACCTAATTATCAATAATGACTTTATATTATTATTCTCAACAATATTATCTTGAAAAAAATTTTGTAGCTAAATGATTAAGGCACCATTATTTAGTGGACATCAGAAAAAAACTAATGTCTAGATAAAAAGGGAGAAATAATGAGTACCCCTAGTTTGATATTATTGTCATGAATCAATTTTCAATTATTTGTGACTAATAAATAATATGAAAAAGGGTCATTGTAAAAAGTACTATATACAATTGTGAACTTATTGCAGATACACGTTAAAAAATAATTATTGAGGTAATTTTCTTGAAAATAAGTCGTTGCTCATGCAACTCATGATTGCTTTCTCATGTTTTAAAACTATAACATTCCATTCGATTGACCCATCTAGGTACACTCTAAGTAATCTTTGTGAGAAATAGTTATGCAATTTAAATGTTTAACCTTGCATGCCGACCCATGCAAACATCCTCTTCTGCTTAATGGGAAGATTGACTCGACCCTAACTGTAGCTTGTTGGTGATGCTCCTAATGTTTTTTAACCATAGTCTGAAAGTACCTTCAATGCCAACTTTCAATCCATTCCAGTCCCGTTAAAAATAGTTGCTCATCTCTCTCTCTCTCTCTCTCCCCCCACGTGAGTTTCTACTCCGATAGTCCAACTCTTATAGCGGAAAATTTCCTGATATTCTCATGTAAAACATTAACTGCCCATAATTTACTTTATGAATAGAAGAATTTTCCTAAGTTAAATTCGCATAAAGATCCGAGGCAATATCTATTGGCAATAGTCTTCTATGAGACATCTTGCCCAAAATGCAAAACCGAGGTCTTGGAACCCCGAAAACAGAGGACAGTCAGAAGAGATACCAGGGTCCCACGTGTCAGTCTCTCTCTTTCTCTCTCTGTATCTATCTATCTATCTATCTCCCCCAGACTAGACATCTAGGTGGACCAGAACTGGGCTCCATAGGTTCGGCCCACTGACATTACTATAAAGGCACTCATTAAACATATGATTTTCATAACCAATATTGTGAAAGACAGAATTGCATGGTAGCTTCCTTTCAATCGGACGAAAACCCACCGACTTTAGAACATGATATGCCGACCCACGACGGCCTCACATACCTTCCCTCAATATATTTCAAATTACACCTTGTTCCCCGATAAAATATATATGCATAAGGTATATACAAATGGGTGAGCAATTTTACCTCCACCAAAGGTAGAAATGCGGGAAGAATAATCATGGCTGGTCCCCCGCGGAGAACCAGGTCCTCGAAGGCTGTCACTCCCCCAGATTCCTCGTGCCCCCTCTCGCCATTAAAAAGCTTAGCTGTCCGTGAACAGCCCCTGTGCGCCTGCTTCGTGGGGAGGGAGGGGGGTGGGGGACAAGGTCGCACTGTTTCATTAGGGTTTCACTCGGAGAGAACCCAGGTCTCCGTGGGCCTTCCTTCAAGAGCAGTCCTTGCACAGATCCCCCAGAGGGCAACGACTAACTGTCTGATAATAGCCACCTCCTTCCCCATCCCCCTACTTCTTCTTCTTCCGACCGCATGGTCGGGTAGGTCTCCTCCCTGAGAGCCAGTTCGCCGGCGAGGTGGAAGGCAGGCACCCGCCGCAAATGTCTTCCCGCCGCGGCGACGACAACGCCGGCGCCCGGCAATCTCCTCTCATTCTTCCTTGGGATGCTCTTCCTCTCTTTCTCTCTCTCTCCCGAGCAGCCTCACCGCGAGCTTCTCTCTAGCCCTGGTCTTAATTAACACTGGTTGTGGTGGGTTCGAGCTCCATAAAATAATGGGGTTTTGCGTACTGCTCGGAGAAGCGCCTCAAATTATGGCATGATATGTCGCGTCTACTCGTAGAAGAGAAGAGGGGGAGGGAAGGAGAGTGAGTGAGTGAGTGAGTGAGTGAGAGAGAGAGAGAGAGAGAGAGAGAGAGAGAGAGAGAGAGAGAAGACGAAAGCCCGGCTGTTTCATCTTAGAAGCTAGTACTGATTAAAAAAAAGAACATTTTGGAATACCTTGGTCGTCAGAGACCCTTAGTTTCGGAGAGAGTGGGTGGGCCTCTAGAGAGAGAGCAAATCAGAAGCCCTAACCAAGAGAATTCGCGACTATCATTTCCTTGCCAAAGATCTGCATGGAAAGGAGGAAGAGCGAGTATTCGCGTAGACCGAGAGAGAGAGAGAGAGAGAGAGAGAGAGGGGGCAGCTCCAAGCAGAAGATTCTACAAAACTCTCAAGGAAAAAAGGAATTCTCTAAGAAATTGGATCCATCCCTTATTCTTTCGATTGGCTGAAGAGAGCGTGCGTGTACAGAGAGAGAGAGAGAGACCAGGCAGCTACCACTAGCAGAGTCCACAAATCTTTCGAAGGAAAAACGAGTTTTCGCAGAAATTTGGTTCATCCCTTAGCCTCCGAAGTGGAGGTAGAGAGTCTGTGCGTGAACATATTTATAAAGTGAGCGAGAAAGAGAGAGACAGAGAGAGAGTGACAGAGCTAACAGCTCCCACTAGCAGAGTCAATAAATCTCCAAGGGACAAGGAATTCTACAACCCCCCCGACAAGGAACGTTGTTGGGAGGGAAGAGCGAGAACGAGCGAGCGAGAGAGAGAGAGAGAGAGAGAGAGCTTACCACTGTTAAAAGGAGAATTCGATGCTTCGGCCTTCCCTGGACCTTCCTTTCGGTCTCTCTTTGTAGTTTCCCACAGCATCCTTGAACTGCAGCAGCTTCGGAGACTCTTTCAGGAGCCCCAATGCAGTTCAAGAAAGCTGTGGAAGATTACAAAGAGGGCCTCCTCCCCACCATCAGAAACCCCCCAAATCCGCAGGCTACGACTCAGAAAGAGAGAGGGAGAGAGAGAGAGAGAGAGAGAGACCCAGAGAGAGAATGCGAGGAAGGAGGTTCATGGTGATCTATGACCGGCTGCAGATGGTTGGGGGCCTGTGGAGGTGGTATTTGTAGTGAAGCGAGGTTTTCTTCATCACAGCATTCCCAGAATCATCAATCATAATTATTTTTAAATCTCAGGCCTTTTCATCGGCCCTTTCCCTTTTCCTTTCCTCTCCGACGTTGCTACTACTAATACTGTTACTGTTCCCGGATCATCTTAGTCCCCTCCCTCTCGCTATGACGGGTTAAACCTAGAAGAACCCACCCATCGCAGGATCGATCCCGTCGGGGGACTTCAGCTGGGCACACGTGCCGGCTCGGGGAGTTCATCCCTCCTCCTCCTCTCTCTCTCCCTCTCTCCCTCTCTCTCTCTCTCTCTCTCTCTCTCTCTCTCTCTCTCTCTCGCTATCTATCTATCTATCTATTTTTTATCGAGTCAGTCCGATCGACCCTGCATGCAACGTTAGACGGTCGCACGTGGGGTCTGGATCTGCCGAGTGATGAGGGTGCAACGGCCACATGCATCCGCCTTTGCCAGGCTTGAAATCGCTGGACTGAATAATGTTGCACCGAGGCCACGTGGGTGTGGGGGTGACTCTTATGAGAGAGAAAGTGAATCGACGGAGAGAGAGAGAGAGAGAGAGAAGGAAGAAGAGAGAGTGATCTGAAGAGCTTATAATCGCGCATTAAAACTAGGTGCGTATTTATGGGGTTTAATTTTTTTTAACTTTTCGTGCCTGTTTTTTTTTCGTTTTGATATTATTTGGGTGGGGACGGAGGAGGATTTTCCAGTCGCAGTGAAGAAAGATGGAGAGGACGACGAGGAGTTACTAAGTGAGTGACAGTTTTTTGGATGGGAGAGCCTACCAGTCTGCCAACCCAATGACTAGGATGAATCCCTGAATCATGGGTCGAGCATTTATTATAATCGAGATGAGGCATTGGACAGCTATTCATGCGTGGTCCTCTCTCTCTCTCTCTCTCTCTCTCTCTCACACACACACACACACACCCTCTTTTTCTCTCTCGTTGGCTCTCTCTCTCTCTCTCTCTGCCTCTTCCGCACTCTCTCGTTCTCTCTTTCTCACTCCCACACACCATTTTCCCCTACTCTCCCTCTCACCCTCTATCTTTCTCCCACTTTCTCTCTCCTTCCTCCCTACTTCGCCCCCTGCCGACTCCCTACCCCCGGATTTTCAGTATCCTACGTTCACCTGATTCGGAGGATTCAGCAAGAAACCAATATCTCACGACCCCCTCCCCCCCCTCCTCTTCCCCCCTTGAAATCCTCCGCTGAGAATTAGAATTATGAGGAATCCTCGCTCCCCATCGAATTCCTCGCTCGTCATCAGAAACCACCACCCGCCCCAACTCGAATTCCTTGCTCAGGTGGCGCCGCCGCCGACTGACCCGTGCAGCTCCCACGCTGAGAAGAAGACCACCACCGTACCAGAAGCACGCCCATCGGCCCCATCAAGAGGAACGATTCAGAGGAAAGAAAGGGCCCAGAGAGAGAAGGATTCTATGGAAGCCAGAAGCAGCGCAGCAGCTTTCTTCTTTCAATCAAGCAGAGCTGGATCGGATCAGTCGGAGCATCATTCTCCCCCAAGATGGGCAAAAAAAAAACAAAACACAAAATTAATTGTTTTCTTCAATGGGCAGATCATTCTCCCCCAAGATGTGTCTTAGCTCCCTTCATATTTCGGGTCGGCCATCACGTGGTGGTATGCGATGACCAGCACGAAGACGAAGATGCCGAGGAAGTTGCAGAAGAATCCCAGATCCTGGTCGTCGAACATCTGTCAGAGAAAAAAAAGAAAGAAAGAAGGGAGGAGGCAGGCATAGGAGGAAGAAGATGGGTCAGTGGAATTTCGCAGAGATCGGCGAATTTTGAGCATCTGGATGCAAAGAAACATCAAAAACAAAAATCCTGGTCTTGTGAGAATATTGAGCTCATGAAAATATAAACAAAAACAAAAAAAGTGAGGCGGGCAGAGGAGGAAGAAGATGGGTCAGAAGAATTTCGCAGAGGTCGGCGAATTATGAGCATCTGGATGTGAAAAACCACCAAAAATAAACCTTGGACTGAGGAAGATAGTGGGCTCATGAAAATCTAAGCAAACAAAAAAAGTGAGGCAGCCAGGCAGAGGAGGAAGCAGATGGTCCAGCAGAATTTCGCAGAAATCGGAGAATTCCGAGCATCTGGATCCGAAAAAACACCAAAAAAACAAAAAAACTTGAACTTGGGAAGATATTGTGCTCATGACAATCTAAACAAAAAAAAGAAAACAAAGGGAGGAGGCAGACAGAGGAGGAAGAAGATGGGTCAGCAGAATTTCGCAGAGATCCGCGAATTCTGAGAATCTGGATGCGAAGAATCATCGAGAAACAAAAATCTTGGACGCATGAAAACATTGGGCACATGAAAATCTAAGCAAACAAACCAAAAAAAAGTGAGGCAGGCAGAGCAGGAAGATGGGTGGGTAAGCAGAATGTCGCAGAGACCAGCGAACTCTGAGCATCTGGGTGAGGAGAAACATTAAAAATCTTGGACTCATGAAAATACTGGACTAATGAAAAATCTAAACAAACAAACAAAAAAAAAGTGAAACCACGAGGCCCACCTCCTTTCTCCCAGCCTAGTCCTCTGCCAAGTACTCTTTTAGTATATTTTTCCTCCCCTATGAGGACTTTTCCCAAAGATGAGTCGAATTCAATAAAATCGGCCATCTCCTTCTTCCTCGCATCTCTAAATATTACCACCATTACATCCACCATTTTCAAAAGTTTCCCTGTATGTTCAAAAGTTTTCACAGCCGCCACCTGATGTGTGTGCCAGACGAGCCAACTTGGATCCAGAAGACTCAGGCCCTAAGCCCATGAATTCCAGGTCTCGGCCACTGAGCGCATGGCCCCGACCTGGGTACTGAAGATTTATCTCCAAAGCAGTTAACTATCTAATGATGAACACCCTAGATAGTGAGGCAGTAAAGCAAAATCCCTTGAAGATCAGCCATTCTCGGCCAAATATTTCTCCTCATCTACCCAAAAGCTCAATGATGAGAATGGTAATCAGTCAATTGCAAGGGCGGCCTTTCTTTACGGTGATGAAATATCAAATGGAATCAAATTTTCCCTGTATGTTCAGGATCCATCTCCACAGATGTAGCGACAGACATCGAGCTCACCAGTTCTGCGGACAAAACCCATATGTTGCCCTGTGATTACAGCTCCAGAAGTCATTGTTTCTTCAACCCTTCTAATAATCCCCAATCATCACCCTGATTGGAAAGTTATCGCGTCCCAAGCATACTCGGTTGTAGAACAAGATCATGATCTCGCCAACTGAAAGACCTCATGAGGCTTCCCAATGGTTCCTGTTCCAGAGACCTCATTCTCTCTCTCACATCTGAATCATCACAATTTTTAACTTCAATCTACGAGTCCCAGGGTGCATCTCAAGGAATCATTCATCCTCTCAAAACTTCCTGTCGGCTGCTCTCAAATGACCCTAAAGATGAGATGACAACGGAAACTCCGCAGGCTGATTCTTCAGTTTCTACCTGGCCTACATGTAGAACTGTTCATGATGATCCACAGCCCACGCTTCGTTCCATTCACAAAAATTTAAAAGAAGCTGATACTCAAGATTTCACATATGCTCGAGAGAGACGAAACGTCATTCACAGAGCGCCGACTCCCCCGAAAACGTACAACCCACATAGAAAGTCTACAAAAGGGGAGGAGGGGGGTGTCTTCATGGCAAATCAGGGAAAAAAACAGCGATCGGCTGTGTGAGACTCGGGAAATGCGAATCGGAGGGGAGAACAGGGCACGCGGCCCCCTTTGAAGCTCTCAACCACAACCGAAGAGCTGGATCTGAGAAAATTGGAAAATCGCCGGCATACATCGAGGGGGAAACCAGGAAAACACGACGAGGAGAACAGAAGAACTCCAAGACCCAGGGAAGAAACGAGCACAGTGATCCATAGGCACGCACCTTTCCGATTCTGACTGTTCAATAGATCACCCGGAAGCACACCGAGCGCCAACACGAACGTGACCGGCAAGGAAGAAGAGCACGAAGACCACGGAGCCTCCGAAGCTCCAAAGAAGGACTATACTCCGGCTTGGTGTCCTATCGGATACTTGTCGGATCGTGCGTCAAATAATTATTGGTTTTCCCGAATTCATCGACACCGGGTGAGAGATAATAGACTTTTTCTAATTACCCAGCATTCAAAAAATATAAAAATATATTTGTTTTCAAAAAATATCATGTTTAGTGACAAAAATTGGAGAATCTTCCTCGGTGAGGGTGGGGCTCATAATTGCATAATAATTTTGATATTATCATTTATAATTTCCCTTTTTCATAGATTAAGTAATAGTTATTTTGCCCACCTATTCTAGTCTAGGGCCACGTATATCTACTCACAATTTCATAGATGGGTAATAATTATGTTACCTATCTTTATGATCCAATTAAGTATTTGTTCTAAGACTATCCGACTCAAAGATGGGTAAGTTTTTGAGCTTAACGATTGGAATTAGAAGAAAAGTCAACATGAAGACTTAAGATGTGGGGCTGACTTGGTTGCTGAAACCACCACGAAGAGATACAAACCCATGCAATAGTAGAGTGAGCGCATATTTATTTTCTCAAGAAGAAGGATTTAGCAGCTTATCTACCTATATTGATTGAGACTCTTCTTAAGATCGATCAATCGCTTCCCCCCTTGTACTTGTGAATACTTGCAGCTTTAGAAAAATGGATGAAATCTTGTGGCCTCATGGCACCATTTCCAGTTGTTGTAGCTCATGCATGCCCTTCATCAGCTGCACTCTCCAATTTGGGCAGACACCATGAGTGAGAGAAGAGCATCTCCTGACCCCAAAGTGTTTATAATTTTATGATTTAGGTCTTATCCCTGGTACATCGTTTGACAAAAGTCAACCATGTGGACAATATTCTACAATATTTTATCATTAAAAATTATATTTCTCAGCATGGTACATCCGTATTATCACTAATAGGCATGGGAAGAGGCCTTCTAAGTGTTGTCCAAGAACACAAGGATGAAGCAATCCAAGTCAAGTAGAACCCACAACATTACCTCACAACAAGTTGACCACCAAAAAAAAAAAAAAAAAAAAAGCGGTGTGTGGGGTAAAGAAAAAGGGATACTTTATCTGCACTATTATGCAAAATATAAAAAAAAATTAAGCAGAGAGAGTTGGCATGGATGGACTCCGAGTTTCCTTCCAATAGCATCATACATCGAGACTGAGAACAATGGATATCAATGGAGACAGAGAACCACTTACATTCCTCCTTCGATCGGACGCTGGCATACACTCACAGAGAGAGCCATCGTCGTACCCCAAAAGGTAATTGAGAGAAGACCTTCCTGCTTTCACAAGAATAATCACAGAGAAGAGGATGAATAGCAGTGAAGAAAAAGGCTAGGAGCTCTTTTCACACCTCTACGCAAGGCTGGCGAGACCCCAGCAGGCACGCACACAAAGGCGCAGCGGGAAGGAGAAGAAGCCTCTTGAGAGAGAGAGAGAGAGAGAGAGAGAGAGAGAGAGCTTCAAGTTGATGGCTGGGCGCGGGCGGTCAAGCAGTCGGTGAGTCCCCAGACTTAGAGGTTGTCCCTCAGCCATTTGAGGGCTCCATTGGCAGCCGACCTGCATCACAGTGGCCCCCATCACCATGATTAGAATCACAGTACTTGCAAAGAGCAAAACCTTTGACGGATCCATCATAGATGACTGCAAGTGGAGCATAACTGCGGATGCCAATAAAGCTTACCCGACAAAATTCTTAACATTCTGCCAAACGTCATCTTCTTCACTTGTTGCCTCTGAGTCCTCGGATTTGACTTCAACGACCTTTGGACTTTCTGTGTCCTTGGCTGCAAGAAGAAAGGAAACAGAGCACGGAGTCAAAGGCAGATACGTTCAACCACGAGGAAAAATCACAAAACATGAATATAGATAGACAAGCTTCAACCACTGGGACCATCTTTCTAACGATAGATTCTGCCACCTTCACTGCAAGCATTGACAACTAATTGCCATACATGGAATTCAACATACTTGGTCTGGAATGAGTTCGAGGACGGCTGGCAGTCGGGTCATTCAGTGATGCGAGTTGTTCAAGCAACTCCCGTTCTCTCCCACTAGAGAAAACAAGAAATACGTCAGCATACATGACAGCAAGAAAAATTCATCACGACAGATCCAAATTTCTACATCGTTTTACCCTCCTAGCTTAAAAGAGATCCATAAAAGATGTTCGTCATGGCATATTAAGATAAACACTAAAGTATGCATAAGAACAAAGGGGAACTGAGTATTCAATCAAAACATAGAACAGCAGCATCGAGGGATTCATCTCCTCATCATGCATGAAATGGGCACAGATATCAGAGGATGGTTACGGATATGTTATCTACAAGTTCTACAGAAAAAAAAAAAAAACTGAATGGAGGATTCACCTGATACGACTTGGTATGGTGACTTTGATAGTAAACAAGTGATCACCACGCACGGATGGCTTATTTAACTTAGGAACACCCCGTTTAGCTAAAATAAGCACGTCACCAGGTTGAGTACCAGGGGGTATTTGAAGCTCAGTGTCACCATCAACTGTCATCACCTGTCGAACGAAAGCTATTACAGCGGAAAAGGTCAACTAGAACCAATTACACTGATCGATTTCTTCTGAGAAGAACGTGCCCATTAATCCTACATATTCTTGGATTTATTGAGATGCAAGGCAAAGTGAATGAAATGGACGAAGGAATTTGAACAATCATGCATGGCTTTACAAACAAATGAAATGCATTTCACGATGTGAAACGGTGGGCAACTGTTACTGAACTTTTCAATTATTCAAACAGGATGAATGAACAGTCTTTTGAAGTCATTGAAAGCGTACCGCATAGGTCACACAGTACACAACTGTATGAAAAACCAAGATGATAGTACAGTGCAGATGAATAAGCCCAGCGTCTAAACTTCAAGTTTTCATTCTAAAATATATACGACATATTTTTATCACATACCAAACTTGTTTCAGGGAGTTGTTGGAAGTTCCAAGTCGTAAGAAAATACCGTAAAAGATTGAGGGTATTTTGGGAAAGTGTGTAGGGTTTCTCCCTATATAATGGGCGTTAGAGGTGAATGAATCTTGAGGAGGTTGTCCCCCGTTCCTCTCCTTTGCCCTCCATGACAGAGGCCGTTCTCCCTTTGTTTATGTTTTCAACAGGACTTCTCATGTAAAGTGTTACCCAGGAAACAGATGAAGAAACCATATCAGCTTCCTTAATATGTTTTAGCATTATGACAACAAGTTTTTGACAGTACCCCACCTCTCAAGGAATAGTTAACCACAAATGTATGCTCTGTGGAATAACAAGATTTCAGTAAGTTAATAGTGCATGATGCCAATTTTTCAGATCACCAGTAATCCAGTACATTATTCTGTGAAGATCTGTAAGAACTAGTACCATGTTATTCGCATATAGAAAAGGCAGTTTGGATGCCATTCACATTTGAAAGACTAGTCCGTATCTTAGAAAAATGAACCCATGTCAAGCCCTACTTATGCATACGAGTTACATATCGAGTACAAGATAAACGACTGCAATCAACTAAAGCAGAAAATCAAAATGCTTCCCAAACACAAGTTCACAATGAAAAGATGAAGAAGATAACTAGAGAACAGAGGCACAGATAATTCATCTGTACAAGATTGAAGTTTTCCAAAACTATATTTTCAATTTGGCGCTGCCCCGTAGATAACGGACATCATATTGGCAAAAAACACATTCAACCAAAACCTGTGGCAGGAAACTTCTAATATGTACGACAGAAACATGTGTTGGCACATGAAACAATGTTTTTCCATTTCACAAAATAATTATAGGCTGGATATACTACTGTCTGAGGATTAATTTGTGACCATATGAAGCTATCCGTTTGGAAAGACGGCCCGTTCTTGACCAATGAATAAGTCAAATCTTTTTGTAGTCTATTTGATAATCTTTGAAACACGACCATCCAAGGGGCATCAAGTACTGGACGTAAATTCCAGGTCCGTCTTTTTCTACTTATGTGGTCAGAGAGAGGGACTTCTAGTGCATTTCATAAGCTACTGCCTTCTCCAAAGAATTTCGGAATCAAAGAGGTCAAAGTCTTGATGCCTAGTATGTCATTCAGAAACTAAGAACATGATTTTTGGAAAATTAATGACCTGTTTATTACAGAAAACTAAACAAAATACTATGCGATAAAAAGGGAGAAAAAAATCACCTGAGCGATAGTCCCTAAAATCGCTTCAATATAACTGATTGAGACTGTTGACAGCAGATTGATACCATCCCTTTGAATCTCAGGTATCTCCCGGACATCAAGACATACATAAAGATCTCCCGGAGGCCCCCTGCTTAAGTAAGAAACTGAAGTGAAATTATTGATTACTACCAATGAATATACTTACAAGTGGGTAAAAGAATCAGATGCTGAATCAGAAATAGGTCAATTTTATGACATGGGAAATATAGGACATCACAACGCGTAATGGAAAACTATCCAGATATAGAACACTGGAATAATCAGGAAAAAAATTACTATTGCAAATCCTAATGTCTAGTCATACCCTCTTGCTCCTGCATCACCCTCACCACGAACACGAAGAGTGCTCCCTTTGCTAACTCCAGGTGGAATTTTAACTTTTATGTCCTTCTTAGTACGAACACGCCCTTGACCAGAACATTTTCGGCAAGACTCAGAAACTACTTCACCTTCACCACCACAAGTAGGACAAATGGAAACCTACATACAAAATCAGTTTGACGATAAGAATTAATAAATTTTTTCCGCCAGTAGAAAAACTTAGGGAGAAAAAACGTGTTAAAATTACAGAGAAGAAACTGCTGATATTGCATCCGAAGGCTAATCAGCTTGCTTTTACTGGCAACGTTGTAGACCTTGCTCAAAAGTGTAAACAAGAAGAGTAAATACTAAAACTGTTAACCAGCCTGTGTTTGCTCATTAACATTATCTTCCAGGTGATCTATATTCTCAAATGCAAAAAACATAGAAGATAAACAAAAATAAGCAAAAAAAATGATCATAAATTCCAATGTTAATATATTGCACATTCATACCTTCCCAGAAAATAAATGGATGCATCCTACATGACGAGAATATCTATTACTAAATGATTTTAACTTTTACCTGACTAGTATCTTGGTGCAATGCAATGTTCCGGATCCTTTCTTAGGGGTATTTTGGATTTTTAAAAATAGAATCACGTTTTCTTACGACTTGGTGCAATGCAATGCAATGACGAGAAGATGCTTGCCTCTTTTTTGTGTCATATAGACTTTCTAATGTTTTGCGGGAGATTAAGGATTTTCCCTTACTGAACAAGCTTAATAAATGTTTTTTATCTGCCAACTGGCCCCGTGAAAGTTGTCATAGCTCTACAGCCGAAAACGAGCACGAGGGGAATATAGTACCACCTTGTCGAGGTTGATATCAAAGTTGTAGCATTAGATCCTACGTCCAGACACGGATTTGTGGAAAACCAAAGCAGCCTGGCTGATTCGCATGATTAAGAAGAATAAAGATTATTAGACAGTCTATCAGAATATAGATCCGATAGCCATAGATGGACATCATCTCGTGTAGTTGTGTTAAAAGTTATGCAACTTTTTCTTCTATCTTTCATTTTTCCTCCACAGACCATTCCCATTTGAATAGTAGATAATCACATGGACAAAACAAGACCTGGAATGTAGTAGATTCGCAAGTTGGATGGCACAACTTCAGAAGATCAGATAACCTGAAGTTTGGAAAGGATAAGTACGGAAGAGGCAACTATGTCGCTAGTATATTGTGTTCTAAAATGAGATACTTCATCTCACGCATAAGTGAAAAGGAGAACATGATAGGATAGTAGAACATAGAATGGAGAGACATCAAGACAACATGTGCTCACTTTATCCATGGTACAAAGAGATAAATTGCCAGGAGATCACTTTTCAAAAGGCAAGAAGAGAATTCATATTGCAGATAATGATGAGCAATTTCCCAGCTTTTGTCAGACATTGTACTTAGTTTTCCAGCAAGACAATAATACCTAGGCACTACCAACAGTTAAAACAGGTAGCAGATGTATCAGAAAAATGGTTTCCGTGTCAGCATGTAGAGCAAACAACTTTTTAACTCGTGCGCCACATATAAACATAGTTAAAAGATTGAAAAAATCGAAATAATCAGGTAAATCTGGCTCAGTATTTTTCCGTAGTACATAGAATAGCACCTTGTTACTATCTGGCTCCGTATTTTGGAGAGATCAGAATATCTTTTAGGCCTTCCCCACCCCAAAACCAAAACAAAAAAAAGAGAATTTTACGTCTTTAGTTGGATTTAGCTACCTTAGCGTTACAAGACATCCTTCGTTTCAGATTTTGAAAGGAGAGAGACCGAAAATAAGAATTTTTTAAAGTCCTTCCCAAGAACCATCTAGATTACTATTTCTTCAGCCACAAGAAATTCAACTCATTTTCTCAAACAAAGAATGTGTGGGAAACTTTTTACTTAAGAGAAATACTAAATACCTGAGAAAACAAGCCGAATGGTGTTTGCTCTGTTCGCATTACTTGACCCCTTCCACCGCAGGTGGGACATACCCTCAACTTAGAGCCTACCTTTGCCCCAGTACCATCACAAGCATCACAGGTCTCCAAATGAGATAGCTCAATTTCTTTCTCCACTCCGAAGATAGCCTCAGAAAACTCCAAGGTCAGGTCATAACTGCAAAAAAGCTTTTATTTATGAGCCAAATCTCCCCTACACAATAAGACGTCATTAACAAAAATAATTCATGATAGGTGCCCAATACAAAACATTTATTAACAAATGAAGGGATAACCCACAAAATGAGGGCTAGAAAGGCATCAGTAGTAGTATATTTCAACGTCCATAGCAGCGGCAAGAAAAAAACGTGCAAACATAAATCACCAACTGCCTACTGAAACCATCGTAATGTTCATCCATATCATATTTCAAGTTTCCGGAACTGACATAAGACATGCAACTAACATGACAATAAGAGAAGAAGTAGGAGAAATAAATAAAACATAAAAAATTACAACTAAAAATGGAAAATAATAGATCTTCTAAGTATTATAGTAATTCATTGTATATTCGAACCTAGACCATTTATTTTCATTGGATAATATTCTATTTTAAAGAAAAACCTATTCCAAGAAGAGCATCTGTGTTCCAGAATTTGAAGGAAAGGTATAAGCGCGTTATGATTTAGTCAAGAAGACATACACAAGAGGGCTGTCCTCCTTAAGACATAGAAATCAGGTCCTCAATAGAAACAATAAATATACAAAACTAGAATGAATACAAAAATAGTGCTAATTCAAGAAAATGATTTCAACCACTACAAGAAAATAGTAGTTGGACAAAGCAGGAAGGAATATTAAACAGAAAAGCATGAGCATCACATAGAGGTCACTCATGACATTCACATGACCAACCGATCCTGAGAAACGATTAGATGTTTCTGTCACAGCAAACGCTAAAATTCTTATCATGGTGTTGTATACTATCTAAAGGCTAGTAATAAATATGTAAATTTTTTAAGTGGTGCTCCATGGCTCACCGAATATCTTCACCCTTTGTAACAGTACTGCGTCTACGTGTTCTAAATGTGCTTTGGTCAACTCCGGAGAAACCACCCATACTTTGCCCAAAGAAGGCCTCAAACAGGTCAAATGGATTACTCTGCACAAGAAAAATTGCAAATCAAAACGAAGAATTGGGAGATCAGATTATGTTCCTGAGTGGTAAAATATACATTGTATGCCTTAAGAAGTGTACCAAAGACAGAAGGAATAACATCGCTTTTACAACGCAGTTATTTCATGCCATGCTAACCTAACTATAAAACGGTCATCACTTTACCGTATAAGCTCCAGCAGAGCCGCCCACTGAACTCTTCAGACCGTCTTCACCATACCGATCATATACAGCCCTTTTGTTATCATCTGACAACACCTAAAGATGAAACAACTCAGTCATTAATCAAAACCTGATACCTTACTTAACGGAAAATTTAAGAATATTTAGTATCACCCAGCTACAATTTACCGAAGTGAGACTTAGATAAAATGGTTAATGTGGCATTAGAAGACATAAATAATTCTCAGCTGTCTCAGAAATCCAAGAAAACTAATGCTCACAATGGGCTACAAACCTACCTGAATGCACATACAAAATAGATATGAAGCATGTAGACAAAGAAATAACAAAATACAGATGAACCAAGGCATTTAAAGCTGCTGTTATGAAATTAGATCACTTCCAAACAACATGAAAAGAAGAACCCTATTGGTGCATGTCAAAGCAAATTCATTACAAAGTGATGCATTAAAGTTGGAGGAAGTAAAAAGATCATGAATGTCAATGTTCAAGCAATACACAAATGTCATCACATCTCAAAGGAACCCCACTGATCATGTTGTTGCATGACCTTGAATACAACAGATCAGAACAAAGCATAAGTGATGGTTCAGGCTTATCTAATCGCTATTTTTCATCTTGTCCACGTTCACGTTCCACAAAAGGTCAAACTGCAGCATTTAAGTACACAAGCTAAGGCAGAGATTAAAAGTTGGGAAGAACTGAAAGACAAGAACACCACGTCAGATGACTAATCTTCAGCAGCATACAGTTACATGACTGAATACAACAGAAAACTAGAATGAAAAACTCGAATGATAATGGTTTGTCAGTAGCATTTCGTTCAGACATTTTAACAATAACTTTCAACATCATTTTAGGGCATTCAAACTCAAGAATGCTGCTTCCCAGTCCTCAAGTGCAATCAAAGCTCATAGGGAAAAAACTGGTGCTCCAAGATCTTGTCTAATCAAAATATCTGGATTTGTTGCTATATTCCTATATGGGCAAAGAGTACTAGATAACCTAGAATTATAATCAAGAAATTAGCTTTCTGGTACAGAAAATATAGCATATATGGTTGCCTGTAACTGCGATTTAATACTGCGTACACTGAAGTTAAGAATTATATCGCGGGATAAGTTAGTGTCACCAAAGGATGAAGAATCTTTGAAAGAGTACCGATAGCCAAGGGGTCAAACCATTATAAGAATATTGTGTAACTTACTGAGACAAATCTGGGAGCTAACTGCCCTCTAGAACTAAGTTTCACAAAAATAATCATAAATGAAAGTCCAAAGAGACAAATCAACCCTCCTTTCAGTCTCCCTTTCAGCTCCAACAATTATCACATCATGTAATTATGAGGCACCAAATAGCGAAAGTAAGTTTAAATCAAAAAAACAATTAAGAGAAAATGCTAGGAAGTCATAAATTACCTCATATGCAGCACTGATCTCCTTGAACTTTTCAGTAGCTCCTGGCTGCTTGTTCACGTCAGGATGATACTTCAATAAACAAAAACTGATGTTATGACTATATGAAAGATGATGTAGAAAATTTATTGGAACATAACATCATAAGAGGCATGATAAGTTTTTTACAGGAAACCCCTCAGATATTACCACCTCTTTTGCTGTCGCTGTTTGAGTCATGAATACTGAGTTACATAGAGAAGAGACAAGGAATACAGCAACTGACATACCACATCTAACTTTTCTAATTCACAATGCAAACTTTTCAATGGTGTGAAACTCATGATGCAGAAAGGGCCTATAGTTTTATTAGAGAAGCACGCAAAATTGAAGATGAAACTTGCCTGAAATTCCGAACTGTACAACCGACATGACTTATCTATCTATCAAGAATTTCTTCCCATTATTTTCCTGCATTCTAACGATAACATGTGGCATATGGCAGTTTATAATAATGTTTTCTTCGTTTCAGAAGCCTAAACTAGACCATGTCAACACTACAAGTCCAAGGTTTTGATCCAAAATTAAAAGAGGAGAAAGAGAAAGGGAAAATAGAAGCATAAGGTGGAAAAGGAGGAGGAGAAAAAGAAGATAGCAAACGATGCTGACCTAAAGGAAAGACGAAGATGAAGAAGAACCTTTAGTAATATCTCTTATCTCCCACAGATCTCACTATGATGTCATTCCTCTGACTTGAAAAGATCATACTGGCATCCATGATGTCAAGTCATGGTCTGTCCATCACAAGACAATGTCGTCACAATGCTCACCTCTTTACCTACTTAAAATACCTGATCTACAAGAAGGTTTCCAAATTCACCCATTGTCAAGAAGATTATCATCCATGTCCTTTGTAACGATCTTCCCTTTCAGAATGTTCAAATCTTTTCCTTCCAAAATTCTGTTTCTTTTACTAACTTCTTCTATCAGATAATACCTAGAAAATCATCCTAAGTCAAACGCCAAGAACATCCTTCTTCATGCTCAATGCGCTCATAAGTTGAATTATCATCTCTGTGCCTGGTAGCTAGAACATCCCTCTCTTTCATCAGACCTACCATCTTGAGATCTCGAAACTACACCCCATTTATGTGAATGGTAGATCTAAGACATTCATGATTCTTATTTTCATGGGCATTTGAATTTTTTACAATGGACCTCACATGGATGAATTCAAAGAATAAAACCCAGAGTATGAAAAATGGTAAGACAAGATTAATTCCTTGTAAATTCGTTCTCATCGTCTACATAAGAGGCTTAAAAATATCAGAGGAGAAATAACTAAAACCAGAAAAGTTTTACCCCCCATTCTACACGTTGTTTAGCTTTCAGAGAAAATAAAATTGTCTGGAAGGAAACGATAGGAATACCACGGAAATTCAATGTACAGTAAAACCTACTGCATCTGATTCGAAAAAATGATGGATATTTTCGACATTTTGAGGATCATAATTAGCAGAATGCTACATGAATTTGAGGTAGACAGATAAAAAGCTAGCTAATCCTCTTTGTCTTTCACTTTGATATCCTCTGTTGTTTTTACATATATACCATGATATCTTCTTCCAACAAGAAATGAAATCAATATCACCGAAAAACTTTCTTTCAAAAAAATTGGAGAAACGATGCATCCCCCAATCATCTGCAAACCAACACAAAACCAGGAGAATCTTTTTTTTTTCCTCAACAACAACGAGCAATAGACATAAGAGGTGTCTTAGCATAAGCTGGTAGTGTTTGATTGCAATAACATGGAATCTACTGAAACACAAAGCTGACAATAGAACTGGGAATTTTTTTCTTCCAAGATTGTTTTATTCTTCTGGTAATTTGGCATGAGATGCTACTGACTTTGAATGTAATGACCGAGTACTTTCACATATGTGATTGCGAGAGGAGAAGGGCAGAAGGAACACATTCACTCTCTGCATTACCCTCACTCTACAAAAATGGCGAAAACTAGCAATAGTGTGATCAATTCTCTAAAGCTTCAACAAGGACCTTTTCTCGATGGCCACCGACACAAGCGAAACTTCTCGATAATCGAATGAAGGGAAAAAACTTGTAACGAATAAAAAAGATGTCATGTAACGAGAAAAATTGGAATCAACAATGGGCAAAAATCCTCACAGGAATCTGGATCCTCAAAGGCATCAGACATCCAAGAAATGGCATTCATATTTAATTTTGAGGTAAAAAAAGAGAAGAAATATAGAACTCACGAGTTTCCCTAATCAAACAAATGCACAGCGGAAGGCTAACCTGGCGAGCGAGACGGCGGTAAGCGGCCTTGATCTCCTTTCCATCAGCAGACTTCGGGACTCCAAGGACAGAGTAGTAGTCCGAGGACGCAGCGACCACAAACTCCGACGGGGTGCGGCGCCGCGCGGAGCCGCCTCTCCTCCTCTTCCTGTTCCAGTACCGGAGCTCGAGTCGCGGGGAGAGGGAGAGGAAGGAGATGGGGTGCGGAAGGGCGTGGGCGTCCGGCGTAGGCCATCTGGCTACAAAGGCGAGCACAGGCCGGCGGGGAGAGGAGGACGAAGAGGAAGAAGGCCCGAAGGAGAGCTGGGAGGACGCGATGGAGAGCGCCATTGGAGCTGTGCCACCAGCGACGTAGCGGGAAGAGAGAGAGAGAGAGAGAGAGAGGAGAGGGTGAGTGGGCACGGTAAGGAGGGGCCGCGCTTGCAGTGTGTGGTGAGATTACCGGCACGTGCTACAATGCTCATCTGGTATTCAGTCCCACGTGTGACTTCTTTTATTTTTATTTTAAAGGAAATGGTCGACAGGACGAGGAGGGATTGAAGTCGCATTATAGGCACCAAAGAATGAGCGAGAGAGAGAGATAATAAGGTCTTTAAGGGAACCGTCACAACCTGCCACATCACATCCTCTTCCAACAAGATTTCTAAGCGGACCTTGTCAGCCAGTGGCCGATTCTGATTAGCTATATTTTTCCAGATAATTCAAATATTAAAAACAGGTATTTTATGTGTGCTGATAAATAAGATAAAGATGATTAGATAAGGAGCCGTCTATTTTATTTGCTATATTTTTCACCATAATCTAAATGATAAAAATAGCCATTATGTGAGCAGATAAATGAAATAAATATGCCTAGTTGAGGGCTCCTTGAGAGAGTCAATAGGAGTCATTTGTCGATTTAATCCCCTCCATTTTATTCAAATATTATATCTTTGCACTTTGCTAAGTTAGTAACAAAGGCAAGAGGATTTATATCCTTCATTTTCTCAAATTAGGAATTATTTATATTATAACAATAAAATTATTTTATATTACTTTAAAATCCACATCATAGAGAGAGTGCCATTTATTGTTCTAAAACTGGCCCCATTGACAACCAAGAAACTATGATTCTTGGAGTTTATATGGAAATACATGTGAATGAAAAGGTATTTATATTTATAGAAAAACCCATTATTCTTCATACTCTTCAAATTATAGTCCAATTCTTTGTGAACAATAATACCATTTGTATTTTCTTTTATCATCTATGTTTTTCAAATATAAATGATAGGCATGTATGAAGTGTTGAAGATAATTATTATTCCAAATATAGGGAAATTACTAAGGACGACAACTGATTTGGGTTTTTTCCTAAGAGATAGGACCCTCTCGACGAGCAAGTTTTTAAGATAACTATTGAGCAATAGTTCAATAATAGATGGGGAAAGTGACAAAAGTACCCACAAAGATGATGCTGGTTATTATCGACTGACTATGTCAGAAATTAATAAGAGGCATATATTTCCTCCGCTTGTTTGGTGACATTCATTTGATGGAAAGTATTAGTGCAATAACTCATTTAACAAGCATTTTGCGTGAAAAATATTCTTATTTGATACCCAAGTTATGAATACAACCATAGGATTCAACTTCCATTTTCTTTTTCCACCCCCAATTACAAGAATTGGCGAAGATAATGAGAATATGCCCATATTTTCTCCATCCGTGAGGGGGATCCCATTTCAAGGAGAGATATTTGTGCAATGATTCACGGAACAGGGTGGTATAAGAATGATTCTCCTTTATGTGGGAGTCGTTGGGGACTCGTTTAGTACATGCATGAGAGAGAGAGAGAGAGAGAGAGAGAGAGAGAGAGAGGAGTACCTCCTTGGGGGGGAGCATTAGGAGACACCGTTGACTTCATCCGAGCCGCGCAGCCGTCTATTGAATTGGGGTCCATAAACGTGGCCCATCTTGGCCCGCTTGGCCTCCAAGTACCTTCTGTTCTCCGAGGTGATGGGAGTCAGCAGTGGGACCCGCCCCACCACGGTCAACCCGTAGCCCTTGAGCCCGATGAACTTGGATGGGTTGTTGGTCATCAGCCTCATCGTCCTCACCCCAAGGTCCTGCAGTATCTGCAACGAGAATCGTACCATAACCATTTGCATCTTTCAAAAGTCAACCCATCATTCCCTTGATCAAGTTTAATTGGATAAGTTTCACTTTCCGGGCATTGAAACCAAAAAGCGGATAACCGGGTCTATTTCTCTTCGGGGTGAGGGGGAGTTGACCTCCGCCCACCCATCACGTTGACACCCTGGGATACAAATATCCGGGAATATTTCTCCCTCCAGTTTTGGGTGGAGTTGACTTCCGGGGCTACCTAACCCGTTGACTACCAAAGCTGGAAACAACTGGGCCTGCTCTCCACACGGGCTCTGACTTTAAGGCTAGCGCCGGGTTTTCGGGGCTAGGCCGTTGTAAACTTCTATGTCTACCCTGCCCGTTGACACCAAAAAGTAGAAAAAACTGGCCTATTTCTCTTCAACTGGGGGTGGAGGACTTCAGCATGGAACAGGCCCGTTGAAGCCCTAAAGTAGAAAGAACCGTGCCTGTTTATCTGCCCAGTTGACTCAGGGCCGAACCCCCCCAGTTGACTTCATTCAAATTAGGAGAACTGGGCGTATTTCTCTACCCCGCCAGGGTAGAGGGGAGTTGACCTCCGGGCCAGACAGGGCCGTTGACACTGTAAAGGAGAAATAACCAGGCATATTTTTCAGCCCCCGTTGGGCGGGAGTTGACTCAGGGCGTCGACGCCCTCTGTTGCCTTCAAAAAGAAAAAAAAAGGGAGAGAGAGAGAAACGGGATTCACCTGGGCGCCGATGCCGTACTCCCGCGAGTCAACGGGCAGGCCCAGCTCCTCGTTGGCCTCGACGGTGTCGCGGCCGCTGTCCTGCAGGTTGTAGGCGCGGAGCTTGTGGCCGAGGCCGATGCCCCTTCCCTCGTGCCCGCGCAGGTACACCAACACCCCTCTCCCGGCCTTCTCTATCATCCGCATCGACAGCTCCAGCTGCTTCCCACAATCACACCTCGCCGATCCGAAGATATCCCCCGTGAGGCACTCCGAGTGCACCCTCACCAGGATGTCCTCCCCATCTCCGATCTCCCCCTGCCGCCCATCAACAACCTTCAGCTTCTCCTCCGTTTGAGCACAGTCACAGAGTTTGGACAGAGAGAGAGAGAGAGAGAGAGAGAGAGAGAGAGAGAGAGAGAGAGAGTTGGATGGTTCAAACTGGCATTGTTCTTTGAAGAGGAGGGGTCACCTTGACCATGGCGATGTGCTCAATCCCATCGAGCAGGGATCGGTAGCAGTGGGCCTGGAAGTTGCCCCACTCCAGGGGAAGCCGCGCATTGGAAGAACGCTCCACCAGCTTTGCTCTTTTTCTCCTGTATCTGAGAGAGAGAAAGAAAGAAACGATTTTGTTGGCCAGACCCTCTGGAATTTATAGAGGGAAAAAGGAAGAGAGATGGACTGAGACCTGATTAGGTCGTCGATGGAGATGATCTTCAGATTTTCCTGCTGTGCGAATTCACATAGCCTGGGCAATCTGGCCACTGAACCATCATGCTTGTCCACAATCTCGCATAGGACGGCCACCGGAGGTAGCCCAGCCAGGACGGTAAGATCAACAGAAGCTTCTGTATGTCCTGCTCTCTTCAACACACCTCCTTCCCTGTATTTGATGGGGAAGATGTGACCGGGGCGATTGAAATCCTCAGCTCGTGAGGTGGGTGATGCCAGAGCGAGAATTGTCTTTGCCCTGTCTCTTGCAGAAACCCCTGTGGTCGTCCTTTCCTTCACATCCTGCAACAGTGGCGGAGGGGGAATTAAACGAGAGATTGAAATTCTGTGTTCAATAGGGTTTTACGATGAACGATTGCGTACCACTGAGATGGTGAATGCAGTGGAGTGCTCCTCTTCGTTTTTCTCCTTGGACACCATCAGAGGGAGCTGCAACCTCTCCAGGTCTTCCCCTTTCATGGCTACGCAGACTATTCCAGTGCCGTGTCTCACAGCGAACGCCATCGCGTCCGGTGTCACCAGCGATGCCGCCATTATGAGATCTCCCTGGTTTTCCCTGTCTTCGTCGTCCACCACTACCACGAACTGCGAGATATTCGTACGCAGGCGTCAGCGAGGAATGGGGAGGGATACCCTAGCTCCTTTGCGAACGAAGCTCAGGCAACTGACCTTGCCACGGCGGATGTCTTCGATGGCCTCGCGGATGGAGGAGAATCCCTCGGCAGGGTAATCTAGGTCAATTTCGTCATCGCTGTCGGAGAAGAAAGTATCATCGGCTAGAGCCACGTCCCCTGCGTCAGTCGCAAAGACCATGCCATCGGATTGGATAGGAGGAGAACCAGAAGCAGCGGCGGCGGCGACAGCTGCGGCATCATCTATATTCCTCAGGTTGATTACAGCGGAACCAGACCCGGTCAGACTGACCGAGTCCAATCTTTGGACCTTCCTTATCGCCAAACCCAGGGGATTGAAGAACTGTAACCCGGTGAAATGCCGGAAGCGTCTGCAACGCCTCCTGAAGCCAAAACTGGGGAATCAGGAGGATGAAATCCAGAAAGGCAACAACTCCGACGACCGACATGCTACACAGAGAGGTCAAAAGATGAAGGTTGTGCAGGGACTCACTGAGGGAAGAAGAGATCGGCGGCGACGGAGCAGGAAATGCTGCAGACGGACGAAGAAGAAGCAGACGTGGAAGCCATTTCCCTTCTCAGCCTCCTCCGTTCCCCTCGCCCAACTCTTAACAACCTGTGGTACTCTCTCTCTCTCTCTCTCTCTCTTTCCTGTGGGTCGCAGAGAAGGGTGGAAAAGGTAGGGGACGGCGGGCGCCACCGGATTTCGCCGAGGACGTGGCCGTTGTGGCGGTGGTGAGGTCGGAGGTAAAGCTCCCTACGTCAACGTTAACAGACAATGCAATGGAGAGTGGGGCCCTTCCCGGGGTACGTGGCAACGCTCTTACCGCGCTCGGGTCCTCTTTCGTACGGCCGCCAAGTGGAGATAAGAGGACCTCGGCCCACCGCTAAGGAAGCACAACCAACCATTCTGATGACGCGGAGAAGCCCGACTCTGAGCGTAGTAGCAGAGGGCAGCCAGGGCTTTATTGTAATTTGTGAGATTTATCAAGGGAATGAGATGTCTATTTAATAGCTCAATTGTAGAATATGAAACATCAATTTCCTTGCATGATATATCTTATTTTAATATAAATAAAACCTTAGTAAAATTTTAAAATAAAAATTTAATAAAATTTATTATTAATTTTAAATAAATTTCAATATTAAAATTCTATTCACATTTTTTTTTGCCATTAGGTGATAATTAAGAGAAATTAATAGACTGTACTAACAGAAATAATGATCTCATGTCACCAAACTGAGGTAAAGTCATATTTTTTTTCTTCTTTAAAGTCTTCTCCCTTGTTACTTTTTAGAATCAAGATGGATGAATGAGTATTTCTATAAGTATTGGGTATGATGCCACATCCTTAGATTTTACTCAATCTTAATAAAAAATAATTTGAATGCAGCCCTAAATTCCTCTTCTAAAGTCAAAACTCTAGGGGGGCATACCTTAGTTTATTAGTTTTGAGTTTCACGATTGGATCCACATCACCAACATGAGGCCAAATAGTGTTTGGTAAGTATGCATATGGTGTCTGCACATTTGTTGAGATGCAGTGATGCGGTGCACACAAAAGGAGCCATACATATTAGGAGACATGGTGCCATGACACCATGAATAAAGGTGTATGGGCACATGTATGTGGCTGTGCATGGCATAGGTTGATGACTCTGTCAACATGGAGTGAGGATCATGGTGGCCACCCATGAACCTTGTGCACGAGTTGGCATGTGCAACATAGCAGCAGTATGGTGCAGTGTAGATTGGCTTGAGTGCATGTGCAAGGGCATGTGGTATGAAGTGGCACTAGGCAGGCGAGCATCACCCATGGAGCAAGATGGAAGATAGAGAGCTAACAAGTGTGAGGGCATGGAGTGCCAAGGGGCTTACATGCCCAAGTGATGGAAGGTGGAAGTGTTGAGCATTTGAAGAAACTTCACTTGCCTTGATTTCTCTTATAACAAGAGGGTCTGTTCAATTGATGGTGGAGATGAAAATGTCTTGTAATGTTTCCTCATATTATCATTATAACTTTTTGGTGAAGGAGCTGGGCTAGGCATTTTGGAGCATAGCCGCTAACATAGTGCTGCTGAAACACTTGAAGCGGAGGACACTACATGCGTGTGGGGCATTGCATTAGAAAGTCACAAAGACGTGATTATATGTAAGTGCACACGATGCTTAAGAAATTATAAATTTTATAGAACACAATGGAGGAGAAAGTGATGTTGGCAAGTATGTATCTTTCATACAATACCAAGCTATGGCAGTGGATAAAGACGAATGACCAAGCTAAACCCTCTATTGATACTTGAGAGGTGTTCATTTAGAAATTGAATGTGAATTCTTCCCCATCAACAATATCTTGAGAGTGTGATGTGTTCTGACAACTAGGCACATGGGACTGGTACAACAGTATGTGGAGCAATTCATTTCACTTTCTTAAGATAATAATAATAATAATTTGTACAATGAGAAAAAAATTATTTAATTTCATCGAAAGGTTGCAGCCAGGGACAAACAAAGTTGAGGTGCCAACAAGTGAGGGATGTGAAAGAGACAATGGTGATTATTGATGCCCTCACAAATTACTTGACCACCAACACACCAATATTTGATGCTAACACCAATTGTTGGGATAGATAGAGACATGTAGATCAAAGTGGCAGCTGATGCAATTTTTAAAAATATAAGCGAGGTGATAATAGTTGTGAGTAGTGGCTTGATAGAGGTTAGGGATGACCCAAGACTACTATGTCAAGAAAAAATCGACCAAAGGTGGGTGCTTCACCTATTGGGGTCATCTATAAAAGGTCTATCCAAAATGATCAGACAGATGCGTTGTTAATGAGATGATAGTGTATAAGACCCTAATGGGGGATGATACACCTATGCTAAACCTCTTGTAGTAGTTAGTAGTATTGCAATTGTCCCTAGAGCCAGTCATATAAAATGAGTGAAAACTCATCTTTGTTGAGATCATTGTCAATAGTAAGTCTACCTCTAACTTGGTGAATGGTAAAACGACTAACAACTTCTTCCAATGAAAAGGAGGATACACAATTTGGTTTAACTCTATCCAAGGGAGATAGAAGTGTCAAAGTTATCAACCAAACACACACCTCTTGACCAATGATGCACATGAGAATCGAGGATGGGATGAGGGCCAAGAAGTGCCTCCCTGCTCATTCATCTCTGGCCTCCACAGGTTGGTAACACTACAGCTTAGTGCTCTCTCTCTCTCCCTATCCTCTTTCTCCATCTCTCTCTCTCCCCCCCACTCCTCTTTCTCCATCTCTCTCTCTCTTCTCCCCCGTCTCCTCTCTCTCCCCCCCTCTCCTCTTTCTCCATCTCTCTCTCTCTCCCCCCCTCTCCTCTTTCTCCATCTCTCTTTTCCCCCCACTCCTCTTTCTCCATCTCTCTCTCTTTCCCCCCACTCCTCTTTCTCCATCTCTCTCTCTCTCTCCCCCCTCTCCTCTTTCTCCATCTCTCTCTCTCCCCCCTCTCCTCTTTCTCCATCTCTCTCTCTTTCTTCCCCCCCTCTCCTCTTTCTCCATCTCTCTCTCTCTTTTCCCCCGTCTCCTCTTTCTCCATCTCTCTCTCTCTCCCCCCCTCTCCTCTTTCTCCATCTCTCTTTCCCCCCCACTCCTCTTTCTCCATCTCTCTCTCTCTCTCTCCCCATCTCCTCTTTCTCCATCTCTCTCTCTCCCCCCCTCTCCTCTCTCTCCATCTCTCTCTCCCCCCCTCCTCTTTCTCCATCTCTCTCTCTCTCTCTCCCTCTCTTCCTCACACTCTCTCTCTCCCTCTCCTCTCTCTCCATCTCTCTCTCCCCCTCTCCTCTCTCTCCATCTCTCTCTCTCTCTCCCCCTCCCTCTCTCTCTCTCTCCCCCTCTCCTCTCTCTCTATCTCTCTCTCTCTCTCTCTAGCTCATTTATTGTCACCAACAACTAGCAGCAACTGAAGAGATGTGAGGAGCAGCAACCATGCCTAGACATATAGATATATTTCCTCTCTATGATTTAGTTTGCACATGATTCGTTCAATGCCTGGAATCCGTGTTAGTCAACTACAAATGCATGGATTGATGGGCAAATTAATTTAAGAAATAAGTCCTAAGAAGGAAGATGATTGCCCCTGAAAGTATTTTAAGGTGACACTTGTGGCGATGTAATACTAAGATGCTTGAATCCTCCTATTACTGTATGTGGTTATTTTTCTCCTCAATATTGGACCACGTCGTCCATGGTAAGGGATTACTGATTGATTCCCAGAGCTTCGGCCTAACTCTCCTTGCCAACAACGTCCCAGAGGCTGCCAATAGAAATATCAGAGCATCACCGATACCTATGGCATGTTGGCACAGCCTTATAACCAAAAAACATGACGACCATCTCTACCCATCACATGATCAAACTGCACTAGTGGAGTTTGCTGACGGAACAATATATTAATGAGAAGAATATCTTCAGGGAGGAGTAAGAAGGCAATACTGAAGTGTAAGGCCACTCGAAGGGCCCATGTTATCTCTCTCTCTCTCTCTCTCTCTTCTCTCTCCTTCGAAGTCCCTTGAGTTTACTGTTTGACGTCTAGTCTCTTTTTTTACCACTTCTCCTAAAGCGAAATACTAATTACTCCTTATGTGGGTTGCTGAGGAAGTGAAAGAGTTGTGGATGTCTTGGGTTCACCATCTATGCTCATGCGGTGGTGGTTGTAGTGGTGGGAGGCAGTAATAGCGGGCGATGCTACTTTCAGTGGGAGGAGATGTGTGCACAAAGGGGGTTCGTCATGACCACTATGAACTCGATTTTATCCGATAGGTCAACCTTGCCACTGTCAACCGCCTCCCATCAGAATGCCCCCACCAGGTTGGTCACAAAGTGTTAGAAGATGACTTTATGTTTTTTAGGTCTGGACTCGATTACAAAGGGCCTATAAATATGTTGTATCCGAGATACTTTAGGATTAATGAAGCTTTTATTTCCGTCTTTACTTTCTTGTTCTCCTCTCTCTCTCTCTCCCTCACTATCTGCGCCTTCTACAGTCCTCTCTCAAGGAGAGAAGAGGAAGGAACTAACAAGTCTGAAATTCTACCATGGTATCAGAGCAAACCAGGTGTGTTTGTTTCGCACTCTATTGATCCCTGGAATTTCCTTTGGGCTAAGTTCTTGGCCTACTGTTGAATACCTCTTATTATGTACTATGTTCAAGTTTGAGTCAAATTGAAGGCTTGTTTATCTTGACACAATATTATGACGTGTTGTTTGTGATACAGTTGGCTTGTTATAATCCTAGTTATATCTCCTTTCATTCGTGAAGGAGAGACTATTTTTTTTTTTTGGTAGATCCAAGTGTATGTAGAGCCCATTTAATCCACTATTAGGCCTCAATTTCTTTGAAGAAGGTGAGAGCGCAACCACTTGCTATTCAAAGGAGGGGTATCTATTTATATGTCAGAAGTTGTTGACATAGCTACATCTACACATTCATCTTCAGTTTCTTTATTTGAGCACTCTAGGTTATACTTGGAGCTGCAAGATATTCTTATAGAATTCAAAGTAGATGGAAGAAACCTTCTTCAATGGGTTGAGTTCATTGAGGTAGTCTTGATAGAGAGAGGAAAGTTAAATCATATTCATGAGTCTACATTAGAACAAGCAGATCTTGGTTTTAGACTATGGAAAGAGAAAGATGACATCATTTAAACTTGGTTGTAGAGCACCATTGACTACTGAGGTCAATGCAAATTATTTATTTTTACCAATTGTCAGAGCTATATGAGAAAAAATCAATAATGCATACTCAAAACAAAATGATGAGGCATAAATTTTCAGAATCATTACTAAGTCATTGACCTTGAGTCAATGTAGTAAATCTGTTAGAGAATATGTCAATAAGCTAGAAGGTAGAGAGAGATGGATAAATATAGACATATTATTATCGAGACCTCAAATGATGTCATTTTCTTTCAAAACTATATTGAGAAAGATAAGATATATAAATGTCTCATGGGGCTAAATGTAAAGTATGATTTAAAAAAACCCCAAATCTTAGCAAGAAGAAGAAAACCAAACTTTGAGGAAGTAATATCAATCATTCGAAATGAAGAGAGTAGAAGAAGCATAATGGTCCAACCACAAAATATGAATGCAGCAAATTCAACCTTTGTAATTAAATATAAGGATGAAAAATGATTGATACAACCACCAGGATACTAGGCAAAAAAGGGTGATTATAAGGATAAATTATAGTGTACTTATTACAGACAAGTTAGACATACTCGTGACAGGTGTTATAAATTACATGGGAGACTATAGACGAGTGGACATGCCCATTTGCTCACTACATAGCCACATACAGATAATCAAGTTCACATAATCAATAGACAACCATCAAAGGCCTCTATGTCATATGTGAGCAACACCCCAGGAGATATAGAAAGTCTTAGAGCTAAGATTGAGAAGCTAAAATCAGTCATGACACTCAGCTCCTGTAATGGCTTAGGTAAGACTTACTCTACTGTATTACAAGTCTCTTGTAATTCTATTTCGACATCTTGGGTTTTAGATACAAGAGATACTGACCACATAACAAACTCATCTCATTATTTTTCATTAGACAATCATTGTTCAGGTAACAAAAAGGTAACCACCAATGATGGATCTTTAATTACTGTCGCAAGTATAGAAGAGGTTAACATCAAATAATAGAGTTAAAAAAGTTCTGCATGTTATTAAGTTAACTATTAATCTGATTTTTCTTAGAAAATTAGTTACAGAAAAATCTTATAAAATAATTATTGACAATGACCTTTGTGATATTTATGACAAGGTTAAGAACATGAGGATTGGATGTGCTGAGATACAAGGAGAACTTTATCACATTAGAGCAGTGGATCATCACCAACATACCCAGGATATTGTAGAACAACTACTACCTAAAGCTTTTGTCTCATTAGATATCGAGAATTTTTTGCTTTATCACTGTCGTCTTGGTCATCCATGTCATGCAACGATGAAGATTATGTTTCTAGATTTAATTCCAAAACTTGATTTGGAAAAGTTGAAATGTGATATATGTGAAATTGCAAAACATAGATGTGCTTTTCTTCTGCCTACTAATGTAAGGAGTATAATTCCATTTTATCTAATTCATAGCAATGTGTGGGGACCATCTACAAGTCTTAATATATTAGGAGAAAAATAGTTTGTGATATTTATTGATGATTTTTCTAGGACTACATGAGTTTATTTATTAAGTCACAAATCAGATGTTAGTAAAATCATGTAATTTTTTTGTTCATTAGTTAAAAATCAGTTCGGCATTGTGATAAAGAAATTTAGATCCATGAGTCTTCATGCATAAACACGCTACAATAAAATAGAGTGGTTGAACGAAAAAATCGTCATATTTTGGAGGTAACTAGATCACTTCTCCTCCATAATAAAGTACCAAAGATTTTTTCAAGAGAAGTTGTGTTGACTGTTGTGCACCTAATTAATTGGTTAAGTACTAAAGTATTAAATAAAAAAAGTCTATTAGAAACCCTTTCACAATTCTTCTCAAGTAGTCAACTTAAAATAACTTAACTCTTAAGATATTTGGATGTGCATGTTTTGTACACAACCAAGATCACGGAAAAGGAAAATTGGGCCCATGGGCACTAAAGTGTATATTTATAAGGTATGCAAATACAAAAAGAGAATATAAGTGTTACTACCCTCTAAAAACAAGGTTTTTTTTACTTCCATTGATGTCACATTCTATGAAAATTAATCTTATTGTTACAAAATTTCCTTGGAAGGGAAACGTGAAAAAGAGATCAAGGAGAATGTGGTAATTATGTTTTACGTTTATCTCCTGAAATACATCCTATGACTAAAGAATCAGCAATGGACTATAATGAGGAAGTAATCTAACCCAATGAATCAGTAGAAGTCACCCAAAATTTAGATGAGGGAGAAAAGGAATTAACACCTTTATCTCACTCACCTACTCAAGAAGAAAATAACAATGACTTATCGATTGCTCTTAGGAAAGAGAAAATAAAGTGTTTCAGGAATCCTCATTATCTAATTTCAAATTTCTTATCATATAAATGTTTATCGCCATCTTATAAAGCATTCTTTCTATTGATGTTGCTAAAATTCCATCAAATGTCTTTAAAGCATTACAAAATGTTAAATGAAAAAATGCCATGTATGAAGAAATGTGTACATAAGAAAAAAAATTCAGACATGAGAATTGGTAAAGCTACCTCAGGAAAAAAAACTAGTAAGGTGTAAATGGGTATTCACCATTAAATATAAACCAAATGGTATGATTGAGAGATACAAAGCTAGACTAGTTGCAAAAAGATGTACCCAAACATATGGGATTGATTATTTACAAATTTTTTCCTCTATTGCAAAAATGAATATTGTTAGGATCTTACTTTCATTATCAGTCCACTGTAATTAGAAAATCCAACAACTTGATATAAGAAAGGCCTTCCTTCATGGAGAATTGGAAGAAGAAATTTATATGGAAATACCATTAGGATATGATAAAAGAAAAGATAAAGGAATTATTTGTAAATTAAAAAAGGTATTTTATAGTTTAAAACAATCACCTAGAGCGTGGTTTGGGAAGTTTACCAAGGTGATGTGTGATTTAGGGTACAAACAAAGCAATGGTGATCACACATTATTTATTAAATACTCATCTTCAAAGGAGATGACAACACTTTTAGTTTATGTGGATGACATAAATATATCAGGAGATGATAAATTTGAAAAAGAATACTTGGAGAAATATTTTCTCAAAGAATTTGATATTAAAATACTAGGAAGATTGAGGTATTTTTTAGGAATTGAAGTATCCTATTCAAAATAAGGTATATTTATTTCACAGCACAAATATATTTTAGATCTTCTTAAAAAAACAGGAAAATTAGGATGTAAACCAATGAATAATCTCATAGATCTAAAATATAAATTTAATAATACAAAGAAAAGTAAATCAATAGATGTGTATGCATATCAAAGACTTGTAGGTAAATTAATTTCTCTCTCATACACACCCTGATATTTCTTATGTCGTCAGTACTCTTAGTCAATTTATGCACTGTCCAAAAGAGATCCATTTATTTGCAGCTGAAAGAGTATTGCAATATCTTAAAGGAACAACAGGTAGATATATTTTATTTAATAAAAATAATAAACTTGATGTTGAAGTTTATACAGATGCATATTATGTAGCATTGCATTATGGACCGATGCTTTACATCTGTATAATGTACCTTTCTCGGTGGAAACTTGATTACTTGGTGCAACAAAAAATAGCAAGTGGTAGCAAGATCAAGTGCTGAGTTTGAATTAAGAGCAATGGCGCATAGAATTTGTGAAGTTTTATGAGTGAAAATAATCTTAGAAGACTTAAGAGTGAAATGGATTCAACCCATCAAACTATACTATGATAATAAGTCAGCCATTAGCATCGTGCATAATCCAGTCCAACATGATCGTACAAAACACATGGAGATAGACCAACATTTTATCAAAGAGAAACTTGATGAGGGTATTATTTCTACACCTTATATGGCATCTCATGAGCAGTTGGCAGATGTACTAACGAAAGGATTGAGTGACATAGCATTTCAACATCTCATATTCAAGTTGGGACTGGATGACATCCATTCACCAACTTGAGAGGGGATGTTAGAAGACTACTTTATGTTTTTTAGGTAGATCCGGACCTGATTACAAAGGGCCTATAAATATGCTGTATCCGAGACACTTTAGGGTTAATGAAGCTTTTCTTTCCGTCTTTACTTTCCCATTATCCTCTCTCCCTCTCTCCCTCACTATCTGTGTCTTCTACGGTCTCCTCTCAAGGAGAGAAGAGGAAGCAACTAGTAGGTCTGAGATTCTAACATGAAGGACTTCAGATGAAGCAGTGCAAGGCCCATCACGGGACAGATCCTCTGTCCCGCGCCGAATGTCATCTCGCAGATCTTCTTGGTGCCGGTGATGTCCACTCCCTCCCCCTCGCCACCAGGGAGGAACCTCTCCGGCCGGAATTCTAGCAGATCAGGCCACGTTTTGCTGTCCAGATTCAACTTCGCCACCGAGAAGTTGACGCTGGCGTCCTTGGGGATAGTGTACCCGCCCAGAGAGATCTCCTCAGTGACAGCATGGGGAAGCACGTAGTGAGCTGGTGGATGACACCAGAGCCCCTCCAAGACCATGGCCTTCAGGCACGGTTTCTTCTGCAGGTCCTCCTCCTTGGTGTTCGCCCCGACTTCCTCTGCCAATTTTCCTGCACGCGAGGGTGCTTCACAACGTTCACCATGACCCACTACTCCAGCACCGTGGAGGTGGTGTCGGTGCTGGCGTCGAGGAACTCGGCGCAGAGAGCAATGATCTTCTCGTCATTGAGCTTCCTCCCTTGCTCCTCCGGGATCTCGAGGTCTAGGAAAGAATCCAAGTAGGAGAAGCGGAAGCTGTTTTTCTGCAAAGGTTACGAAGGAAGCATGTAGAGAGATAACCTAATCATATTGTTACACTATTTAGAAACTTATGAAATAACAAATTACCTCAATTGAAAATAATGACATGTAAGAGTTAGTGGATCTACCATAGAAAAATTGAAGTTATTAGTGTGAAGTAGACTTACAAAGTCAAGTAAAATAAAGATGAAAATGTGCATAGATATGAAGCAATGCTGGTAGAAAAGGATATGCACAAAAAATATGATATTGATTATTTGAAAATTTTCATGCATTGCTAGATTTGAAACTGTTGGAATTATTTTTACAATAGCAGCTAAAATGAAGTGTCTAATTTTCCAATTTTATGTTAATTTTATACTTTTGAATAGATATTTTGAATGAAGATGTGCAATTGAGAGAAATTTGAGAGATTTATGATTAATGGCAAAAAGGTTAAAGTTTATAAGTTGAAGAAAGCATTATACATGCTTAAACAAGTATCAGGTGCATAGTATACCAACTTGACTCTTATTTTAATAAAATTAATTTTTATATAAAAAAGAGTGAATCATGACTTTATGTGAAGATGAAAGAACAAAATATTTTGATTCTATGTATATGTGGATGATATTATTTATGCCTGATGATGTCCTGATTTGGTTTCTAAGTTCAAAACTTTCATGAATGCAGAATTTGATACGATTCATTTATAGTTACCTGATTATATTATTGGGCTTTAGAGTATTCAAAATGATTATATCATATGTATTTATAAAGAGAAGTATACTTTGAATATGCTCAAGAAATTTGATACTAAATTTACAAAATTTGTTCTACTATCATGAATATACGTGAAAAATTATGTGTTGAATAATTTTATAAAAGTCTGGTCTGTAGATATATTTACTCAATTCATAGCAGGTTGAATATTATGTTTATACTAAGTTTGATTTCTAGATTTATTTATTGTCCTACAACTCATCATCTTGGAGAAGCAAAGAGAATTATTCACTGTGTGCCGCATTAGTAATTTTGAAACTTTGGACAAGCATATTCCACATTTTAAATTCGTTGATTTTACTGACAATGATTGGGTAGGATTTTTATATGACAAGATAAGTAGATTTATTTTCAACCTTAGATCATGTGTAATAGTGTAGAGTTTGAAGAAACAAAATCCACATCATTATTATCATTTAAAGTTGAATATATTAATACATCATCAGCTGCACAACAAGTTATATGATGAGGAGAATCATGGAGGATATTAACTTGACACAATCAAGCCCAATAGAGGGTCTACTCATTGTATAAGGACGATAAGGACCCGCCTTCAAGTTTAAACTCTAGCTGAGGTACGTGCCAACTTCCACATAGCAAGTATGGAATATTTCTCCAAGAAAGGAATACAACACCAAATCTTGGTCGCTTTCCTTATCTCCTGTTGACAGCTCTTATCCATTTGAGGATGGTGTCACCCATTATGACCATCATTCCTGCCTAGTGATCAATAAAGGGCCCACCATAAAAAGGAGTACGACACTAAATCGAGTACTTTCTTGGTCGTTTTTGCTATCTCCTGCTGCTCTTACCCAGGATGGCTGCAACCGTTATGACCACCGCTCTTGCCTAGTAGTCAAAAAAGGGCCCACATAAATAAGATAATCCTCTAGATTCAGATTAGTAACAGCTAGTCTCCTCTATATTGAAATTCAAGACGGGCCTTGAATATGTATGCAGTCCAAAATATAAAACTAAAATAAGCTGCTATTTTAGGTGCTCAAGGACACAACAACTGGGCTTGGACTCACTATAGAAAGGTGGTGAGCGTGGTACGTTTTTTTAACTAAATTTTTCGCTCAACTTTTCTTGATTTTTCTTCCTTTCACAGCAACATTCAAGTGGGCTGATGTTCCCTAGCTTATAAGGAGCATGATGGGTCACTCAACGGACACATCTCCACTTAAAATTCAAACTCATAAGTGCTCATTAATATGTAAAAATCATAAATAGTTGAAACCTTTAATTTTTTATGAATCCTTCATTGCATTCTGTTCCTACTTGAATTAGCTTGAGTGCTCATATGCTTATGTTTGTGACATCAATTTTCATCGAAAAATATTTTAATAATTTCAAACATAAGTATTGATAGTTTTACCTTTGAGAAAAATTCGTAATAATTTTAAGCATAAATAAAGATGATTTATCCTTAAGGCGAGACTCGAAAGTAGGTCGAGGAGCAGGTGAGCCGCATGACATTGCCAAGGATGGGAAAGATCGGCGGGGCCAGTGGCTACCACTTTGGAGGAAGAGGGCAGCCAAGGCTACACGAAGGAAGAGGGTGAGGAGACCAATGCGCCCGGTGTCCATATCCGCTACTCTTTGAGCAAGTTCTCGAAGAGTAGCTTTCCTTATCTCTTGCTGACAGCTCTTACCCATTTGATGATGGCATCAACCATTACCATCACCACTCTTGCCCAACAGTAAAAGAAGGGCCCACATAAATAAGATCATGTCCCTTCTATACTTCGAAGATTTCCTCATACATCGTGTCCATTCATCTTGCTCTCAATGTATCACACAGTCGTATAGTTCCAACAACAAGATCATAATATAAAATATCATAATACTATATTATATTACTCAAGTGGGAGATTAATAAATTTGATCTCAATGTCGGGGCATACATGAATATGTAATGCATATTATAGGGTTATCATTAAAGTTAATCTTTATTAGAGTGATTCATTAAGATTTGTGATTAAAGTATCTCAGATAAGTATATAATTACATCTAGAGACTAGGTAATATTCTAATTGTATGATGGATATAATTAAAAAAATGACATTAAGATTCTAATTGTCTCATAAATCTCGGTGCCAACTAAGGAATCAAGGGTTTTGAGGGAGAATAGCTTCCGCTTCTCGTACTTGGATTTCGTCTCGGATCTCAGGATCCCGGAGGAGCGTGGAAGGAAGCTCAACGATGAGGAGATCATTTCCCTCATCTTTGAGTTCCTAGCCGCAGGCACTCACACCACCTCCACGTCCATGGAGTGGACCATGGCGAAGGCCGTCAAGCACCCTAGTGTGCAGGAAAAGTTGGCGGAGGAAGTTGCCGCGAACACCAAGGAGGAGGACCTACCGAAGTAACTGTACCTGAAGGGGATCCGGCACCATCCGTCGGGTCACTTTGTACTTCCCCACGCCGTCCCGGAGGAGATCTCTGTGCGAGGCTACACATCCCCAAGGACGCCAGGGACAACTTCGCGGTGGCGAAGATGAACCCGGGCGGTGGAACATGGCCAAATCCGCTGGAATTCTGGCTGGAGAGGTTCCTCTCAGGTGGCAAGAGGGAGCGAGTGGACATCACTGGTAGCAAGAAGATCCGGATGATGCCGTTCAGCACGCGATGGAGGATCTACCCTGAGATGCGTCTCATGCTGCTCCATCTGGAGTACTTCGTGGCCAACCTGGTGGGGGAGTTCTGATGGGAGGCAGCTGACAGAGGCGAGGTCGACATCTCAGAGAAACCTGAGATCACTGTTGTCATGAGGAACCCTCTCCGCGCACGCATCTCTCTGCCGTGAGTAGTGGCATCCGCAGCTGCTGCCGCGTGCACATCTCCTTCCTCTGTGACCATTCATATATGTCGTTTACATTCTACTCTTTATTCAACACTGTTAGATCCTTAGAAAATTAGGTGGATGAGCTCAGATGGGGGGGGGGGGGGGAAGTAATTTAAAGCATATCAAGATAGTCATATCAAAGGCTCAAAGCATCAAAGTTTTATAGCGATTTAGTCATCCCAATGTAGTCCAGTCTCTAAAGGCTACGTGTCACACACCATCTTATCGGGTATTAGTCTGGAGATGAGATCCGCATTGCCGGCACAAGGCTTAGTTGTGGTCATTTAGATATCCAGTGTACATGCATTTCATGGAATGCAGTGTAGCTTGCTTGCACAGAGGAGCACCACTAGTATGAGGATGCATGGTGGTATATTGCTGCATGGGTAGAACCATGCAAGGGTTTGCCCATGAACGCATGCAACATAAGTGGACGACTTCACCAGCATGGTGCAAAGATCTCGGGGGCTTCCCATGAACTTTGGGCATCGCAGGCACAAGCTAGAATGGGCAACATAGCAGCAGTGTGGGATGCTTAGAAGAAAGTTTAATGTCATGCGGCATGGAGTGCCACAGCATAAATGATACAA